ACATCCACATAGCATTGTAATATCCATTACTATATATAGTATATAGTTGATTACACCCACCCTACATTCCCAGTGCAATATTATATGTCTCGGTGCAATATTATTATTTTTAAGTTATTGTGTAAGATTATATGTATATATTTTAGTTAAATTGGTTTTATCTATTCTTCTATCCTATCTATAGTTTTGTTTATCTATGTGTAAATACTGTTCTCTGCATAATTTGTGGAACTCGCACTCAAGTTTTTCACTCACCTGTGTCCCTGTACTCTTGTGATGTGACAATAAATCTGATTTGATTTGATTTGAAGTTATCTACATCTATCCACCTATTCACTCTACAGTAGTTTAGCCACACCCACACATTCATATTGAGGTTCTAGAGCGTTTCAGCTCCGAGCGCTTTTTGAACGAGGCGCAATTCAGGGCAGCCAGTCAGAATTGGTCTTATTTCAGCCTTAAAGGTGCAGTAACTAAAACAGCCTGTGAGGGATAACGAGAGGTTGGAAAACACGTAAATATGAATTATGACCATTTTGGGTGCATAAAACCACTAATTTTTACGTTTATATCAAAGGAAAAAGTCAAATATAAGCAGCCCTTTAAACACCTCAGACATCCGGCACCTGTCACCACCACCGTGAACCATCCTCACTTTTCACTTCTCTCCACTTTCGCTTCTTCAAGGGTTCTTCAGTAAATGGTTCTACACAGAATCGTAAACACTCAACCCTTTGAATGATTAAAGGGCTCTTTGCATTGTCAAATAGGTTCTATATACACAACACATTCTCCATCAATCTAAAGATGATCATGGAAAGGGTTCTTTGAGAACCAGTGTTTTTAAGAGAGTAGAACAGAGCAGTTCACATCAAAAGGATTGAACGTCTTTATGTCTTAATGACGTCATTTTGGTGAAACCAGTGGAACTCAACCTTTAAGAACCAGATCGCTGTCGGAGTACAGCACCTGAGCGTTTCACTGCCTGAACATGTTTTCCTGCAGAACCTCCGAACTTCGCTGTTTTCCACAGTCACACAGATGATGCAATAAATCCTAACTCTTCTCTAACTGCTGCTTCAGTGCAATTATAAGACTTGCACGACATTAACAACCTCTTCTCTAAGGTTACGGCGGTACACAGAGCCCCTGTGAGGAGATCTAATGAGACTGAATGAGGCGTCTCTATGAGAGCGTCTCTCTCCCAGAGGACCAGCGATTAAAAAGGACCTCTGGCAACGTTCCCACCACCTCCGCATCTCACTGAGACACGGAGAAAACGCCAGGTAGCATCTGAATGTTAGTAAGAGTCCACCACAAGACGACAAACCCTAAAGCAGTGATTTTCAACCCCGGTCTTACGGCCTTGTGCTCTGTACGTTTCTTATTCGTGTTTTTCCAAAAGGGCTTGGTCATCAGCTGATGTGTGCTGCATTGTTAGAAATAAAGGTTCTGTTCAGGTACATTTTTCGCTCATCCAGGTTTAAACAACGTACATGTTCCCTCAAAGCTCCAACAGTGGTTTTAAGGTCTGATTGTGAACCTTAAATAAGTTATTCCAGGTGAAAAGTTGGTATTTGTACCTTTTCATAACCGAATGTTTTAAACAGAACAGTAAAATAAAAGCCTGGAGACGAGACGGGGTGTGTGGAGTCAGCACAGCTTAGAACATATCATTTCAGTGGATTATGGTTCAGTTATGTTCCCTGACTAAAGGTACTGAGATGGAGCCTTGAGGGTTCCACCCCAGTGACAAGAGGGGAACTGACCCAGAGACAGTTTCATACCCTTTTCTGAGAGTGTGGATCAGGGGGAACAATAAATTGCAGCTAGAGACCAAAACCACCGAAGGTCTTCAGCGTTCCCACCAACAGACGCAGGAGTGCTGCTTCAACGCAGCCACACAGCTTCCTCCCTTATCTTCCCTTCTTTTGAACCATTTGCATGCTTATAGGGATCTAGCAGACGGTCTTGTCCAGAGAGACTGACAAAAGTGCTTTGCTGACCGCTTAGAGAATATATCCTAGCTACAATTCAAAAAGATGGTTTGTCAAGGGTTCTTTAGTAAATACAATGGTTCTGCATGGAACCAGGAACACTCAAGGATCAATGAAATGGTTCTTCAGATTAATGGAGAATATGTTGCATATGGTTATATACAGAATCTTTTCGAAAAGGGTTTTATGTTGCACCAAAAAGGGTTCTAATATTGGTACAATGTCAAGCTTGTAAAATAATAATAATAATAATATATATATATATATATATATATATATATATATATATATATATGTTGTTGGATCAAAACTTTGTATCTCCAAAATGGTAACTTTACAGGAGAATGAAAAACCATACTCTAATTTTAATGCTACTCAATGGAACCAGACTTTTTTTCCGACTAATTTCGGCCCGTTTCTTTTGGTCCATCCATCATGAAATTTACACACAACGTAAAGAACAACAGGCTTTTTAAAATTACGTCAAAAATTAAAAGTAGTGCTGCTTCAACGCAGCCACACAGCTTCCTCCCCCCTCTTCTTCCCTTCTTTCCACCATGGCTTGTGAATGAGAGGCAGACTTCCATTAGGCTTAGTGTCACCTTTGGGATAATTTGGAACAACACCTTACTCCCCTGCTACTGCACAGGCCCAGTGCAACATGGGAATGGTCTCATGAGGCGCCTCGGTGTCACAGGGCCACTCAGCTTGGCTATCACCCTATTTACAAACTCCATAAGCCAAATATACTGAGATTATTAGACAGAAGGCAACTTCATGAACCCACTGGAGATTAATCAGCAGGGCTGTTAGTGTTTAAGGGCTTTGACTATTTGAATGCAGCTATAAGGCCTCAATCTTTCTTCTGTACAGTTTAAAGTTAACAACGTTTGCTCTACACTCTTAAAAACACGGTTCTTTAAGGGTTCTTTAGTAAAGACAGTGGGCTTAGTTGAACAGCCGTCTTACGCAATTCTGATGAAGACTCTGACTCACCATGTTCTCTTATGTGGGGTTTGTTCTTAGGTAAGAACAGAATCTACACACACTCAAGAGCACAAGGTAGAACGGTTCTGCGCTTTAAGAACGTGTCATGAATCTGACGTAGACTTTTTCTTAGAACCTTTCTCAAGAACACACTTAAGAACAGACTTAGGAAGATACTGGAGAATGAGGCCCGATGTTTCTATAGGGAACCATGAAGACCAGTAAAAGAAAAATTTGCATGATCAAAGGGTTCTCTGCATGGTGAAATGGTTCTTCAGACTGATGGAGAACGTGTCGTACATGGTTCTATGTAGAATATACACAGGAGAAATGATACAGACTCTGACGATGAATCTGAAAGACTAGTTCAACTGTGAAACTGTTTATAACGCCTTATATAAACTTTCTATATTGAATGTACAAAAATAAACACACCCACATTAAATTTTTAAGAATAAAAGAGAACCCACAGTGTATTTAAAGAACATTCACAGCATATAGCGGACGCTCTCATCCAGAAAGACCTACAAAAGTACTCTTCGAGAGTGTATCGTAGCTACACACTTAAAAATGATGGTTCTTCAAGGGTTCTCTAGTAAATACAATGATTCTACATGGAACCATGAACACTCCATCAAGAACTATTTTGCACGATTAAACGGTTCTCTGCATGGTGAAATAGTTCTTCAGATTGATGGAGAATGTGTTGCATACGGTTCTATGTAGTAATTTTTTGAAAAAGGTTATATGTAGCACCAAAAAGGGTTCTAATATTGGTCAAGGTTTTTGGTGCTATATAGAATGAAACACAACACATTCTCCATCAGTCTGTAGAACCATTTCACCATGCAAAGAACCATTTAAGCATGCAAATGGTTCCTTGAGTGTTCAGAACCACCGTATATACTAAAGAATCCTTAAAGAACCATCTTTAAGAGTGTAGTTCCGTCATATGCCGCCCCCCCCCCACTCCCGCGCACACACACACACACACACACACACACACACACACACACACACACGGCAATATGATGATATTTTATTATTGTGATAAATCGTCACAGTACGCTTTTCTGAGCATATCGTGAATAGTTTGCCTATTTATCCTTTTATGTTGAAATCTTATTAATTGGTTTATTATCTTGGTTTTATTTTATATTTCATATAGTCAAATCTTAATTCTCTTAATTCTTTTGCTATTGATCTAGTCTTTTTCTGTTCATTTGTTTATGTAGTTTTGTTAATTTTACTTTAACTTGATTAAATGCCATTTTCTTTTTCAATCCCATTTAAATGTTGCAAATGCTCAGCTACTTTGAAAATGAGGGTCACGGTCAAAGTATTTCTGAGTGAAAATAAAGGCTGATTGATTTTGTCAGTACTTGAAGAATACTGACCAACTGTGTGTTAGTCAGTAAGTATAAACAGGCCTGTTTAATTGGATTTAGTGCAGTGCAGTTTGTAACTAAAGAAAAAACATTGGAGTTTAAGTTACTATTATTATTATTACTATTATAAAAATCTCAGAAAATTATATAAATTTATATATATATATATATATATATATAAAATACACAATGTCTTGTGTAAGCGGTTTTATTGTCTGATGTATGTATTGTATATTCTGCACTCATCTCACACTGTTGTGTATGCAGTCTGTGTAGTCCTGTCTAATGTGCTGCTGTTGTGTGTTTGACGCCTTAAGAACGACATTTTATTCCAATATATACATCTTACATTGATTAATGATGATAAAGACAGACTGACTTCACTAATTCAGCTCTGCTAAGCTGCACGAGACTGACTGTGTCTGTAAAGTCAGTACACACACAAACTGTACAGGAGCAGCTCGGAGCCTCAGACCTGATTAAAGTTATGGACGATATAATCAGGGCAACAATCCGTCCTGCTGCTACGGAAACTTCATAAAGCCACAAAGGAAACCACACGCTGACACAAGCACGCTGATCAGCTACAGTCTTCCGTTTATAAGCGTGCAGGGCAGTTCATACTCACAGCTTTATCGTGGGGTAACCTCGCACGCCAAACTCTGAGGCCACACCTGTTGAAAAAACACACATATTTATGTATTTAAAAAATAAATCTACTATTCAGACGTCTGGAATTACTTCAGTCACAACACCAATTCTGTGGAAACATAAAAATGTTGCTATAGGTCCACACAATTTGTAGGAAGCTGTAAAAAAGAAATATTTTTCATGATAAATGGAGCTGCTGATGATTCTGCAGTAACTGAGAAACTCTAAAGCAACAGAAATCAACAGAAATTATCTTGTAATAGAGCGCCGACCAAATCTCATTTCCATAGTAATTTTATGACAAGAAATTAATATAAACACTTAAAGAATAAAGGAAAATCATTTAAAAAATGTTTTGTTTTTTTACATCGTTATAATGTCTTGTTTTTCCAAAAAAAAATAAAAAATAGTGATAAAAACTTTAAAGGGTTTTTCCTGTTTTTGAACATTTTTTTTTAACAATTTTACACAATCATTTCCAAACTCTTTTTACCCTTTAGCTGTTTTTGCTTTACTTTACTTTAAATGAGCTCTGTTCTGATTGGCTCCCCTGTACTGTGCCTCTTTCAGAAAGCGATCCCGGCTGAAACACCACTTACAACTTCGGCGTGAGTGGGCGGAGACTAACTGCAGTAGGCAGAAGAGGTGGATGTATGCAAATAAGTTGGTTTCCATAACATCATAGAAACAACAAATTCAAATGGGCTGTTTTCTTATTTTCATATACGGATGTATTAATATGTTTTGAAACTTTAGCAACGTTTTCCATGAAATGGACCCTGTAATTGTGCACGAATCAGCACTTTACATTTTGGTGTGTAGTGTCTAACATTTCAATGTACACTGTGTAAGTTTTTATTAAATAACAACTGAAAGGGTTTGGTCTAAAACACATTAAATTTTCTTTTTTTCCCCCCATTGTTGTCAGTGAACTTTACACATGTAGGAAACATCAGTGCTATATTACACTTCATACCACCTTTATTAGAGAAAATAAAATGCATTATACCGTTACACATCACTCGCTATTCTTTACAAACTTCTATTGTTATAATGGATATACAGCATTTTGGAATGAAACTCCTCAATTATTAACATAATATCTTTCAAACAAGAGTGAATGATGACAATGCTTATTAACTTGTATTAATAATGTTAATAATAATAATAATAATAATAATAATAATAAATGATGCTTAGATTTGGCCAATATTTCAAACAGATATTTGCTGATGCATTTAATGTATGTTGAAAGAGCACCGTTAACGTTTAGGCGACGCTGGCTGTCTCCCACAGCTACTCAGTGAAACGTCCTACCGTAGCGCATACTTACTGAGCCTCGCTGATGACATCCTGCATAAATAAAAATAATGCCACAACTTAGTAAGACATGCGAACAAGATAATTTAGTCATGGCCACGATATAATAAGGCATGGGAATGAGATCATGCCTTATTAAGTGGGGCAGTCGCGGGCTGGAGGTTAGGGAACCAGCCGTGTGACCGGAAGGTCGCCGGTTCGATGCCCTCAGCTGACAGTACGTGACTGAAGTGCCCTTGAGCAAGGCACCTAAGCCCCAACTGCTCCCCGGGCGCCGTGGATAGGGCTGCCCACCGCTCCGGGCAAGTGTGCTCACTGCCCCCTAGTGTGTGTGTTCAGTAGTGCGTATGTGGTGTTTCACTGCACGGATGGGTTAAATGCAGACGTCTAATTCCGATGTGTTCAGACAACAATAGTTGGCTAAAAAAGGTTCATTTAAGTTGTGGTCAAAACTTAAATATCTTAATTAACTCCATTTAAACTTGCGTTAAAAACGTACGAAGCTTCTTATTCAAACTTTCCCATTCCATCTTAAATGGTAGCAGTTACAGCCTCCAGGCACCATCACAGTCTGGGCTGCACTATTAAGGTGGAATGGAAAAATTCAAACATGAAGCTGAATGACGTGAGTGTCCCTATCAGAGAACATCACTGGCATTAAAAGAATATTTGATATTTTGAGAGCCTAAATCAGCTCATCAGGGGGTAATCAGTAACATTAAGCATTGAATTAAATGACCAACACAATGAAACACTGAGTTCCTATGCTATACTAATGATATCCGCATGCTTGACAGGACCACCCAAACACCGGCAGGGAGAGCCAGTATAAGCCAGGTGCAAGTTCATTTTTACAATCTACTCATCTAAAGTGATCAGCATCACTTATTACTTATTATTATTACTTACCTTTATCTTCTGTCTGTTCACCTAAAACACTGGCTGCTTTTTTCTGCGTAAATTTAAAGGCACATATGATCTACCGTGGCTCTCTGTGGTCTCAATACGGCTTTAATTTAATGTAGTGACAGAAAAAATGAGTGTTGTGCTGTAACGCGCTGAGGAACCGAACAGTGCGCCGGCACCGGTGTGAGCATCTCCCCTAAAAATGGCTTGGAATTTTTAGACGACGCCTAACGCAGAGCGTCCTGTGTGCGGAGGCCCTTATAGAAGCCAGATTTGCATGCCCAAGACATAAATATGTACATGTAAAATGTCGGATATTGGCATCGGCCCATAGTTCCCATATTGGTGCATCACTAGAAATTGACTCCAATTTCAAGACAAAGTTAAGTAGAGAACCCGTAACAGACAGACGGACCCCCACTCCGAGTTCTTAAAGCACTAGAATCGGACCTCCACCTCATACACTGCTACTCAGTTTTGGAGTGGAGTTGATTCCACACCACCTGCAGCTCCTGACAGTGACACCTTTAATCTTGTATGCACCATCTCAAATTCAGACATCTCAGGTGTGAGAGCTGGAGGCTCCGGCGTTCTGAGGCCTCCGTCTTCTCTCAGTTCACCCCCGTCCTGATCTCTAAGCATTAACCTATCACTTGATCTTTCGGCCGGTTGGCCTGATTAGCTACTCTAAGAGGATTCGTCCTCCAAGCGACGAGAGAAGCCGTGTTTCTCAGACAGACTCATCACTACAGAGAAATCAGCAGAAGCAGAACTGGGGAGATACGCTCAGCAGGGCTGCCTAATGAGACACCACGGTTTACACAACACAGCAACGTGATTATATTTCGACACACTGTGATGGCAAAACGTCTGGTGATGCAACAGTGAGACTTGTTTAAAGACTGGCCTGCATTATTACTGAAACAACGTACTTTTGTTGAGTGACAACCAAACACCGATTCATTAATGCATCCACTGAAACACTCATCGGGAACTGTGGGTAATCAAGAGTAAAAGTAAAAGGAGAAAACACTGCTTAGACTAATTAGGAGGCTCGTTTTTATATTGTATTGCAAATCCCAATGTTATGATAACGATTATCAATATAGTGTGAAGCCTGATTACCAATCAGAGCCACTAAAGTCCAAAAAAAACCTGAACCTCACTCACTTTCACAACTATTTATCAAAAGTAAAGGTAACTCGCGAGTTCGATCCCTGGTGATGCTACAGCCGTCCGTAGCCGGGAGTCCGAGAGAGCACAATTGGCCTCGCTCTCTCTGGGTGGGTGGGATGGCCCCTCCCTCTCCCCCCATCACTCAGCGCGATGCTAGTCAGCGCAGGCGTCTGTTAGCTGACGTAACAGATCTGGCGGTTGGCGCTTTCCTCCGAGCGCGTTCGGCTGTCCAGTGACGTTGCGTGAGCGGCAGTTCGAAAAGAAGCGGTGGTGCTTCACAGGTCTCGGAGGAAGCCTGTGTTAGCCGTCACCCTCCTAGCGCTGATAGCATCGTGTGATTGGGGGAGTCCTAACCAGCGGGTAGAATTGGAGATGACTAAATTGGGGAGAAAATCGGGTATAAAAGTAAAGGTAACACTTTAGAATAAGACTAACCTTTTAAAGGGAATGAATGGTTTGAAATTAGTTTATTAATAGTTATTATTACAAATAGCAGCTACAAGATATAACTAGAAATGGAAGCAGTGGCCTGCTGTTTGCCTAATAGTAAACGAGCTACAATGAGAAAATGGTTGAATGGAACTGAAGATGTGAAGACTTTGCTTATATTGTGAGGTTTAATATTATTATTATTATTATTATTATATATATATATATATATATATATATATATATATATATATATATATATATATATATATATATATATATATAATTACATATTACATTTGCTCATAACGGGAATGATGGTTTGAAATTTTATTGATGATTAGCACTTCATAAACATCTATAAACATCTTAAAATCATTAATAAGCTGTTACAACATATAAATAAAAACAGTAACAGTGACCAGCTTGTTGTTTGAATTTTCTCGTTCCGCCTACTCAGTATTGGAGTGGAGTTGATTCCACACCACCTGCAGCTCCTGACAGTGATACTGTTAATCTTGTATGTTCCGTCTCAAATCCAGTAGTTACTAAACCACAAGCTGAGAAAGACGGACTCATTAGAACGTCTGGAAGCCCAATCTTGTCATGGAATAAGAAGAAATTTGAACCCAAACATACCGGAGTACGCAGTGGCGTCCATCTTGCCCACTCTGACCGGTGACCCGGAGTTCTTTAGCTCCGCTCCCACCTCGAACCAGATGGGCTCCAGCTTCTTGCAGTATCCGCACCATGGCGCATAGAACTACAACACAGCACACAGAGCCTGTGAACACACACTCACAACAGGGGATCACTAAACAAGCACCGGATACACAACAGACAGGTCTAGATCTGATTATATTTCATATGTAATAACAAATGCAAAACATCATCTTTCACAAGAAAGGGCAACTGTTACAACAGCTCCAGCTGAAGCTGAGTGACACGGCGAAAATAACACCACAATACTTTCACAAAGCACTACATGCATCAGGACATCTCTCTTTGTGAGATAGTAGTAGAGGTGGGCAATACGGCCAAAGCGTAATGTTAAGTACCTCCGTGTAGCTGTTGCCCCCATGTGATCAGAAACGGAATAAAAATACTACGATTCGTTTGTGCTGATTACTTAAAGTGAAACTGTTCTTAGTGTCAATATATAGATTTTAATATTTCAGCTCAATCTGTGAGGAAACTGAAGATTTATGATGTTGTAAATTGGAGCCAGTGGGGCAAACTCACTCGTCCAAACATTATCGCTTCATAATGAATTAAAACGGCACAAACATTTTTTTTTTTACCCGATTTTCTCCCCAATTTAGTCGTCTCCAATTCCACCCGCTAGTTAGGACTCCCCCAATCACACGATGCTATCAGCGCTAGGAGGGCGAGGCTAACACAGGCTTCCACAGGCTTGCTCACGCAACGTCACTGGACAGCCGAACGCGCTCGGAGGAAAGCGCCAACCGCCAGATCTGCTACGTCAGCTAACAGACGCCTGCGCTGACTAGCATCGCGCTGAGTGATGGGGGGAGAGGGAGGGGCCATCCTACCCACCCAGAGAGAGCGAGGCCAATTGTGCTCTCTCGGACTCCCGGCTACGGACGGCTGTAGCATCACCAGGGATCGAACTCGCGATCTCCTGATGAGGGACAGCGCTTAGACGGTTGCGCCACTCGGGAGCCCCTAACAAACATTTCTTTTAACGGCGCAAACGACTGAGACTGTTTTGGTGCGATTTGTTGAAGGGCGGCTGAGAGACGTCACTAAAAAACTATCCTTTAACCTACAACTTGATTGATTTGCTACATTTCCTTCGGGATCAATAAAGTATCTATCTATCTATCTATCATGATAAATATAACAGCACAGACATTTCCTTTATTGGCTCAAACAAACGAGACTGTTCGGTGCGATCTAGCTGCTGTTGGGGGGCTAGAGATCTGCACTCCCACGGGACCCACCACATTATCGTGCGGCATGGGACTAATTATCAGTGTTGGGATGCAGGAGCGGGCGGGAAACCAGCCCACTGCAGGCGGGAGCGGGACAAATCACACACGAAGAGAAATCCCGCAAATTAATGAACAGCGTAAATAAAATACAATGATCACTAAATCATATATATAAACAATATAAAATGATAACAGTGAATGTGAACAACACGGAGATTCTCATAGCCTATCAGATATTTGTATATTTTAAGTACGTATCTGCCAAAGCCAATATATAAACATTTAGATCACACAAATTAGGACCACTACGAGGCTACCTGGGCTGGTGGTGTTCGACTGTGTGGCTAAGGACTCTCCCAGGGAGGCTCAATCCTGGTCCTGGAGATCTACCACCCTGCAGAGTTTAGCCACAATTACCTGATACAGGTGATAAAGGCCTTTGGGGCATCTGAATAACAGAGCCAGGTATGCTGGATCTGAACTCTCTAGGGTGGGAGATCTCCAGGACCAGGAATGAGCACCACCTGCTTTACACCGCGGTCAGTGCAACCCCCACCTGATAGCTGTGGGAACTATGGAGTTTTTGTTTGTGTTTGTCGTTTTATTTAATGTTAATTATGTCTTTTGTTATTTTTAATCTTTGGGAAAGGCGCTATATAAATAAAAGTAATGATGATGGTGATGATGTAAAATTTATAATATTTATTTCTGCAGGGTTACAAATACAGTAAAATTTAAAAAAAATTAAGTTATTTTAGTGCAGCAGCCCAGAGTCGCCTAAACACTGATTTTCAGGAGTTCAATAAACATACTATCAAATATCGGTGTGAAACAGCTAATGAAATAATCTTTCTGATGCTGATAATTTTCTGCCGATACAGATACGATTATGATATTATCGTGCATCCCTAACAAAAGCATCTAAATAATAATAATGATAATAATGATAATAATAATAATAATAATAATGATAATGATAATAATAATAATAATAATAATAATAATACCGTTATCTTAATTTATAGATCACTTTTCATTCTGGTGGCAGCTCAAAGTGCTTTACAGACAGGAGATAAAGCTTAACAGTATCAGAAGAAACTGAGTATCAGTTTAAAATCATGTCACTAACTCAGATCAGATTAGAGAGATAAACACAAAGAGCCGTAGAGTTTTACTGAAGCGCTGAGTTAAAGAGCTGCGTTTTCAGGTGTTTATTAAAAGTGAGCTCTGAGCTCGACTGTCTAATAAAAGCTGAACTGAGCTCCACAGTTTAGAAGCAGAATAACTGAAAGAGTCTCTCCGCGTTTTCTGTGTTTTACTGAAGGAGTTCAGAAGGTCAGAATCTGCAGATCTGAGATCATAAACAGACATTCAGGAGCTTTAAGGCCATTTAGAGCTTTAAAAACCAGCAGCAGAGCTTTAAACTCTCTCTAACAGATCCAGGCAGCTCTTTCAAACCCGACTCTCCCCAGGAGCTGCAAACAGGACCACGTTAAATGCAGAAGCCTCTGGTGACCATTACTGAGTTTCTCCTCGTATCTACTAAAACCTGCTGCTTGTCACTTGGGGACGGACTGCAGAGCCGCAGGACGTTGCCAGCTGGATGAGTGCAGCCACATGACACGACAGGGCCTAGAACTCGCTGACCCGTCCCGTCCCGTCCACCCTATACCAACAATCAGCTCTCAGCTCTTCCGCTATGCACGATTTCTCTTTCAATGAAATCCCCACTGCACAGTTCCTCATTCTGCTGGCTGGCACGTCGGCCTGAACTGAGCCACAGTGTGTGTGTGTGTGTGTGTGTGTGTGTGTGTGTGTGTGTGTGTGTGTGTGTGTGTGTGTGTGTCAGGGGTGACTAATTTTTTATTTTACTGACATAAAATGTGATGTTTGATAAATCTGTCAGACATCATGATGATGTTATGAGGAGCAGGGGTGGGCAATATGATAATATTGATTATTATCATGATAATTTGATGATGATGTCCATACATTGGAATGGTGCAGCACTAGTGTATATTAACATACTTATACATTCAGAGTCTAGTGTGTGTGTGTGTGTATATATATATATATATATATATATATATATATGTATATATATATATATTTTACAGTTTGTAAAATGTTGAATCAAATCATCACAGCTGTAAGATTTTTATTATTATTTATTATTATTATTATTATTATTATTATTATCATCATCATTACTACTATTACCATTATTACTATTATCATTATAACATTTAATAACTATGCAAAAAACAAATATGTAATAGTTAATTAAATGATATTGGTGAGCCTATATAAAAATATACTTATTTGTTTTTGTAGAGAGGAAAAATTATAATTACGATTATTAGATTATTATTTTTTATGTAGGTTCTATTTTGTCTGTTCCAACTTATTAAATCTTAGAGTAACTGAATCATTACGCATTTCATATACTGTGTCTTGAATTCTTGTGATAGAATATTTTTGGATGGGATGCAAGCACAGCCTTTTTTATGGACTTGTAAACAGAAATTAACATCTCCTTTAGGCAAAAAACAAAAATTATAAAAGCGCTGCTCAATATTGTGCAGAATAAAAAGAAATGAAATATTAACAGCTGCTCACATCAGAACTGAGAGCACGTTTTGTGCACTGAAAAGCTGAGATAGTCAGCACGACCTCAACAACTTTTCTATAAAAACAAGTAAATATATATTTATTTTTAAATAGACGCACAAATAATACATTTATTTTTGCTTAGTTATGAAATGTGTGTTGTGACAGTTGCTGTAACTGCCTCACTCACTTAAAACACAACGCTGTGTGTGAGAACAGTCCTAACGTCCGAAGTGTTTTTACAGGTGTGTAGTTCAGGATGGAGGAGTGTCTGAGCTGCTGTGTGTGTTTAGTTTAAGTTCGGGTTCAGTTCCTCGTCCCTGAGTGGGACAGCAGAGTTCAAACCCAGCACAGAGAAGCTCTCAGCTTCCGACGGTTTGTGTCTGTGATGACTCGGCGTCTCTCTGGCGCTGCGGGTTCAAGGTAATTTGATCTGATCTGTAAGCACAGCTCTTAACCATGTGTTTATCACTGAAACTCACTGCGATAACGATAAACATATGATCTGTAGTGCATCCCTAGTGTGTGTGTGTCTGTGTCAAAAGAAAACACTCACATCCACCAGCCAGACATCGTCCATTCTGTTGTCTTTAAACCTACACAAAAAGAGGGGAGACATAATCACTGCTCTCATCTGCAAACAAGCAGAGACGTCTTGAGACACTTCTGATATCATTAATCTTTCCTTTTGTTTACTGGATGTCAATAACAGACAAGCAATCTCTGAAATAAGTGTTAAAAATATCAATATCAAATCAAATTTAGACTGAAAGGAATTATGGTATTTGCTCTGTGATGTGTGTGTGTGTGTGTATATATATATATATATATATATATATATATATATATATATATATATATATATATATCAGAACGCATATATAACTTATTTAAACAGAGAGATTCAGAGTGGTTTGGTGTGAAATGGTTCAGATGTCTTTACAGTGGTGGTGATGGGAACCAGGGGTCGCCATGACTACAACACAAATATAGACATTTTATTTACTATCCAGAACCACCAGTGAACCTACACGAGTCTTCTGAGTTTATATGGAATGTTGATGATGGAAAATAGTGGAAAATCTGAAATAAGAAGTTTTCTTTGGGGACTATTTTGCCTCACAGCGCCCTGCATGTATCCCTCCACCATGAATGGAGTTTAAGTTCTCTAAACTATCATAAAACAGCGTCTCAGTCATCAGGCAGTGAATTCATAACCATTTCATGTAGGAACTTTCTGTGAGGGAGCTTTTAGAGGTGGACGTCTGGTTCCTATCACCACCACTGTGAACAATTCTGACTCGGTAAGTTTCTCTAGAACGGAGCGTTTCACACCAAACCACTCTGAACCACTCAGAATGACTCTGAACCATTTAATTATGCAGACATTTTAAAAATATGTGGGATTTTCATTTAAAATCTTTATAGTAAGGAAAACAGGATGCCATCACCCAGCCACATTGAGCTGTCTCAACAGCTGAATCCAGTTTGTTATTAGAGTTTGCTCGTTCCACCTTAAACAGCGCAGCAGTTACATTTTACGCAGCTCACAGCATCTCGCGCTCTGAACGTAACTGCTGCACTATTTAAGGTGGAACGGGGAGATTCGGACAAGACGCTGGAGAACGAGCAGCTAGGTTAGCAACACCGGGCAGGACCTCTTCAAAACAGAGCGAAGTAAAAACAAATAAGCGCTAAACTTACTTGTCATCTAGATCCTCGACGAAGGCAAACACCGCCGAGGTGAAGAGAGCCGCCGAGAGAGCTGTGGAGACAGAAATCCGCGGTTAAATCAGGGATTCAGAGAGAGAGACACAGAGAGAGAGAGAGAGACGGAGAGAGAGAGACCCTCTGACAGCACAGCGCCTCAGACTGTTAGCCTGTTAGCTCCGCTCAGCCGCAGCGCGGTTCCAGGCAGCTCTGCCGCGCATTAGAGCTCCGGGTCGGCCCGGCTGAGGCTGAGAGGAGGTAAAGGTGCACTGCAGCCTCGCGGCGCTGAAATAAGGAGTGCTCGGGGTGCTCAGGGTGCTCAGAGTGCTGGGAGTGCTCAGTACCTCCACAGGCTAAAGCGGCTCTCACTCCTGCCATCTTTACTGAATGAGAGCTTCAGCCAGGAAACGGAGAAGTAACCGTACACTCACTGAGCATGCGCAGTAGCGCCACGGAGCGGAGAATGAGGAAGGGTTGGTTGGTTATTTGTTATTAAGTTTAATTATTAATTTCACAATTTATTTCTTCAAATTCTCTATAATTTGTAGTGAGCCCCTAAAACGCCATTGTAAATAAATAAATAAATATATAAATAAAAAAAAATAAATAAAATAAAATAAAATAAGATAATAATAATAAACATCCCTCGCTGTTTTATGCAGAGGACCGTGTTTAAAAAATGCTATTTTGTTCCTTCGCAATAATGTTGCGTTCCCTCGCGAGTGCAATGGATTTTGCAACGCTAAAAATTTGCAAGGAATCACAAAACTATTGTGCCTTTGAAAGGACGGGGTGTATTTTTACGTAAACATTTGGTGCACACCAGATAGTTTGCTAGTATCTTATGTTCACCACATAAATGGAGTTTGCCTGCCAGTATCTGGTGCTCACCATATAGTATGTAGAGCTTGCTAGTATCTGGGGCTCACAACATGGTATATGATGTTCACTACATATTCAATACATCTGATACTCACCTGATAGTATCTGGTGCTCACCAAATAGTATGTAGAGCTTGCTAGTATCTGGGGTTCACAACATGGTATATGATGTTCACTACATATTCAATACATCTGATGCTCACCTGATAGTATCTGGGGCTCACAACATAGTACATGATGTTCACCTGTTGCATCAGGCACTCACCTGACAGTATCTGATGCTCACCACATAGTATGTAGAGCTCGCTAGTATCTGGTGCTCACAACATAAATGGAGTTTGTCTGCTAGTATCTGGTGCTCACCACATAGTATGTAGAGCTTGCTAGTATCTGGGGCTCACAACATAATGTGATGCTCACCTGCTAGCATCAGGTGCTCACCTGACTATCTGATGCTCACCTAATTTGCATCTCAAACAAATTAATATACCACATCAGCTTATTCAGTATAATTATATTCACAGATCTTTTTTAACTCCTCATAGACTCGACCCTACGCACCTTTCCCCGTCTCTCCTCTTTGTGCTTTTTGTCCTGATGGTAGACGGTGTGGCATTTTACATGCATTTTGCCTGCTGTGTTTAATATTAATATCTTGAAGCTTTCTGTTAAAAAATAAAAATAAGAAGTTTAAACGTTGTACTGAAAAAAGTACCAATATTACAAATGTCACAAAAACAAAAACACTGCACGAAAGTACAGCTTCAGTTCTAGGTAGTATGATGTGGATGCAGGGAGGTCAAGTTCTAGCTGAGGCTCCGACTGGGCCCGCAGACCTGCTAAGGCAAACATTACTCTTCACAGCAGAGGCCACCAACAATGCACCTGCAAAGGCTGCTGTCCGAACAGCAGAATCCCTCACGGTCTTCAAACGCAGACTGAAGATCATCTCTTTGTGAAGCACTTAAGTGACCCCTAATCTAAGCACTCATTGTAATGCACTGTACTGTACTCATGCTGTGTCTAACTCGGTGTTGTAGCACCAGCTTTTGTTTTCTGGCAGTGTTTGAGCTCGAGGGTAGTTTGGGCTCTAAGCTATTTGTACTACACTCTTAAAGAACGTTCTTTGTTAAGGACAATGATTCTATATAGAACCACGGACACAAATAGACATTTGTATGCTTAAAGGGTTCTTTACATTGTCCATTTTATCAGCTCCACTTACTATATAGGTGCACTTTGTAGTTCTACAGTTACAGACTGTAGTCCATCTGTTTCTCTGATACTTTGTTAGCCCACTTTTACCCTGTTCTTCAGTGGTCAGGACCCCCATGGACCCTCACAGAGCAGGTACTATTTGGGTGGTGGGTCATTCTCAGCACTGCAGTAACACTGACGTGGTGGTGGTGTGTTAGTGTGTGTTGCGCTGGTATGAGTGGATCAGACACAGCAGTGCTGCTGGAGTTTTTAGCATCGAAAAGGGTTCTACGATGTCCAGCTTGTAACAACAGAAGAACCTCAAGAACAACCCTTGTGCCTTAAGGGTTAGTTACTAAAGGGAATAGAACCACAAGGTCTATACAGAATCATTTGCCTGCTTAAATGGTTCTTTTACATGGTCAAATGGTTCATCAGATTGATTGAGAATGTGTTATATGTGGTTCTACATAAAACCTTTTTAAAAAGCAACAAAAAGGTTTCTTCTGTTACAAGCTTGACACCATAACAGAAGAACCCTTTTTGCTGCTATACAGAACTATTTTCAAAAGGGTTCTCTATAAAACCATCTAAAATAGATTCTCCATCAATCTGAAAAATGAGAACCATCGTTCTCTGAGTGGACAACAAAGCACTTTTGTACGTCTCTCTGGATTAGAGTGTCTGCAAACCGACGTAAAGAAAGAAGAAAGTAAAAACAACACTGTGGATTCCCTTTTATTCTTAAAATTTTATGTACAAGTGTGACTGATTTATTTTTGTTTAATGTACATTCAATATAGAAAGTTTATATACGGCGTATTATAGACAGTTTCACAATTGCACTAGTCTTTCAAACAGATTCATAATCAGAGTCAGTATCATTTCTCCCAGGTCCTTTTTTTCAGGTGGTGAAGATCATTACTCGGCATAAATAGTCTAGTGCTTTTTGCATTCTGGGGGCGAAAAGAAAGAGAAAAAAACAAAACAAGGACTTTGTTGGTAGAGACAGAGAGCGACGGTGACAGCGACAGCGACAGGAGTGATCTGGGGTTTACAGAAAGACATCTGGAGGACACAAAGACATCAAGGACTTGAAGACAGATCCGTCAGGACACACCGACACCATCACAGCTCTGTGTTTTTACGTCTCAACCTTCTCTTCAACGTTAACAATCAAACATTCATTTAAGGTACAGGAGTAGAAAAGGAGGACAGACAGAGTGAGGAATCACGCTGGCGGAGCTGCGGTCGTGTAAACTCCACACAGTCCGAAATTTGGTTAAGACGAGGAAGCTAGAACGCGTTTCTGTTCTGGAGAGACGCAGGCGGGATTAGAAAAGGAATGAAGGAGAAAAGGAACATAATAAAGTGAGATTCATCTCTGCAGCCTTACCGGTTCTCTCTTTTTATTAAATTTTTTATCTTCTCCGCACAAAAAAATCCTAAAAAATATTCATACAAAAGTAAACTTTGTCTCCTGGGAGAAAAACACAAATAAACAACATAATTCGACAGATTAGGAAGAAGAGAAAGAAGTGCTGATTTAAAACAGAGAGCGGAAAGAAAGGGATTCGCTGGAGACCGAGCGCTGTGAGGGAACACCGCAGACATTGGAGGGGCAGAAAGGGGCAGAATGTCCTCCCCTCTTCCCCCACCTCTATCTCCCTCCCTCACTCTCTCTCTCTCTCTCTATCCATCTTTTTCTTCGTGTCCCTCCGTCTCTCGTGAGGATAAGAAGGCCGCTGCTCTGGGGGAAGTGGTGCGGTCTGGGCGGCCGAGCTTGTTCGTAGTGCTTGGTGTCCGTCAGTCTGTGTATCAGCCCTGGTCTCCGATGTCGTTGTCTACGGGTGGAGGGACGCTGGGCATAACCGTAGAACTCGTGCCTGCCGTTAGATAACCTGCTACTCCCGGACCTGAACACACACACACACACACACACACACACACACACACACACACACACACACAATGAATGCATGCTCATTTCTCTAAGCTACCATACGCCTTTCTTTTCTTATACACTCTTAAAAAGATGCTTCTTCACAGGTTATTTAGCAAAGGAAACAGAACCATGAAGTATATACAGAACAATCTGCATGCTTAAACGGTTCTTTAGACTGATGCAGAAGCTTTTTGAAAAGCAACAAAAAAAGGATCTTCTGTTGTTACAAACTTGACATTATAACAATAGAAGAACCCTTTTTGGTGCTGTACAGAACCATTTTCAAAACGGCTCGATATAGAACCATATATAACACATTCACTGTCAATCTGAACAAAAAGGGCCCCCAAAAGGGTTCTTCCATGGCTATAAGCTTGACATCATAACAATAGAAGAACCTTTATGGTGCTATGTAGAACCATGTACAGCACATTCTCCGTCGGTCTGAAGAACATTTTCACCATGCAAAGAACCATTTAAGCATGCAAAAGGTTCTTTAAGTGTTCATGGTTCTATATAGAACCACTGTCTTTACTAAAGAACCCTTGAAGAATAACTGTTTTTGAGAGTGACTTATAGTCAACCTGGACCTTTATTTTCACCTGGTTGGTTTGTATTGCTGGTCATAATATCATGATTCATCACCACGATCCCTGTTTCTGTTAGACATCCGTCACGATACGTAAGTTGACTTTAATGAAATGAAGAGGGTGACTGATGTAATGGAATTCATAAAGCATGAGAAAGGTTGATATTCTTCAAGAACGACATAATTCTCATTATATTAGTTACTCATAGATCAACTACACCTACAGCCTGGCTGGTGGAGGTCATGATGAGGGTGTGTTTGAATGCTGGGGGTACCAGGGGTCGGATTCAGAAGTGTCTTAAGAAAGAAAATCTTAAATGTGTGTTTTTCCTAACATCATTCTTAAGTTACGAAAAAATGTTATCCTTAAAAAAAACGAGAGAATTATAAGAAGTTTTCTTTTCTAAACTACTGTCTTGACGGTATATGGTAAAATGCATCATAGCCTATATAAATGAACAATGAAGATTTTCTATATAGAGCCATTTTCTTTACTGAACCCTTGAAGGACTTAAAAGCTTATGTTTAAAAAATAGAAGTATAATAACGATAAGTAGCTGGACTCCTTTTTTTTGGGGCTAGCTCCGATGATTGGCACATCTGGGTGATGCCGTTGAATGTGTGTTACCATGTTGGCATGCTCGATGTTTCCTTAAACATTCCCTAAAACTGTCGAAGTTCACTAGGAACCCAAAGTTTTCCCACACAGCTGAAGCAGGCAGGTATTCCAGCTCCTGTGTGTCACCTGCGCTCACCATAGTGTGACTCAGGCAGACGCCAGTCAGCTTGAGTGAAGCTTAGCATGACACATCGCTAACTTACTAACGGCTTACAAATTAAAGGGGAACTCCATCGATTTCTCAAAAATTCTACAAAATTGAAAGGTTGAGATGTAAACAGAGTCGTTCAGAGTCATTCAGAGTGGTTTGGTGTGAAACGCTCCGTTCTAGAGAAACTTACCGAGTCAGAACTGTTCACAGTGATGGTGATAGGAACCAGACGTCCACCTCTAAAAGCTCCCTCACAGAAAGTTCCTACATGAAATGGTTATGAATTCACTGCCTGATGACTGAGACACTGTTTATGATAGTTTTGAGAACTTAAACTCCATTCATGGTGGAGGGATACATGCAGGGTGCTATGAGGCAAAATAGTCCCCAAAGAAAACTTATTATTTCAGATTTTCCACTATTTTCCATCATCAACATTCCATATAAACTCAGAAGACTCGTGTAGGTTCACTGGTGGTTCTGGATAGTAAATAAAATGTCTATATTTGTGTTGTAGTCATGGCGACTACTGTTTCCTATCTGACACTGTTTATATCTCAAGGACTGAAATATTCAGAAATTTTGAAAAATTGGTGAAATTCCCCTTTAAGGTTTCTGGATGGAACTTCTGCTTGTAAAATTTGGTTCTGCATTACGTTCAAGTGCTAGAGCTACATGGCAGGAGAAAGGGATGAAGCAGTGAAAGTGAAGATGAATGGGAAATGAGAGTGAAGGAGGGAAGGAAATGGAGTGCACAGAGAAGAGGGGAGTCTACCTGCGTTAAAGTAAAAGAGGACGGGGAGGGTCCCCGTTTGGCGCCCCCTAAAGTCCGCCCCGCAACGGACTACTGGCAGCCAGGAGAGAAGGAGTAGACACACCTGAGGAAGGAAGAGAAGGAGAAGAGGAGGAAAGAGAGAGGGCGAGAGGAGAGAGGGAAGCGAGCCAAGTCATAAGAATCAGACCAAGGATGTCAGGAGGAGGGTTTAGTGGTTCAGGCATCACAGCAGAAACGTAAACTCAGCCATTAACACACTCGGGACCTACAGAGCAGGACTGGACTACACTGAGATATCAGACTTCTGTAATAAATAAGTGAAAAACAAAAAAGGGAGCCCAGATAAACGATTCCCAAACTAAGCGAATTATCACTCCAGGGTATTTTAGAGTGGCAATGAAGGCAGTAGTTAAATATTATAATTAGGGCTGCACAATATGGACAAAATACTACATTACAATTATATTATTAGGGCTGGGACAGGTGATAAATCGCGACACTTTCAATAACTATTGATTTATTTCATTGTTTAAACGCACTGCTATTTTACTCTGACATTTAATATATCTAGGACAGTCTTCATTTGTGCCAGAAGGGGGCGACAAACCCTTAAAGCTTTGAACAGTTTCTGCTATGAGTCAGCAATTATTTATTTATTTTTTGCAGAATGGACTGTTATTCAATGTCTGCATCTATGAGTCGTACTGACTTAAAAAAGGAATAAAGATACATTTTTCGCTGTTACTGTTCAATGAATCAGTTTCATCCTCCTCTCCGTCCTCCTTGCACAAGTGTTTAATAAAACAGTGTCTCAGGGCAAAGCTGAGTGAAAAATCACATCTACTTTGTCATCTGTAAACATCAGCTTGGCGTGCAAAGACCTGACGACAACTCAATATTAAAAATAAACAACAGTTGAGACGTTTCGCAGCGTGGATTAGAGCGGTCATGCTTACAAACACAACAGAACGGAAAAAAAACTAATTTTACTTCAATTTCATGACAGTTTTCGCAAATTATCGATAAATCAAGTGTTTCCAGCCTTATATAGTAATACATATTTATATTCAACTACAGGCTACAGAAAACATATTAGTAAACGTGTGATGTTCACAGCACACAATATCACACAAACTGATTGGTTACATATTCCCTTTGTTATCTTTATCACCCAGGCAGATGCTACGATAACGATTAGGAAACGATACATTGTGCAGCTCTAGTACAGACAAACAAGCCTGTGTTAGGTACGCTGAGACTTAAAGCTCATCTCATCTGGGCTTTCAGGTACTTGTGCAGTCACTCAATTAGAGAATGAAAACTGCAATCTTGTATTTTTCCTTCTGTAATAATATAATCGACTGATAAGTTGACCGAGGTGCGCTAGAGAAGGGAAAACGTTAACCTGCGCAGTGCTGGAGAGAAAAGAAAGCAGAGAAAGAGGAGAGAGCCTTCGCTTCAGCCTATGTTGAAGCTGCAGGACAGCGGTGGTTTACATTAGTGCAGTGTGTGTGTGTGTGTGTGGTTGGTACCTGTTAGATAGCCTGCAGTCTGCGACTCTGAGATGAAGAGATCGTGTTTCTGATCTTTGAAGGCACTCCACACAGTGGAACGAGACAGGATTTCATTCACCTGCAACAACACAGCTGGTTATCTGCAGCACTGTAGGTCAGCGAGTCGAGTGATGAGTGCAGGAAACTACTCGTCTTCCACACAGGACTGTGCAAAAGTTGTGGATTTCTCCTTGATGCCCCTCAGCAACTTAAACAGCCAGAACACTTGATTTAACATAATGAAGCACTACTTAGTCAAATCAGGTATTGCATGATAACCGCAATTAATACTTGGCAGCCACTAGGAGAGTTTTGGAAATGGTTAAATGAAAACACACATATATAAAAGCATTCATATTTATTCATCTTAGTGTTTTCGTGAGCAAATAAACTCTTCCTGCCCAGATAAGCAGCTTTTTAATTGTAATTTTCTCATCCACCTTAACCTTTTGCACTGTACTGTATCTGCATGCGTATGCGTGCGTGTTCCTCACCTGTTCTCCATACTGGAGGCTGCGAGTCATGGATTTTAGAGCTTTGACGATCTGAGCTTTGGTTGCTGACGGGTTCTCCAGAGTCTCCAGCCCCACTCCCTCTAAAAGCTTCAACAAGTACGGCACCAGCTCCACCCTGAGAGCCTGTTTACAACACACAAACGCAGTTCAGCGATCCAGTAATTCAGGAAAAAGACTTAGAGAGTAAATGAAGTAAAACAAAACCGCTGTTTCTACATCTGCAGATTAGGCAGCTTCTCAAAAGTTAGATCTGACTGTGTGTGTCTGGTTGGATCCACACCAAAGGTTTAACTTCCGTACTGATACCAGCTGTTGTACCTCCGTATTGATACCATCAATTTTTTAAAAAAATTGCCTAATTAAAGGGATTCAGAGTGGTTTGGTGTGAAACACTCTGTTCGAGAGAAACTTACCGAGTCAGAATTGTTCACAGTGGTGGTGATAGGAACCAGACGTCCACCTCTAAAAGCTCCCTCACAGAAAGTTCCTACATGAAATGGTTATGAATTCACTGCCTGATGACTGAGACACTGTTTTATGATAGTTTTAAGAACTTAAACTCCATTCATGGTGGAGGGATACATGCAGGGCGCTGTGAGGCAAAATAGTCCCCAAAGAAAACTTATTATTCCAGATTTTCCACTATTTTTCATCATCAACATTCCATATAAACTCAGAAGACTCGTGTAGGTTCACTGGTGGTTCTGGATAGTAAATAAAATGTCTATATTTGTGTTGTGGACACATGGTTCCTATCACCACCACTGAGTCGTTAAGTTTCTCTAGAGTTAATATCAAACCACCAAATTACTTTGTTTACATCTTAACTATTTAACTGTACAGAAATAAAAAAAAAATGGAATTTCCCTTCAAATGACTAATAAAATGAAACTGAAAATGACATTTTTCCCCCTATTAAGCATCTTTATTAACTAAGTACTAAGTAAGATTTTACAGTTACTTACAATGTGATATCAGAACTGAGTGTCTTATTAATTTATATGGGTTTTAACTTCAAATATTTTGGCATATCATCCACTGAGTCTCCAACATCGCACTAATTAACTTGTCTCTAGCGTTGGTTTAATTATGCGTCTGTGGAGGCAGCCTCAGTCACTCACCTACCAGTCTAACCCTCAGTGACACAAAGATTAGGCTGCCATGGTCTCACACCATGTTTTTATTTTTTCATTACCTCTACGCAAAACTGCCATATTTCACAGCTACAGCTATGCCTTTTGACAAGCTGCGGCAGATATGTAAGCCATTATCTCCATGTTATATCAGCCCACTATGCCAGGTTTTACAGACACAGTGTTTTTTGGTAATAGCAATACAAAGCAAGTGCGACCCGCCTGTATTAGGCACTGAAATAAGAAAAATAATCGTATTGTACTGTAAATATTTGGTATTGCTGTACCTGTGCGACCAGCTCGGTCTGCTCTTTCTGGAACATGCGGTTGAGGGCCTCACAGGCCAGCCCAGCCATATCAGCCCTGACCTTCATCCCACTCATCAATGGCCCAATGGTCTCCAGCGCCGCCATGGAGCGCACACATAACTGCAGAGCGTGGGCAGAGACACAAAACAAGTTTGGCAACACAGGAAGCATCATCAGTGATGTGTATATGAGACTTCTGAGAGCATTTCTGGGGACCAACAATGAAATGAGGAACAGAAGGAAAAAAAAAACGCACAAAACAGATTTTACTGGTTAAGATTTTCTTTTACTTACTGTGGTTTAAAGGTGCAGTGTGTGAGATTTAGTGGATCTATTAGCAGAAATGGAATATAGTAAACAAAACAATGTTTACAGTGTTTAATCACCTGTAATTACAAATCACTGTTTTCATTAGCTTAGAATGAGCCATTCATTCTCTACATAGGGAGCAGTTCCTTTTCCAACAGAGGCTGCTGCCGCCATGTTTCTACAGTAGCCCAGAACCGACAAACCAAACACTGGCTCTAGAGGGCGCCTTTCACGTTTTTACGCCGAAGCGGTGGCGCTAAATTTGGTGGTGCTGTAGCTCCGGTTGGAAAACGTAGAAAGAAGAAGAATCAGTGGCTGCTGCCGGTACTGGATGACCATTTTGTTAGTGTCCAGCGTAACATTTTTCTCCCAGTAGATCACAGTTTTACTGGCCCTTTGTATATTTTTACTGGCCCAGAGGAAATAAAGAGAAAAAAAAACACTTTTCCATAAATTGTTAATTTATTAATCGTATATACACTGTAATGATTTGTGCAATGTAGAACTGACTCATTTTCTTCTTAGAACATTTTAAAGAATTTAACATTAATTGTTAATTAATATTATTTAATATGTAATTAATTTTTGCTTTCATTCATTTTGTGGCATCGCCACGTTGCTGTATGTAGCTCAGTTAGGAAAAAAAACTGTTTATGCTGGGGTGTTTTAAGCTCGTTTAGACGAGGACTTTTATGTTGAAGGGCACTAATACAGCAGGAGTGCTGGGGGAAGTTAGGGAGGCTGTGTATTTAGCTTAGCGAGCTAACAGTTTGGTCATCAGGAGTCAAAAGTGAGTCACGCCTGTTTTGTGTGCTCATATTTCGACTTCAGTTCAGTGTTTTCGTGGTTAGAAGCAGAAAACACAGAAAAATACAGATGTGTGTTGAATCTCTTTACAATTGCAACAACACTGCAAGCTACAAGTCTCGGTTCATTTGTTTAATATCAGTTTTTATGCCTCCTCTTTTTATTTACCTCGATAGCCAACTTCCTCACCTCTCACTCACTGTTCAAACACCTCAAACTCAGCCTCACGGCTGATCGGGGGTTGTGATGCTGCTGTAGTTCTGAATTCTGATTGGCTGGATCATTGAGCTGCAGAGGAGTCTCCTCCAAAGACCGCTGCTGCTGAGGACGCTACAATGGATGCGTTATACCCAGCAACGGTCCTTTAAATGAGCCGCACCGACTGTCACTGGCCTGAACAGGTCAGCGACTGGCCAATCAACTTGCCCAACATACTTTTTTTTAAGCAATGGCCATCGAGCGGATATTATTTAGCACAAGAGAAAGTGAGGGAGGGTGGATCCTTGCTGTCAAAGATGCAAAACAAAATCAGGACAGGCGACGGCAGAAAACCTGACAGCACCGTAGGTTCTACTACACGCTTGGAAAGGGAGGCGTGAGGGAGGGGGATTCAGTCGCTTGTAATCTGCAACCTCACCACTAGATGCCACTAAATCACACTGCACCTTTAAAAGAAAAAGTCCAAAAAAGGCTAATGCTGCTAACAGTGAATGCACATCCACCAATCCGAGTAATGGGTGCGACATCACGCTAAATGTTGGCTACTAACTTGTATTTATAATTAGCCATCTTAGCATGTGAGGTTAAGACACCTATAGATCTACAGAAAAACAATATTAGCAGAAATGTATGTTTTGTTTGTGGATTTAATGCACCTCATTGTCTGAGAGGACATGGATGAGTCTGATGGAACTTTTGGGCACAGCGTTGTTCTTGTGGTTGAGAGCCGCCAGGACGCGGGGCAGGTGACCCAGAGGAGGAACCTGGTCAGCCAGCTGAGTCTGAGTGCTGAACAAACACACGGCCGCCGTGGTGACCGTCTCCAACGCCTCCCCCTGACAGAGGAGCGGTCAGGGAAGGAGAGCGAACGAGGGACAAAGAAAAAAGAACATCGTTATGAGGTCACATCATCTGTCATCATCACGTCTGTCTGGATAAATCAGACGTCACAGCTCCACTGAGTGTCTGTGTGGTTGACTATGTGGGTGGGCTCACATTGGGGTTGTTCTTCTCCAGCAGTTCAGTGAGGGTCTCGAGCAGGGAGACGAGGAACTCGCGAGGTTTGCGAAGCACCCAGCCAGGCTGAGCGATGAAGATCCGCAGGAACACGCCTCCAACCTCCAGCTCACCCTGCCCTGCTGCGTACGCTACTGTGAAATCTTCAGGCAGCTACATAAACAAACACACAGGGTAAATTCCATCACTGTTTTTTCTAGTTTAAAACACTGCTAAACTGTGAAACACAATGATTTTATTCAAACTTTGGCACTAAATCCAGTTAAACAGGGCTAATTTTCCTCTCTTTATAATGAAACGTAGTCAGCCAGTATAAGTACTGACAATATACACAGATTTTTTTTTTACTATGCACATATTTTTATTTATTTTATTGTTATTACTATTTTTTAGCACTATTTATGTATTTTTAAAGGCATTATTTGAATGATCCAGTGATGCAGCACAGATAAGGTGTTATGCAGTGAGGAGAGTTTTACTTTCTTTATTTAATTTTCTTTCTGTCGTCTGTCCTGATTGTCTAAGATACAATTAAAAAAAACAACCTCACAACTGAACGTGCAGCATCTCACCTTCCAGTTTACATCAGGATTATCCTTCTGCTGCCTGAAGTGACTGAAAGGAGAAGAGTAGAAACAGACGGATGTTAGAAACATAGTGCAATAAGAGAGAAATGGAGGGAGCTTCCCAAAAGCATTGAAACGTTAAGCTGTTTCGTCACTGGGGGGAAAAAAAAATATATTCTATATTTCTATATAGTACCAAAAAGTGTTCTTTGGCTTGTAACAGTAGTGGAACCCTTTTTGGTGCTATATATAGAACGATTTTCAAAAAGGCTGCTATATAGAACCATTTACAACACATTCGCCATCAACCTGAAGAACCATTTCACGATGCAAAGAACCCTTTAATCATGCAAAGGGTGCTTTGACATTTTATGGTTCTATATAGAATCATTTTCTTTACTAAAAGAACCCTAAAAGAACCATCTTTTTTAAGAATGTGTATCACATGTGGTCCCTGACGTCTCTAGACAGCTCTACTCAATGCACATTTGTTTATTTTGTTTTTCTGTTCTTTTTCTGAACACTAACAGCCGGAATAGAACACTGCTGTACCTCACCCACCCAGTATTTCCGTCTGGAGAACGTTGAGCTGAACATTAGAGTGCTTTTCGGAATACTAACCTGCTTTTAGGGAAAAGTGTGTGCATGAGAGCAGAGGAGTCACTCACTCAAGCATCATCTCTCTGACGGTGGTGGAGACGGTCTCTCGCGAGGCGTCGTTCCAGATCAGCTCTGGGTTTTCATGCGTCCCCTCGAAGATGTGCACGGCTGCTTCTGCGTTGTCACGCATGGCATCCATGAAGACACCCGGCAGGAAACGCACCAGAGTCAAACGCACCTGCGGTTCAGAACCAGGAGAGGGAATAAAAAAGAAAAAGAAAGGATTATTAGTGTTTCTCCTGCTCTCACACGCCTAATAACTGATCAACTCAGTGGGGAACACATGATTCTGTTCATAGTATTCGACTGTGTCATTCAAGTCCACATCTCCATGGTGGTAGGTGGGCTGTAGCTCTGACTGTGCTCTGATGGAGCTCGTCTCATAACTGTTACTGCAGATTCAGCCCTGCAGGAGGATCAACACCAACACAGACCAGAATCACCACAAACACATGAACAGATATGAGGACACTTTAGATGCAGTCTGTAGAAAACTGTACGAGGAGAAGATCAGCTGATGGTGGTTTGGATCTGTGAAACCTGCACGTCTCCAGAGTTCAGAACATTCCAATATGTGATATTTTATAAAAACCGGCTAAAAGTGGCTACCAAAACTGCCAAAGCGCTTAAATAATAAACTCAACACAGCTCAAATCAGCTTTTTATTCACCAGCTTCTCATTTACATTTTTCGTTCCACTTAAATGGAGCTGCAGTTATGCTGAGGCGCCTTAAACGGAGAACGAATTTCGAAAGTTGGCAAATATGAAGCAACATCAGCTTAATTTACCTCAATAAATGCATCCTTTATCAACAAACACCTCAAACTTTCACTTGGCAATGTTTACTGAGCAGCTAATGTGATCAAACACCACGTCCCAAACCACACACTTCCGTACTTCACCTAATGAGTGCACTTCTAATAGTATTTGTGCTATTTTTGCATACACAAAAATAATAATGAAGCAGGGGATTCTCAGCTATTTAGAATTTTAGCTTTCATTTTTCATCACTACAACCACCAATCAAATAAAATCTAGTCACTACACTCACATATACTGGTTAATGTGCTTTAAAAAGTGTTTAAAAAAACGTTTTACTGCCTTTGCTGGATCGGTTATGGCTTTATTATCTCATTACACACAGCCACAGCACTGCAGAGTGAACTTGAAATTGCCAAACAAAAAAGTGGCTGCACGACTGTGATGTCATCGGAATACCATCGATTCACAGAAAGCAAGGAATCGTGCAGGAACCTTTGTTCTAACCAGAATATGAGACAGTGGGATGTGGCATCCGCCTAAGCACATATATATATATATGTGTATAATAGCATGGAAACTCTCACCTTGGGGCCGACCAGCTTGTCTGAGGTCATCTTGGAGAAGAGCTCAGCAGTCTGGGAGCGCACCTGAGGGTGGGTGGAGTTACAGAACAAATCCAACAGGTAGATCAGCGCACCTGCAAAAAAATAGACAGGAACATAAGAGCTTTAGGATCTTTTCCATCACCGCTTCGGTTCTACGACTGAAATGCACTGGAGCTGAAATTGAAGGTGTTGTGCTGCTACAACTGAAATAAACTGCTTGAAGATCTTTGATGAGCTTCTAAATAAAAATACTGGTTCTTCAAGGGATTTTCAGTAAGGAAAATGGTTCTATATATAACCATGGACACTCAAAGAACACTTTGCATGATTAAAGGGTTCTTCGCATTGTGAAAGGGTTCTTCAGATTAATGGAGGATGTGCTCTATATGGTTCTAAATAGCACTATAAAGGGTTCTTCTATTGTTACGATTTCAATCTTGTAATCATAGAAGAACACTTTTGGGTGCTATACAGTACCAAGTCAATATAGAACCATATACAGCACATTCTCCATCATTTCATGATGCAAAGAACCCTTTCATCATGTCAAGGGTTCTCTGAGTGTTCATAGTTCTTCATAGAGCCATTTTCTTTACTAAAGAACCCCTGAAGAACCATTTTTTAAGAGTGCCGTGATTTTTAAATACAGGTTGAAAACACTTCTCATGTGCCTGTACCTGAGCTCTAAGACTCACTTCCACCGTACTGTAAGCTAATTTTAATAAATCATTTAATAAAAATGGTTTTAATTTCATTTTTTATCTCTTTATTTTGCTTTTACGTACTTTGTACTTCCTTTTATTGATCTGCTTCATTTCTCTAAGCTACTGCAGTTTGCATCTTTTTAGCACTTTATTTCCATCGCTTTTCATTCTTAAGCACTTGGTGTTTATTTTTCCTTTTGCTGTTCCTTTTCCTTTTATTTAAGTAAAGCAAACTGAATTGCTTTTGTTATATAAACAAACTTGCCTTGCCTACAGTGTTTAATGATACCTTTTCCTTCTGAAAATACACAGTAAATAAAGGGTCAAATGTGGGTCTGCTAGGCCGTCGCAGACCTTGTCACGTGTACCAAAAAACGTGAAAGAGAGCAGACGACTCTGATTGGATAGAAACTCAAAGTTCTACGTTCTGGATTGTTTCCGTGATCACAGTGTGCAGCTGTGTTTACTTTCGTGCTTCTTTCAGAAACAGAACGGGTTGCCACCTATTTAGAACTAGGATCAATATACACCGTGGAGTATATTGGAGGTCCTGACCACTGAAGAACAGGGTAACAAAGTATCAGAGAAACAGATGGACTACAGTCTGTAACTGTAGAACTACAAAGTGCACCTATATAGTAAGTGGAGCTGATAAAATGGACAATGAGCGTAGAAACAAGGAGGTGGTCAGAATGTTGTGCCTGATCGGGGTACAATTATAAGACGATACGATTTCATTTTCAAACGTTTTTCTGCGACTGTGATTACTTTAAACAGTAGTCCAAGCATTCAACTTGCAGACTAACTGGAATTTTCACGAAAACAGTGAATCTGGCAACCCTGCGTTTCACTGCTGCTTCATAGCTGCATCGTCATACAATTTTTCATAGAAACTACAGATGATGTCCTGTTTCGACGCTGTCACTGGTGCAGGACCATGAAAGCCTTCACTGCTGCGACATCTGTCCACCACAGTATCCTCTTGTCGGACGACACGTGTCGCCTAGACTATAAATCAGCCTTTAGGTGTAGAGTCATATACTAACTTCAGTTACACAAGTTATATTAATACGTCACAGAGCCTCAGATCCCTCATAGAGGCAGCCTCACCTTTGGCCATTGCTTCTTTGACAATCTTGGTGTTGGAGGTCAGTGCATACAGAGTCTCCAGAACAAGCTGTCTGCCTGTGTAAACAAGCAGAACAGGAAGAAGCATAAAAAGGGAAAGTCTTAGTGCATTTCTATCTGTTAATATTTGAATTTTGACTTTTTCCATTACATATTTTTCAGAAATTACCAAAAAAAAACAACAACAAACATTTAGTTCAGACGAGCGTCTCTATTCAGTAATAAGATCATTCTGATTTTCAGACACTCTGAGGAGCTTACTGGACGGTAGGGAGTGCAGCAGCACCAGCAGATTGGCCAGAACCAGCGACTCCGCGATGTTACTGACGCACTCCTGGTTAGACGTGACCGTGTTCACAACCTGGAACCGAAACACACATCGGAGCAAAGACAACAGCAATTAAACAAAGATTTGATCACTTCCTGAAGACTAACTGTTGTTGAAAACTGATAACAGCAGGTATGATGAGATTTGCCCTCATATTTCTGGGCCAAGTATCACAGACCTGATCTGGTTAATAAAATTCTTAAACAGTATCTCAGTATTACTGTCAAGTGTTTAATTAAGTGTTTAATTAACCCCCCCCCACTGTCTAGATTCGAACTCGCCATCTGCAGATGATAATGCAAAACCTTAAATGGATGCCCAGTATCACGGCTATTTTAATCTTAATTATAGACAACAATATTGGCTGAACTGATGAATTTAAACATAAAAATGCATCATAATTAGAATAATCTTCTAAGCCACTTATACTTATGGGTCACGGGGGGAGCTGGAGCCTATCCCAGCAGTCACTGGGTGGAAGGCAGGATACACCCTGCACAGGTCACCAGGGCACACAGACAGATATATACATTCACACCCACACTCACGCCTAGGGGCAATTTAGCATGTCCAATTGTCTAGACAATTAGAATTAATAGACAATTTAGAATCAATTATAATATAATAACATTATATTGTTATTGGTTATCAATCATTTTTTGTCTCTTAAAATCAGTGTCAGCCAAAAAATTTTCATATCGTTTAGGCTCTAAAAAAAATAAGGTAATACGTTTTGTATATGCATGAACATAAATGTGTGTGTGTTGTGTCATGGCTAAAAGTAGGCTCACCTCCAGGGCGAGCTGCTGGACCTTCCCGGCTCCGTGGACTCTCAGCAGAGAAAACAGCAGCTTGAAGTGGCCAATGCACTCCGTCTCAGATCCTGTAAAACAGCAAAACACGTAGAACGTTTGCTTATCTCTCCTGCCAAACTGTCTGTCTTGGTCAAAACAGGCTGGACCAAATCATGAATGGAACTAAGATGCAATGACACAAAAAATTCTATATTGGTTTTGAGGCGATGCGATATGATATATTGTTTGATACAGTGTGAATACATGTTGTTTGATGAGTGTGTGAATACGTGCCAATATGTTAATGTTAATATGTTAACATCAGCGTCATGCACACAGCACACATGTATCCCAGAGACGTAACGATGCACATATTTGTAGGTTTGATGGGATTTTCGGTTTCAACAATGTTAAGAATAAACCTCCAAAATTACAATCCAGAGAATTTAGAACAAATGTATAAAAAGCCTTGTCATTTAAAAGTGAGTGTATAATAAGCCCCTCCCTCTTATCTCTGATGTTACAAAGTACAGCACTTAAGGCATCCACCCTTGAAACCCCTTTATGATGCAGCTTGGTCAGTCCGGACCTCAGGGAGTTCTATTCATCCTTTTAACCTGACCTGATGCTTGACGTCCATAAGAACAGTGGAGATGCCACTTTATCATCAGCAACACCAAAAACACCCTCAAAGACCACTGGGAGACCCCACCTTGGGATAATATCCTTCACCAAGCATTTAACAGTATGCAGGGCAGTAACTTCTGTAGTGGCATACGCCTCAACCCATCTCGAAAATCTGCTATCACCAGACAGGAGAAGGTCACTTACCTGCCTGATTACCCCACTTATCTGCCTTATTAGCCCACTTATCTGCCTTATTAGCCCACTTATCTGATTGTCACCTCATTGATCCCTTTCTTTGCCACTATACACCCTTTAACTGCTGCTGCACTCAGCACTTTAACTTTAGACCCATACTCTGCACAGTGTAAAGGTTACAGGTATGACTGTGTGTGTGAGAGTAAGTGATGGTAGGAATGCATATTTTATTGTATTTTATTTTATTTTATATTTATTTTATTCACTACATGTAAATGTCAGTCTGATACTGTGTTCTGTGAGCTCCTGTAACCAAAACCAAATTCCCTGTATGTGTAAGCAAATCTGGCCAATAAACCTTGATTCTGATTCTGAGGAGGGGTGTGTTTTAAAGCACCACGATGTATGATTTGGGGATTTGGAGACCTCTCTGGCAGAAATATGTAATTGCACACAATGTGCAGAAGAACATCTAATATCGGTTGTGCTTTCGACCCCAGCAGTGGATGAATCTGGCTTTTGTGAGTGCGATAAGAGAGAATTCAAAGTTTAGAGCTCAGTCTAAACTTGGTGCGTCTCTGAGGATGTGAGTGAATTATCTACTACTGTCATCACATCTTCATCAGTATGATGTTGATTTTGAGATCATTTGAGGCCGAAACATCGAGCCGGACCTTCTTTTAGAGTCTGTGTGTGAGGTTAATACGTAAAGACGTACAATGTGGTGTGAAAAACTCCCTCTGACTTTTAAATGATGATTTCAGGCTTTACAGGGCGACTCACAACAGCTCACACTCACCATGTTTTAACCTGTTTTTACTCTCCTCACTCAGTAATGACGCTTCTTTCAGTTTTAACAACAAAATCTTACACAGTGCTGCATCACACGGTCAAATTAGATTGTTTTTTATATATTGATACCATTACACCCTCAGAAATTAGGGATACATTAATCTCCTCTTTGTACTTCTTCTATAAAAGTTAGTGTGTGTAACTATGTGAACGTAAGCATGTCATCACTGACGGGACAAAACTTCGCATCTCTAAAATGGTAACATATCAGCATTCCTACCTTTGAATGGACACTGATGGATCAAGATCTTAAGACCTTAAAAGCAACTTTTAGCATTTCTATTTCATATATATCACAAAATTTTAACACATTATAAAGGGCAACATCCATTTTTAAATCCTGCTCTGACAGCAACGGTGTTTATACACTCAGGGGTGTGTGTGTTACCTGGGTTGTTCTTGATGACGTTGCGCAGCGCCTCCAGCGCCATCTCGGCCCAGCGCAGTCTCTGAGCGTGCTGCTGAGACTCCACTTTATTAGTCTGGGTCATCGCCAGCAGTGTGTGCAGATACTGAGCCTGAGAGCCCACATAGTCCAGGAGACTCGCCGCAAAGGCTTTTGGATACTGAGAGAGAGTGAGAGAGAGAGAGACTTAAGCGGGGAAGCCTTTCTGAGTAGGGTTGGGTGTTTTCTTCAGGGAAAAATTGCAATGGATGATGAGATCGGGGGTGGGAGTGGGGAGTGTAGTAGCGATTAGAGGTCTCCACAGGCCTGATTATTAATATCTGCACCCACCCGATTCAACCCCTAATCACGTCTGCCTGTGCCCGCAAAATCTAGTGTGATTCTTGCCCACTGTTGCCCGCAAAACCTAACACCAATTTTGCCCACGCCCGCCCGGTTCAACCACACGCCACGCCCACCTGCGCCCGCCTACTTTGGGCTGTGCATGTGGTCCTCATTAACTCCTGCCTGCGTTTGCTGTAATCCGCTCTGCTGATGTGGGACGTGTCCACGGAAAACCACTGGGAGTTCAGCTTCGCTACTAACATTACGTTTATCTGTGTCATTATATTATTAGCTAATTACTCTATAAGACATCTACAAGACAGCTGAAATGAATTTGAAGCCAAAAAAGCCAAAAGAATTTTGTGAAAAAAAAATAGTTTGATTTTGTGCTTAGATATTCACTGTATGTTCTGTAGCTTCATGTGTTTTTGCTGCTTGTGATTACTATCGTGTTTTCTCTGCAGGACACTTGCAGCTCATTTGGTGCCTGTTCGCTTCTACGAGCAGCCAATAATTGTCCAAGCCCGCCCAACTTAACCAGCCATAATACCTGCCCGCACGAGCCCACAACCTGAGGGCTGTTTACCGGCAATGACCGCGGTGCTTCAAAATTAATCCCCACACGCAAATTATTTCAGCAGGTCATTCAGGACCCGCAAGTGACCCCGCCTTGTGCAGACCTGTAGTACCGATAGTCTTACTAAGGTACTATAAATACTCAAATACATACACATTCATCAGTTCAGATCTCCAGGTAAGTGATAAGTGGTAAATATTGTTTTCTACGCTACAGAAGAAACACTGGAATTATAGCGGAGCAGAGTTTGTGAGCGGTGCTGAGCGATGTGATCTTTGCTCGGAGCGGCTTTCCAGAAATCGCTCCATCCCGTGAGCCAGGCGTGACAGGGGATGCAGCAGCGACTCTACAGCTCACACACGACTGTCGTTCATACACAGCTCCTGCGCTGTGGAGCTGTTATGCAGAACTACAGACTGGAAAATCTCCCTGATCACAACAAAGTTCTATCGTCATCACATTCGTTGCCAATTTTGCTGCAAGAATGATAAAGAAAATTACACACTGCACACATTTCTAGATTAGGCCGTCACTTCAAGCCTAAACCTTCTGACAAAAGCCAGAACAATGAACTAGTTTAGCATTTAATAACAGCCATAAATCATACAATTGATGAAATAAAGTGTGGAGTGTCTCCACACGTTCAAAAGATAAAAGAAATATCAATGGATCATGTGGCGCAGACACAGAGCGGGAAACAGAAAACCTGGAGCGGAGTGATTACACAAACGCTGTCTGTTGGCATACTCTGATAGCAGGCAGGGTGCGCTCCACCGTCAGTGTGGACAGATGGGGGGGTTTGGGAATCAACACCGTGATGTCTGTCAGCCATCGACGATGGACAATGCCATCATCTATCGGCCCTACCCTACTTCTGAGATCACAATCTAACTCTAAAATGCATCTAATCTATGTTCTGCATGACTAAAACCAATACAGGGAAATAATAAACTGAATAAAACTAAATCAGGAATGGCACCAGCGTGGTGGAACGTTATATGTGTATGTACGTCTGCTGTTTCTCACCTCCAGAGGAAAGGCAGGCTGCTCGTTGTAAACACGCACAAAAATCTCTCCCACAATCAGCTCTTTGCCGTGTTCACTAAACACAAACTCTGCACCGAAGCTCTTGTCGCATTCACCCTGTAGAGACAGACGGAGTTTAGTCCCAAGTTCAGCAAAGATCTCAACCTAAAGTTACACAGTACATTACTGAGAAATGGAAACATTAGGTATATCACTCTGAGAAACACTGCATAAGTCCTCGTTCTCACCCTCTTGATATTACTTTCTTGCTGCCCCTCCAGAAACTCCAGCAGCTCGGCCCTGGTTCCGTTGTTCCAGATCAGATACGGGTTCTCCGAGTTGCTGTTCAACAACTTCAACACCTACAAAACAGAAAAGACACAAATCAGCATGATAAACACATTATGATGACTTTAAGAACGACATGTTGACCAGGGCTGCACGATAAATCGTATTCGTATTGTTATCGCGATACAAGTTCACATCTTTAAGAGCTGCGATGACGGAACAAATCAAACTACCTCACACAGGCAGCACCAGAGAGATGTCATTACATTAATGGCACAAACCGTCTGAAGCCTAATGAGAGATTCTCCACACTGGGAATGAACCCTGCTCTCAACAACGTAAAGTCAGAGACGATAGCTCATCTGCTGCTGCAGTTTGTGTTGGTCATCCTCTAGTCCTTCATCAGTGGTCGCAGGATGCTGCCCACAGGACGCTGTTGGCTGGATGTTTTTGGTTCTCAGTCCAGCAGTGACACTGAGGTGTTTAAAAACTCCAGCAGCACTGCTGTGTCTGATCCACTCAGACCAGCACAAAACACACTAACACACCACCACCACGTCAGTGTTACTGCAGTGCTGAGAATGATCCACCACCCAAATAGTACCTGCTCTGTGAGGGTCCATGGGGGTCCTGACCACTGAAGAACAGGGTAAAAGGGGGCTAACAAAGTATGCAGAGAAACAGATGGACTACAGTCTGTAACTGCAGAACTACAGGGTGAAACTATACGGTCAGTGGAGCTGATAAAATGGACAATGAGTGTAAAACAGGGTCAGTGAACTTCACCCATACAAAATAAAGGCACTCGTGTATTTGCCCACGTTTTTTTTTCTAACGTAATTTTAAAATTTTACATTTAAAAATTGTGGCAGATAGACTGTATCAGCAAAACAATAAATATTGGTCAGGCCCGTTGCAATGACCTTACTGACCATCTCTCACAAGACTTGCATACGTTCTCAATCACAAAAATCAAACGATTTGTGTTGAGATGCTCTGAACTGGAGTTCGATGCTACTCTGCTTTATTCTCACCTCGGCTGGTGAGTTGGTACCCAATTTGCGTGAGATGTAAGGGGTCAGCATGGCTGCCAGGCTCTTCCTGATGGTGGGGTTCTCTGGAGGGGGTCCCACTTTCTCTCCCCCGTTCGTCTCGGCTTCAGACTCTCCTTCCGGGCTGCTGGCCGGGCAGCTGTAGCCCCCGAGGCGGCCCAGCGCCACCAGGCTGAGCTTGGCTAGGCTGTTGGCCACCTCCTGCTGGTTGGTCTCCTGGCTGGTCTGCACGCCGCTCTCCTCCAGTGTGTAGTCGTAGTTGAAGAGGTTGACCAGCAGGTGCCAGAGCACCCCGGCGTGGTAGAGGTGCGTCTGCAGGAAGAAATCGACGGCGAAGGAGCTCACACACTGCACGGTCAGCGCGGCCAGACGCGGAAGAGCCTGAGAGGAAGAAGGGGGGGAAGAAGGGGAAGAAGGACAGTGTTATTACACTCTTTTCATCAGACACGAGCATAAGAGTGTCCCAGGGAAGAAGGTTACCTTGCCATAGTAGAGTATGTGACAAACATCTCTGATGATGTTTGGAAGCTCAATGATTTTCTCTCTGCACTCCTCGAACTGAGCGGCTACGCTGTAGCATCTACAGATGTGCCCGCACACCTACAAATCACAAAACACAGTAATCCCAAAGAAATGATGTGCTTTCTGGCATATTGGCTGCATTTCTGTCTCTCTCTCTCTCATATATATATCGCTGCTGTCGGAACAAAACCTTATATCTCCAAAATGGTAACCTTACAGGAGAAGGGAAAAAAAACATTTTACTTTTAATGTAAGTCAATGGAACCAGACGTCTCTTCAAGTATTTTTAGGCTGTTTCTTTTGGCCTATTCATCATGAAATTTACACACAATGTAAAGAACAACAGGCATTTTTTAAATTATGTCAAAAACATCACAAAAATTGACCTCTTTCTGGACCTTTAAACATTCGTTTGATGAACAACACACACACATAACTATTATTGCTGCTGTGGACCAACAGCTGGTCTATTTTCTCTGCTGTCTGGTGCTCAACGGTTGTATAGTTGTAGTCAAGGTGCAAAATATAGGGGGTTCTGGGGCATCTGGGACACCCTAATTAACCTCTTGGACCCCTAAATGCCCCTAAATCTCTGAGAGGGTCCCAGAAAATAAACCTATGATTTAATGCTGCCCGTTAGAGAAAATAGTGACGCTCAAATCCAGATTCAGTGAAGCTGATTGTTTATCTGCTTCCCCCACAATCAGCTTCTGTCTCTGGTGTTCTTAACTAACTAGAGCTGCAGCACTGCTCTGCCTCAGGGTGGCGCTGTAGCAGACTGGTTCACCCAGTTGGTCCTTTCATAGTCTAGAAACTGTAACTCTGCCCGGATTCCTCTGAAAAACTTTACAATGAGCTGCAGCAGATCTGTAAATCTGAAAACTCGCCCAGTTTCCCAAGAGTTTGGAGTGAAGAGTGACTGTTCCTCATTTCTCACACTGAAGACAGAAGAGGAGACGAGGAAGATCTCAGTTACTGTGAGGAAGAGCACAGAACCGCACTAGAACAGAGACTCTACAGAGGAACAGCTGATAAAACAAACATTTACTGACACTGAAGCTTCGGCGCCGCTATGGAGAGAGAGATAGCAGACAGACAGAATACCAGGGAGTATTTCACAGACCGATTGTAGTTATTGTATAATTAGAGAAGAATTTATTGTAGTGTTTGTATAGTTTGCCTGTATTTCATTGTCTGTCTGCTGCTGCTCTGTGTTAACTGTAGCACCATGACCCAGAGAAACATGTCATTCCTCTCTCAACACATCTGTGATGAGAAGGAATGACAATAAAGCTGACTCTGAAATTGACTTTAATCACTTCACTAGTTCATGTTCCTCGTCATTTTCAGGACGATTCATCACATTATGCTGTTAAAAGACAAAATTCTTGTTGTCCTTTAATCTTACATCAAAATGTACTGACTTTTCATCTACAAACTCTTCTGAACGTCTTCCGGAGAAAAATAATATTAAAATATTATTGTCAACCCCCACCTATCACCAAGCAAATGCTCAGCTAGCTCAGAGACCTTTCCCTGATACAGAAGTAAAATGTATTATGATTTCCGATTCAAGAAAAATTCGAACTGGCAGTTTATGTAAAAGGCAGCAGCGGGTAAGAGAGCCGTACCTGTACCGCCATGTCCTCTGGTTTGCTGGAGGCCGTGAGGACGGCTACGCAGCGGGAAAGCGCCTCCAGGAGCACCTGACGAGAAAAGCAGAGACATTAGACCAGGCAGATCCACAAACCACACAAATTCAGCAACAGTTTTGGCTTTTAATTTCTTTTACAACTGGATTTGTGATCAGAAATTCAATAACAGCAAGTCTGAAAGACTCAAATCAGCTCAGCAGACAAACTTTAGAACTTATTATGATTTGATACTTCAGACGATTTAAATTTGAGAAAAGACTTGTTTTGCAGGTTTGTCATTTTTCTGACAAAAAGTCTTAAACCTCACACTTAATGAAGGTTCTTCAAGGGTTCTACAGTAAAGAAAATTGTTCTATCTACTCAAAGAAACGTTTGGTTGTATAAATGGTACTTTGCATCATAAAATGTTTCTTCAGATTGATGGAGAATGTGCTGTACATGGTTCTATATAGAACCTTTTTAAAAAAATTTCTACGCAGAACCAAAAGGGTTCTTCTATCGTCACAGGCTTGACATCGTAATAATAAAACGACCCTTTTGGTGCTATATATAGAACCGTCTATGGCAGATTCTCTATCAATCTGAAGAACCATTTCACAATACAAAGGACCATTTAATGATGCAAAGGGTTCTTTGAGTGTTCATGGTTCTATATAGAATCAGTCCTTTGCTAAAGAACCCTTGAAGAACCAACTCTTTGATGGTTTCAATTCAGAGCGCATATACAGATAAATGTAAAATAATAATAATAACCCAGAATTAAACAGCAAAAACTATTTAAACTATTTCAAAATTTCCAAATAAATGTTTTAAACTCTAAATTTGCGCTCATGTTGCTCGGACCTCGATGCCGTTCTCCCGCCGCAGCTCCTCTGCATTGAGGGCGGAGCAGTTGACCGTGTGGAAGGCCAGCTCAGACGCCGCTGGCAACAGAGGAGACGTCTTGGAGAAGAGCTGCTCATCGCCCGTCTCCATGGTGATGGTCTTAATCAGCATCGGGTAGCCGGCATACTTATACGGCTCCAGTTCTGAGCACACACAGAGAGAGAGGACACTCGATTTCGCTTTAAAATGCATTTTTACTCAAGGAGCTTCAGGGAAACTAAGCGCTACTTATTTCAGAAGAAACCATGAAAATCGTTCTTTAGCCAAGTGTATTATTATCCACAGAAACTTCATTCACATCACATAAAAGACAGGACAACATATTTCAAACATTTTAGATTAGATTCAACTTTGACATTGTGCAGAGTTCAGGAACAGAAACAATAACATACAGTTAGCATCGAACCAGAAGTGCAAAATACAGTATTATTTACATATAAAGTGCAAGACAGCTGACAGTTAAATTATGCACGATTATGGATGGTGGAGTGCTAAAAAAAATGTTGCAAATATAAATATAATACACATATATACAGACTGAGTGGAGAGAATGCAAATGTAGGCTGTATGTACTGTGAGAGTGGCATATTTAAAAGATAAGTATGCAGAGTAAAAACATCTACAGTAACTGTGCAAATATGAAGAGTGCAGTAATAGACTATATAGTGCAATAACACTAGGACAGTAACAGTGCAGTGAGTGCAGTTAAGGCGACGGTGTGGAGTTCAGCAGGGACACAGCCTCAGAGAAGAAGCTCTTCTGACCCGGCTGGTTCAGGAGAGGAGGGTAAAAAGTCCAGGGTTAGGATGAGAAACATCCTTGAAGATGTTCCTCTCCCTGCCCAGGCAGCACTTATAGTACATTTATACCCATTTTAAACTGTGCGTGTGGAGTGTGAAGTGGTTCTTTGCTTTGTGTGCGGACCTTGTCTGTGTCGGTTGAAGAGGATGCTCTGGGTTTTGAGGATGAGGATGATGTTTTCAGGGTCCGGCCCGTCCACAATGCGTGCAGATTTAGTGCACAGGAACTCGTACGCCTTGTTTACCTTTTCAAACATGTCCTGTACACACAAACACACACATACTGCTACTCAGGAGCTACACAGAAGACAATTCGGCCTCATATTAGATGCTACACACTATTACTAATATCAAATTATGAAGAATCTTTCAAAGTACCATCTCAGGATGCTTTAGATGAAAAGTAATACTGTTCTACAGTTTATATACACACAATATGCACATATTAATCATTTTAAGAACATACACCCAAAGCATGGACCTACCCTGCCCTCTGGGTTTTTGTCTGGATGGTATTTCTGAGCCAGTCTGAAATACGCTTTCCTAATTTTACTCTCCTCGTGCCTTTAAAGGACAGAAAGACATTTATTTATTTTTTATTAGCCATACAGTTAATCAGCCACCATGCTCATCTTAATTCTTCAGCATGACAGTGTAACAAAATTAACTGATTAAACTGCACTAAAAATCTTGCACTGCAAAAATAGTATCCTGTCAAGTTAAATTAGCTTAAATATAGTCAATAAATTTAACATTTCTCCTTTTGAGACTGATGTAAGCTTAATGTAAGAATATTTTACTTATTTCTAGACATGTTTTACGTGTTTCAAGTAATTTTATTAATTAAAATTGTCTCATTTTCAGAAATGTGCTTGAAACCAGCAAAATCATCTGCCAGTAGAGTGAGATCATTTTACTTATTCCAATTACCTAAAATAAGTAATAGCGTCTAGAGATAAGGTAAATTATCAACCAATAATCAACCAAGTGAACAACCATTTCAAAATGGAACATATAGATATACGGACTAGATTTAAGATCATCTCGCTTGACAAAATACCATTTTTTTGCAGTGTATAATATGGGCCAGGCTACAGACACAGGGTTCGTACACTTTAGCCATTTTCAATTCCAGGACTTTTCATGAATTTCATGACAAAAAAAAAACAGGTTAAGGTAAAGGTTAAGTACTCCCAGTGCTGAATATCCACAGTAAAATGATATGAACCTAAATTAAAGTGCGACGTCAATGATTTTAAATTAATAACAGATTGCCAATTCCCAAAGAGAAGCACGTGCTATCAGTGTAAGCCTGCAAAGCGCTGCTTGAGGAGGGTAACACTAAGTTTAACGTGACTAAAGTGCATTAATGTCACATATAAAGACACTAATAGTGGTCTTGAAACGCGACATGAGCTCTACGACTGGCAGAGTGAAGTTGAGCAGCTCACCGCTGTGGCTGTCGGCTGCGATGTTCCGGCAAATGGTCAGAAAAAATGGTTTACTTCTTTTCTTTTGCTCCACATCATATTGCTTTACAGCACAGTTTCACCGATATGTTCAATGTTAAATGTTTTTTTGCTTCGTTTTACTGAAGTCAGTCCTTATAGGATTCATTTTACAGCCATTACATGTTAACCGCACCCTTAGCAGGCATGTTGTCTTAATTTAATGTGCTGACATTTAACCTACACTACTTTCTAGAAGACTGTCCAAGCTAAAGCTAATAAGATGATGAACTACTTCACCTCACAAATAGGAAACTGCGAGGCAGAGCTGGGCAAAATGGCCAAAAATGTTATCACAATAAACAAAATTCATATTGATCGATATCGATACATATCGCGATAAGTGTCAAATTGTTATTTCTTTCAAGTTTGAGGCTGATTTTTGCTCCTGAGTGGTCAGTTGCTGTTTTAAACTATCCTTTATGGTCAGAACACGACAAACACTCACCAAACAGTGGAACATTTAACAAATCTGTCTTGGTAGAGTGGGAGAAAGTGTCTGATTAGCTGTTTTTACCAGCTGGAAAAGCACAAACGCAGTTTTTGTAACAGTCATAATTTAAGAAAGAAAACAGATTATTTTTATGTCTGGTGACGAGCGCTCGGCTATCCCGTTACAAATACTACACAAGTGGCCAACAACAGTGCTAAACTCTTTAGTTTCTCAACAACGTCAATTTAGTACGAACAGCAGACATTAGCTGGCGGGTCAGTGATGGATCACACCGCCTCACTGCCGCCACTCCTATCACATCCATATCAGAGCATATCACAGTATTCAGACACAGCTAGCAGAGTCTGGGGTTCTCTGGCAGTTTGAGGGGTGAACCGCAATATATCAACACCAGACAAACAGAGTCCTCGTTTTAGGTGCGTTTAAACGGTAACCGGTGCTTTTGTGTCTTGTTTGATCTACAGTATCATCAGTTCGCCGTGCTGCGTGAGTGATGGAGCTGCTTCAAGTTAGCCAGCTGCTAAAAACAGCTAGCCTGGGAAGCTGGCGCTCTCCCGCTCTCCAATGCCTCACAGCTTCATCAGTTTACTTTCGTTTAAATCAGGACTGTAACTTTTTTACTTTCGCTGCTTGGGAATGCACTGAAATATGACCGAGTGCTGTAGCAGTGCTGTAGCGGTGAGGAGCAGACGTGATTTAACGCTGCTAAAGCTGTTAGGATGTTAGGAAGAAGGTGAGTTCACTGTAGGACAGTTACACCACTGATCCGTCACTCACACTTGGTCACAGGAGAACAGGTCACCTGTCGCTCCACTCAAATAGGGAATATATAACTCCACGTTTTAGACGTTGCTGAAGTATATTTTAAAGTATATTTTTCATTTTACTCGTCGCCCCTCCCTCTATAATCAGGTTGAAAAACTCAGAAGTGTGCCCTCTCCTGGCGACAGCAGAGTAGTGTCACTTTCCTCGCAGCAGAAAACGCCACCAGGGCTGTCGCTAGAACGTGGAAGTGTAGGAAAGGTCTATTACATCGAAAATTTATCGAACAGTTCTCATAGCTCTATCCAGCATAGTTATATCACGATAATTATCGTTATCGTTTTATCGCCCAGATCTTCTGTGAGGTAATTGGTCATAAAATCCACAATTCAAGTCGATTACATCATGAAATAATAATAAACACAGAAACTGAAAATGATATTTTCTGTGACTTTTTAAGCAAAGGATGGTTCAGTGCTGGATTTTGGCTCATTTACTTTGCATCACTCATCATTCCAGGTTTTTGAGAAACCATAAAACCCTGAAACAAAATATAATGAAATGAAATAAACTGGTACTAGAAAGGAGAACAGACTTACTGGCCCTGTCCGATGGGCAGATTCAGCACCTCATAGGCGTCATCAACAGACATGGATGGAGGTTTCTTCTCCACCTCCCTCTTCCAGGCTTCCAGAGTGTCTTTCAACAGCTTCACCTATAGAAGACAGCATGTGTGGATTGTGTGCTGAATGTTTCTAGAAAAGAGTTTTAAATGTATATAGTAACGTACTTCTATCAATTATCTTTTCAGCATAAAGCGTCTTGAATTAGAGGCTGTATTTGTAAGCATGCATACAAAAATACTCCAGCTGTCATAGGAAAAACCTTTATCTCCAAACTGGTAACAAAGCAAAGAAGCAAAGAAATAATCTAAAATCAATGTACTTTAATGAGATTTTATTACAACTAATTTTACACTATTTTTAGTCTGTTGGTCCATTCGACAGGAAACGTACAGGGCAGGTGGTGCTTTTACAAGGAGTAAAAAATGAAAAAAGAAATGAAATGAAGCTACAAGGTTTACTTATCCCACAAGTAAATAACTCTGTAAGGTGTGTATGAGATTGTGCACATATTCATGCATTCGTGTGTTCTTACAGGGTCCCGTATGGGCCAGTCGGGGAAGCGGTTGGAGTCACAGAGGTGGCGGAGATAGTAGATGTTGCAGAAGAGCTCGCTGTCGAGTTGAGGGAAGCTGACCACAGGAATGGGGCAGTACTGATACAGAGCGCGAGTGTTACTCTGCAGCCGAGGAGTAAAGTCTGCCAGGTGAGCGGCTATCTTCTCTATCATCATGCGCCTGCAGGCAAACCAGACAGGAACAAAACACTTTACGTAAGTCACTAAGGCAAGTACTGATCTGCGACACCACAAAACCGGGTCTCAGAAAGCGATCATAGAAATGAAACCAACATCTGTCCATCAATTAAAATGAGTGATCATGATTAATTGCAATACTTTGTGTAGTTACTCACAATTGATTGCATTTGTCTTATAGATCGATGGAACTTTGTTGATACCGAAGGGAAATTGCTGTGTTTCAGTCGCAAGACATATAACTGCACATAAACTTACATATACTATGCAGAAAATTAAAAAAAGAAATAAAAATAGGTATAAGATAGGCAGAAATAAAAAACACAGACACAAGTTGAAGTATAACAGAGTAGGATTAAAGTATGAATCACGTTCATCATCAGCAACAAACTAACGAGCAGAACGAGCTTCGCTGAGAAGATCATTAACTCTGATCAGCTCTCAGCTTCATTATTAGAGCGAGACGAAGGAGAAAAAGGTGAGATGAGCTGCTTTTCCACCGTTTACAGGCTTTAACTTCTGTTCGGCGCTGCTGTCATGGCTACGTTCACATTATCAGGCTGAAGTGGCACAAATCCGATTCTTTGTCCTAATATTACTCAGATCTGATGTTTTCAGAGCTGTGGACACAAATCTGATCTTTTCAAATCCGACCTGAGCCACTTTCACATGTGGTCCTAGATCGGATACGTATCCGACTCATGGCCATGCGACCTTAATGTGACGCTCAGATCGGAATTCATGTGCTTTTTTTCTATTGCGCCATCATTCAGCGTAGCCATGGCAGCAGCGCCGAACGGAAGTTAAAGCCTGTAAACGGTGGAAAAGCAGCTCATCTCACCTTTTTCTCCTTCGTCTCGCTCTAATAATGAAGCTGAGAGCTGATCAGAGTTAATGATCTTCTCAGCGAAGCTCGTTCTGCTCGTTAGTTTGTGCTGATGATGAACGTGTTTCATTCACGTGACGTTACTGAGTTGGATGTTGCCATGCAGGTCAGTTCAGGACGCTGGTTCGTCACATTAATGTCAGATTTGAGTCACTTACATAAACGAGTGTGAACCATCATGTCAGAGAGATCGGATTTGAGCAAAAAAATCGGATTTGAGCAACGAGGCTTGTAATGTGAACGCAGCTAAAGTAGCTCAGGTCGGATTTGAAAAGATCAGATTTGCGTGTCCACACAGCCCTGAAGACATCAGATCTGAGTCACATTAGAGCAAAAAACTGGATTTGTGCCACTTCAGCCTGGCAATGTGAACGTAGTGGTATGAGGTCTAAAAGCACAATGAGTATAAACATAACTAGGAATAGCAGCAGTATTACAGTGTAAAGTGCGCAGTGAGAGTCATTACAGTAACAGTTATGATATGTTGCACGGTGTCTATTAACAAGAGAGGTGATATAGTGATGACTTCAACACAATTTACTCCAATTTAAGCAAACAGAAATAATTTTTCATTTTTCATTTAATAGAAGCGAAAAACACTAAAAAACACTAAAAAACACAAAAAAATTGTGCCATTAACAATTTAATGCAGTAACATGTTGTTAACAGCACTAACGTAAACACAACCACCAAATGCCGATGGCAAAAACAGAGAGCAAAGCCACGAATGTAAGCTGAGATCGCACTAAAGTCAACTAAGCGAGCGAGGATGAAATTTAAGAAGCGGTCAGACCTCATCTCGCTGCTCCAGATGGCCTCAGGAGTGTCAAACTCGCCCAGAAAGATTTCAGAGAAGCGCTCGGCTTCGTAGTTCTCCAAGTAACACACCATCGCCTCCGGCAGCACCGGCCCCAGCACACTCCTCTGCACAATGTCCTGACCTTTAGCCTGCCATGAAAATACAAACAGGGTCAACCTTGTGATCTTATGTTTCAGAAGACACTGTTTTACTGATTTTAAGAGATGTTCTGTGGTTTCTTAGCAGTGTAGTTAAGCGTGGAAATGTGGACTTGCTGCTGGACCGGGTTCCTCAACTCCAGACCAGAACAAAAAGCCACCTCCACCCAGCTCTAAGGAAAAAGACAGTCATCACGAAGGAACCGTACCTCCTCTGATTTGAAGGCCTGCTTTAGGTGAGTGTACTTCAGGAACCTGGAAGAAACAGAGATTGTTTATGCAAATGTACGTACTATATGAGCTGCGTCAGGACCTGAAAGTCTGTTTGAGATGCTGTATATTTGTAACTTGTTCATAAAATCGACCCAGCTAAACGTCACTTTATAAAATTTAAACACAACATTGAAATGACTTCATTTTGTAGTAACTATTTTGGCATTGTGAATGTGTAAAAACAGTTGTTCATAAAATCGATGTGAAGTACTGTTTATTGTGGAAACGTATTATTTGGTCTTTTGGAAAATGAGCTAAATGCACACGTATATATGATAAATCTTACACTTTTAAGGATAAAGTTTAATATTCAAATAAATTCAAGTACATTTTCAGGCTAAAGGCCCATTTTGTTCCCCTATTTTGAATCGATACAGCCCTCTTTAAAACAAAAAGCTTTCAGAACGGTTAAAACATGAACGTAGTTCAAGATGTATGTGTGCACTGGTGTGTGTACATTTTCATATGCAAATGATATGTATTTTGTTTTGCTTAAATAAAAAAAAATAGAAAAACAAAACAAAAAACTGTATATATGCCTACTCATGTACTGAAAATGAACGATGACCACCAGTACTGTAAAAGGGTTGATCAGACTGGATATTTGTGTGTGCACATGTACGTGTTACCTTGCCACTGGGAGAACATTGGAGCCTGTGTACATCATGATGAAGAAGAAAACTCCAGTGAGGTAGAGACGCTGCAGGTTGGGGTTGTCCTGCATCACCAGGTACAACAGGTTGGCCACTTTCTCCACCAGGATGGGGTCAAACGTCAGCAGCAGCTAGACAAACACAACGGTCATAAAAGATTACGGCCAAACAGCATCAGAGAAGTTCAGAATTCAGGTTTGTTCTAAGAATTTAATGAGCCAAACAGCCATTTCAGAAACTGCTTGAACCAGGGTATATTTTGGTTTGTCCATCTGAATTTCCATGATCAAATCGTGAGGCAAATTATTCAGTAACTGCATGAAATAAGTGTAATTTTTTATTTTATTTATTTATTTATTTTTTGTAAAAGCTCCCCTCAAATGAACAGAACGTGTTTATGATCACACATATTGCTATATGCTTACAATTTACTGCTAAAAGCCAAAAATCTTAGACGCTCTTTATATTATTTAATAAAAATAATGTTTACAGAGCAGATCACTGAAGAGACGCCATCTGTTTATAGTTTATAGCCCAGATTTGTGGAAAAATGGGTCGACTTTCAGTAGAAAAAAAATTTTGAGTTCAGCTTCTTTTATTATAAGGGTTTAAAACTACATCACCCATCTATTTGACTGGAAAGAAGACAGTTACAGCTCTCATACGACCCCCACCATTAGAATGTAGCTTATGAAATATGAAAGTTATGAAGAATATGACGAAGTCCATTTTGGAACCACTGGTGGTCTAAAGGAGTTGAAAGGGTTAAAGGGCTCATAGCAGAATTATGTGAAATGACTACAATTATTTAAAATGAACTTCCAACTCGGAGCTCTAAAATGTTTAGAGCAGCGTAATTAATATTTGTTTATTTGTTATCGATGTAGCCAATTCTAATGTTTTAACATGCATGCTAGCAGAATGAAAGTTTTTTTTTGCTTGTTTTCTTCCTCAAATAAAATACATGATTCTGTGTATGTGTGTGAGAGTGTGTGTGCGCGTCTAATGCCGACCTTACACCAAAAGACTTTTCAAGTGATTTCACTGTCGCAAACAAATTTGCAGTGTCGGAATAAAATCATGAGGGTCTTGCGTTGCGCTTGTGTCAACTCTGTCATTTGGTGTGAGGTGGTCAGGACAACTGTTTCAGGGTTAGGGGGGGAGAGCATGAGCAAGGGAGAAAATGCATGCGTGAGAGCCTGAAGTCTCTGTAAAAAAGGCAAATCTGCCCCCTTTAAAACAACAATCATATTAACTTATCTGTTTTAATATTTCAGGTTCACTGAGTTTAACAGTGATGTGAGGAAACTCCAGTTGCAGTCTTGCAAATACTGACCCTGCAAGATCCCCAGTCTTTGCAAAATCAAAGTCTGTGACTAAAAACTGTGAGATTGTCTTTAGATGTAAAAGGGTGTCAGAATTTAGTCTCTCAGAAGTCTTTACAAATTCTTCTCAAAGTCTTCTAGTGTATGGTTAGCACAACAGTATAGTTTACCAATTCAACAACACTACCTGTTTCAGCTACTTAGTAAACACAGCTTGTAAGACGGCTACTAAGCCAATTAAGGCTTGTATTTTAATCGATGCATATAATGAAAAGGAAAAGACTCGATCATTAGTCGCAATTATTTATATGACAAATAATGATCAAGTAAAATGTCATGATTGTGAAAGGCTCAAAAAAGAGCCTGCAGTGACGTGTGTTGCCCATGGCTGCTTTTTTCAGTCACCTGAAATCAACACTACCGGTTCCAAATCATGAGCTCTGGAAGTTTTATGAGCCATAAATGCATTTCTACATGACCATTTTCCAACCTCTCTTTATCCCTTAGAGTTAAACAGGCTTTTTTTGCTACTGTGCCTTGATCCCAGCGCAGCACACCGCCGTGAAGAAAGCCACGAGGCAGCTGAAAGTCGTTCATTTTGATGGCGAGGCAGCGACACTCAGCAGTGAATTAGAATCAGCTTTAATTTGATTAATGCAAAAGCGAGGTAAATAAACATGTTGGTCGCTTTAGTGGGAGCACTGAAGCTGTTCTTCAGGCATGAGTGTAGCCATGATAACTGACTGGAGATACACGGGAACAGAAGGATTCAAAGGAAAAGAAGTGAAATACAATTTTATAATCCTCAAAAACACAAGACTGGTACCTGAACAATATGGGGTAAAGAGGTGTTATCACTGATTAGCCTCTTCACTTTGGGTAAAGGTCTGATGATGGCATTGTCCTGGTCCCTAAACAGAGAAAACATACATGTTCAGCAACTACACACCTCACATTATGATCTGAGGATAAAAACACTGATGCAAATGTTAGTGTACCTAATTCTCTCTATCCAAAAGCCAACCCGGCCTACCTACCACTACTGTGACCACATGCTGTTGTTGTTTATTGATTATTTCAGTCCTTGTTTATAATTTTCCAAAATAAATACACACACACACAATAAATAAAAAAATAAATTATAATTATAAATTATTAAATTAGTAGGAAAGACAAACAGGGAAAAAAAGGAACAAAAAAACAACAAAACACAAGCCTGAAGATAAACATATCACATATATGTATATAAATATACATACACACACACACTCACCGTGGGGTCCAAAAGACTGAGACCATTAGAAGAAATTCTTCTATTTTGCATATCTTTCTAAATTAATATCAAGTTTTTTATTACAAATGATTTTATCAGCATAAATCGAGTGAAAAGTGCAATCTTTAAATATTCATCCGAATTTCAGAATCTCAGTATTTGATGGTGTGTCTCTCTTCTGCTTTAATGACAGTGAGCAGTTGAGCTGCATGGAGTCCACATGTTTAAAAGTCTCTCAAACCCACCTGAGAGTCTGAACACGAGCTTCACTGGAAGAGATCAGACTAAAAACACTCTGAGCTTTAAGTACAAGCAGATCAACATCACCTTCACACCTGATCCAGTTTGAATAGTGACACAGAAACAGAGCAGAATTTAAAATATTTCTCCTTTATTTTAATTATCATGACTTTTCTTTGTTTTAAATTTGTCAATATTCTAAAACCTTATGTTCCGATTTACGTTTAAATGGTCTCAGACTTTCAGACTCCACTGTATATAAATGTAGCACACCGATCAAAATAAGCAGGACTAACAAAACTAAAGAACTCTAAAGCTCTCAGAGGAGCCGTGTACAGAGCACCTGCTGGGGAAGTAGGAACACATAGTGATCAGCATGTTTAAGATGAGCGTGGCCAGGTCTGTCTCATTCATCACGGCCTGCCCGCTGGCCAGAAGGCACCACTTCAACTGCGGGATGGCCTGCAGGGGGCGCCAGCCGTCCATGCCCTGGGCCCAGCACCGCGTCTTTGCGGTCAGCGTCCCGGAGCTCCAGAACTCCTGCATCTGAGTGACCAAACAGAGGGATGCACACATTACTGAGCAGCACTAACACAATTTCTCTTCAAAATCACACAGTAGATACAACTGTACCATCAAAACTATATTCATTCAATTTCACAGCCAATTCTGAAAGTGGAGCATTAAAAAACTGCTAATGCCTGCAAAACCTAGTTTCACTCATTCAAACTCTGTTCTCTTTATTTTGCATTCCAGCAGGACTGTGCAAGTTAGAGACTTTACAGCTCCCTTTTGACTCACATGCAGGTCTGTCAGTCCTAAGAAAAAAGACTATGCAGGTCTAACAGCATCTGATATGAGGAGGAAACTGTTTGGAATTTAGTCTGTATGTCACTGCTGTCCAAAAAACCTGCATCTCCATTTTTTGTTGATTTTTATTTTCCTACTTCATTTGAACACAGCAGCTGCTCTCTACACTGTGTGAAAATTTAATGATGAATGGACCAACAGAAATGCTCCACCATCACTTAATCAATAAAACCTCTTTATAATCACTTACACTGATCAGTCATAACATTCTGACCACCTCCTTGTTTCTACACTCATTGTCCATTTTATCAGCTCCACTTACTATATAGGTGCACTTTGTAGTTCTACAGTTACAGACTGTAGTCCATCTGTTTCTCTGATACTTTGTTAGCCCCCTTTTACCCTGTTCTTCAGTGGTCAGGAGCCCCATGGACCCTCACAGAGCAGGTACTATTTGGGCGGTGGATCATTCTCAGCACTGCAGTAACACTGACGTGGTGGTGGTGTGTTAGTGTGTGTTGCGCTGGTCTGAGTGGATCAGACACAGCAGTGCTGCTGGAGTTTTTAAACACCGTGTCCACTCACTGTCCACTCTATTAGACACTCCTACCTTGTCAGTCCACCTTGTAGATGTAAAGTCAGAGACGATAGCTCATCTGCTGCTGCACAGTTTGTGTTGGTCATCCTCTAGTCCTTCATCAGTGGTCACAGGACGCTGCCCACAGGACGCTGTTGGCTGGATATTTTTGGTTGGTGGACTATTCTCAGTCCAGCAGCGACACTGAGGTGTTTAAAAACTCCAGCAGCACTGCTGTGTCTGATCCACTCAGACCAGCGCAACACACACTAACACACCACCACCATGTCAGTGTTGACCGTAGAAACAAGGAGGTGGTCATAATGTTAAGCCTGATCAGTGTAAAGCACTGTTTTGTCTGTAAATAACGACGGGCTATTTTACATACATTTTGCGCACAGAGAGTAATGGACATGCAAAGGGTAAACAAATCTAATAAAAATGGCTGCTTCATGAACTCACCTCCTCAAAACTGAAAGGTCCTCTCCTCTCCTTATCAGCATTGCCAAAGTACCACTCTTTCTCACTCTCTCTCTTCATGTCCGGAGCTGCTTCCAAAACGTTACTCTGAAACACACAGGAATAATATAAACATAAAATCCACGTGCAATGACGCCAAAGAAGCAAGCGAAGGCAAAACTGTGCAAGGTTTTTCAAAACACAGATGTATGTAAAGATACATGTAGGTACATGGACTTCAAACAGAAAGACTTAAACTCATTCATAGTCACGCCCACCTGCAGGGGAACAGTAGCTCTGCTGGTGTGAAGGTGGGCTAATGTAAGCAGGTCCACTAGAATACGCACACCGTTTGAGTCCATTATATCCTTCACATTTTTCTGTGGGAGGAGAAAAAAAAGAGCAGACAGAATAGTTAGGGGATCTTAAATGGGAATTCCACTCATTTTTCAATTTAACGGTTGAGACGTAAACATAGCAATTCACAGCGGTTTGATGTGAAAAGCTCAGTTCATAGATTCATAGCACAAGTTATGGTAACCCTTTATTTGGAGTGGTCCTTTGTAGGTGATTAATAAACTCTTAACAGATTATCAGTAACACATCAACAACATATCAGTGAAGTAGCAGCAGTGAAGCACCTGAATACATTGAAGTAAACATCTTGTAGATGTTTTGTTGATTCATTACTTACGTTACCAACCTTAATCTCATCCCAAAACCTACTCCTAACCCTCACTCTGGCCCTAATCCTAACTCTAACCTTAATCTCATCCCAAAACCTACTCCTAACCCTCACCCTGGCCCTAATCCTAACTCTAACCTTAATCTCATCCCAAAGCCTAATCCTAACCCTCACTCTGGCCCTAATCCTAACTCTAACCTTAATCTCATCCCAAAACCTACTCCTAACCCTCACCCTGGCCCTAATCCTAACTCTAACCTTAACCTCATCCCAAAGCCTAATCCTAACCCTCAGCCTGGCCCTAATCCTAACCCTAACCTGAAACAATGTAAACGTCAGCTGCTGAACCCAAATGATGAGGAAAAATAAAAATCGCAAAAAATGGAGATACTTGGATTTTTTTGGACACTGTAGCTCATATTAGCTCTTGGCTAGAGCATCATCATAAATATTATACTTTATAATATTAAACGCTGTGATGAACTGAAAAAATTACAGATTAACATGTATTTTCAGGCACATCTTATTTATCTTTATATTAATTCATGATAATATTATCATACTGAACTGAATTATGGATTTTGTGAATCTTACACTCCCAGCTTCTCCCATATTTACTCAAAACCACCAGCCACTCAACTATGGGGGATATTATCACTCATGGCTGCACAATCAGGATACATAACATCTGGCAGATGATTAAAAATATACTGTAAACATCCCAGATTTGTCAGGTTGTGAATATCTGCAGTGCTGAAGTATCCAGAACATTCAGCAACACTGTCTGCAGCTGGCCAGCTGTTTCATAAGCACACATAGCCCACATATCAGTGACTCATTAATATACAATACTGATGATTACTGCTGTTATACTACAAAAAGACGATGCTTATAAACCACCAAACGGAAAGCATTAGCAGCACCAGGTGAAACAAATCCAGATGAACGTTTTCCAGAGGCCAAAAATAAACGCTGTTTTTTCCATGGTTAATATGATGACATAGCTGATCACACATCTAACCAGGCTAACCGAACTGTACACTGGGTCAAATATCCTACTTAAGCCAGGCAGCATTGGAATGACTGAGTCCCAATGCCATTTCTTGTTTTCACCCCTACCCCTTGTTTTCGAGTGTTGCCCCTTGGAACTGAGTTACAGGGTAGTGGTTGAAATCTTCCCTCTGAAATGGGACCCTCAAATAAAAAGAGCATCACTTCATTAACAGCTACCAGCGCTGCTCTGTAGGCGACCCTGCCAGTCTGCAGTGACAGCAGAGGAGGGTAAAGTTCAGCTCCTCACTGCTGGGCTTCAGTTACATTTAAGGGCATCATATGATCTTCAAAGAGGGGGGCAATTATTTATTATCACCCACCCCTAATTCTTCAGTGATATGAAGCTGAAGTCAGATATTCACCAGATTCTTGTTCAAATTTTCCCGTTCCACCTTAAATGGAGCAGCAGTTCTGATGCCAGAGGTGCCAGAATGTAACTGCTGCACCGTTCAGGGGGCAGTCGTGGGCTGGAGGTTAGGGAACCAGCCTTGTTCAGTTCGATCCCCTAAGCCAAAAGGACATGACATGAAGTGCCCTTGAGCAAGGCACCTAACCCCCAACTGCTCCCCAGGCGCCATGGATAGGGCTGACCACTGCTCTGGGCAGGTACACTCACTGCCCCATGGTGTGTGTGTTCACTAGTGTGCATGTATGTGGGTGTTTCAGTGCACGGATGGGTTAAATGCAGAGGTCTAATTCCTCTGTGCACAAAACACAGTTGGCCAATGGTTCTGAATTTTATTTGAAATAAGGTGGAATGGGAAATTTAGCGGAGACATCAGGACTAGTAGCAATTTTTTCTGCTCTTTATGAAGAAAAGGGCCATAATACACTGAAACGACGTCAAACTAAGGTGAAACAATGATCATTGTAATTTTTAATGGAGAAAATTCTCACATTCGTGTGTTTCTTTGGTCTCTTGTTCAGCCATCTCGCCGTCTTTTTCTTTTTTTCTCATAACTCTCTGTTTGGAGTCTCTGAAAATGTAGCCCCAACACTTCACCCTACCCCCTCTATCTCAACAAGAATCAGGACACCCTACCCCTAGACATGAACACTCAAAACAGAGGGGTAGGGCTAAGTGACAGGGGCGAGGGGTGAAATGGGACTGGGGCCTGAGTATCTCCAGGCATGTGCTGTTCTGACTGTATTACAGTCCTAAAAAAGCATGGCGATGTAGCGCAGTGCTCGAAGAACAGCAGATGGCGGTCAGTGACAACAGGACTCACCTTGTTTAGAATGAGCTTGTTGAGGAAGAGGATGAGCCTGTCTCTCTCCAGCCTGTCTGTACACTGCAGACGAGAACAGAGAGTCAAAAAGGTTTACAGCATTTCACACAACAAGCAGTCGCATGTAAAAGATTAAACACCTCCAGTCAAATGATGTTTTGTTGACTTGTGAAAATAAGTTAATACAACTACAGTGAACAAACTTAAATATGGCACTTTTCTGCACATTTGAGTGTAAAATGTGAATTTATTTGCCAAGTTTAACATATTAGAAAAAATGAAAACAAAATACAAAACTTTTAAACTTTTGCACAGGCCACATGCAACATTTTTGCCTCTCTGTTATGTTAAATTTACCAAATAAACATTAACTGTGAAATAAATGTGCAAAATTGCGTTCTCTGTATAGGACATGTAACTCATTTTCACTTAGAAAATCAACAATAACGTCATTTGAGCAGGGGAACTTTAGCATGCGACTGCATGGACAGACGTTTTCGATGCAAATTCAGAAAATAATACAAAGTGATATTTTGAACAAGAGCCGTCACCACCTCCACAGTAAAACTGACTTCTGCATGCGATTATCCTGCTCCATACCTGCAGTCACCTGTGTACGGCTAAATGTCCTATCAAGACTATAAACAGAGTAGCCAGTTTATTAGGAACATCCACCTCACCTGCTCATTGGCCCCTTTACCATGTACACCTACCATTAGGTTGTACTTAGTGTGGAGCTGGGAGATATGACAATATTTATCATTATTGTGATAAATTACATCACAATATGCTTTTCTGAGAATATCGTGAATATAGTCAGTACTTAAAAAACACTTCCCAACTGCATGTTTGATTACAGAGGGTAAAATCAGTCCCGTTTAATTGGATTTAGTGCAGCACAGTGTGTGAAATGTTGAACACATGTAATTAGACTCATCACTGGAATCATTTCATTTTGACAGTATTTTAAAAAATGTGGCACTACTTTGTCTGTTCTAACTTATAATATATAAAAAAATATATATAATATATATAATATATAAAATTCATGACATCATGCATTGTTAAAACTTTCTGAAGTATTGTGATGTTACATTTTGCCATACTGCCCAGCTCTATGCGCTTTACATTTACTGACTGTAGAGCATCTGTTGCTTCACGACTGATCAGTCAATAAACCGTTCATTAATTGACCACCATAACACAACTGCTGACCGCATATTATTTGGTGGTGGAGCACAGCAGTGATACCAGCAACAAATGGGCTACAGCAGGGCTGGGCAATACGGAAATATATACTGTTATTGTGATAAATAATGCACAATACAATGTTGTATGCTTTTCTGAACATATTGTGTATATCGTCTCTACTTCTAGACACAGACCAACTGCATATTTCATTATCAAGAGAGCTAAATTAGTCCATTTAAGTGGATTTAGTGCCAAATATTGAATAACAATCATTATATTCATAGTTTTTAACATATTTTTTTTAATGTAGCTCTACAGGGGCCGTATTACAGAAACTTTTTGTCTTAAGTTAAGATTTGACAGGTCAAGATAAGATTTTTCACAAATTACAGAAGCAAATCTGTTCTTACAGCATCTTATCTCAAATTAGAAAACCATAATCTACTCAATAGAAAGTCGACAATCAACTGTCATGTCAGTTACCCAGCAACTGATCAACTGAACAACCAAAATAATCAAGCTAGTTAGCCAGACAGCTAATGTTAGCTATCGTTACTGGTGTTTATCAGAGTTTCGCTGCTCCCCAGTTTCAGTGTTAGTTTCCCCAACGCTTTAGCTGAGCGCAACTGATCAGATGTCTGAAAAAATTAAATCGAGACATCAAAACTCTGCTTAATGCATTGCCTGATAAATATTGTGACGAATCGTGTATGGATTGTGAAAATTTCTTGAAGTATCACAATATTATATTTTCGTCACATCGCCCACCTCTAGGCTACCGTCCCTAACCATAAAACTACACAGCGTGGTAGGTGTCCCAAACAAACAGCCAATGACTGACGGTCGAAGGTTAGTGTACCTAATAAACTAAAGGAAGCGTAAACAGATCTATTTGGCAAGAGTCGATCTCTCAGAGTAACAGCACTCACCCTGTCCAACATGCCCACAATGTATTTGGTATCAGCGAACGGGCCGATCTCCTCGCAGCACTTCCCATAGACTATCGTCAGAGCCTGAAGGCACAGACACTTCATGGCAACCTTGGGTGTTAGTAGGAAACGGTGGTACAGTTCATTAAAGAACTCATACCTGGGGCAGGGAGGTGGGTAAGAGCAGAGAGAGGACGGAGGGAACACAAAGGGGAGGAGAGAAAATGTAAATATCAGTAAAAATATTCATGCAAGAGATTTACTGCAGCTTTCCCTCAGCAGCAAAGTAATAAAGCGGGTCAGCGAGTGAGTGAATGTGTGTGTCAGGATTCGTACGATCTCTTTATGGCTCCAGACTCCTCATTCTCATCCTCCTCCAGCAGCAGACGGAGGTAATAATCCCCGATCCTAATCTCATCAGAAAGGCACTCGTACTTCACCTACACATGTACATGTAAAAGAGAACACACTCAGATCAGGCTGGAGCATTTAAACAGACTTACACACCTGAAACGCTCTTTCTAAGGCAATTAATGCATCAGTACCCGAATAGTGATTTCAATATTCGATTACTGGCATCTCGAACAGTTGACAGAGTACTGAAGTACCCATAACCACATCCCTATACAGAATATTAACTATTTTTCAATATGAAGTAAAAATGCCTACACATAGTCATTCTTAGAAGTGGGCAATGAGACAATATTTTATCGCTATCATGATAAATTACGTCACAATACGCATCTCTGAGTACATCGTGGATATCGTCAGTTCAAGTTCTATTACAAAGACAGCATAATTAGTCCTACTTAATTGGAATTATGCAGTACAGTATGTAAAACACTGAATATAAATCATTGTAGTTGTGGGTTTATCATGATTATTATTACATGTGGCAGTACAGGTTCTATTCTCTCTGCTCCAACTTATTACATCTCAGAAAACGCTAAATATTGTGATGCTTATGTTGAAAATGTCCTGAAGCATCGTGATATAATATTTTTGCTATATTGTCCACCCTAGCCATACCTCAAACTCCTGGTGATTCCAGGAGATGACATTTGCGCTGCCCAGCTCTCGGTCCACGCTGAACGAGCGCATTTCTCCCTCCAGAGCATCTCGCAGCTCCTCACGAGTCTTGAGGTTCCAGATCAGATTAGAACGTGCATGATCCAGCTGAAATCTAGAGAGAGCTAAATCAACCACTGCCCCAAGCAAATTACTCATATTTCAGCTCTGTAGTCGTCTACCAGTCAGTAAGGCAAAAAGAGGAAGACAAGCTGATTTTGATCATTTTGATCTATTTGTAATGATCATATCTACACATGCAACAGGTGAGGTGTTTACTGTCCAGACACTTATCAATTAATTAACAATTAGCAGGAGTGCTAAACAACGACCACTAGAAATGTAGTCATGCATGCATCCGCTTTTTTTTTTTTATATGATTTTAAATTAGTACTCATATGTCTTTATTACTGTTAAGCTTTATCTCCTGCGTGTAAAGCACTTTGAGCTGCCATCGGCATGAAAAGTGATCTACAAATAAAGATTACTTCTATCATTATTTTTAGTCGTAATTATTTTAAGTAGTAATAGTAGTATTATTAGTAATTTTTAGTCTCTGGCTTTTTATAGACCAAGATCGTTTTGCTTTTATTATCTGATGATAAAAATAAAAAGTCTGCTTAAAAAAATTGAAGAAGCAGCATAAAAGAGACCTTTAAACTCTACAACTTAAACTCTTCTATCTCATACTTTAACTCATGTCTTTAATCTTATGTCTATCTTTTATTTCTGCCTAATTTGCGTCTATTTTTATTTCTGCCTAATGTACGTAAGTTTACGTGCAATTATGTGTCTTGCTACTGTAACACTGCAATTTCGCTTCGGGCTCAATAAAGTTCTCTCTGTCGGTCTCTCTGTCGGTCTCTCTGTCTACCTACAAAAATAGTAAGTAAGTAAGTACTTGTAGTAGAAGAGCTCCCAGTTGGCCTCAATCTTAATCCGCTGTCTTCTCTTCCTCAGGATAACCGGTTTTTGGTTTGGGTTCTGAAATCAACAAATATTCGATGAACCAAAGGTGACACTGGATAAACTGGCATATAAAGAAAAAACACAAAGTAAATGGTATTTTGCATGTTATGGTGAGAACTATGGCTAATATAAATATGCTAGGGGTGTAATGAAACCACCACACAAACGTCCACGGTCTCATGTCCCAGTCCCCCCACCCCATTCAACCCCAACCCACAGCCACCGCTGTTGTCCCCCCCCAAATCTTCTCCCCAATTCAGATGTATCCTCTATCCATCCACTAGTTAGGTCTCCCCCAATCACGAAACCACCCAGCGCCAGGAGGGTTGAAGGCAAACAGTCTTCCTTCGAGTCCTGTAAAGCGGTACCACAACTGCTGCTTATGTAGCATGATTGGACAGCTGAACGCGCTTGGAGGAGAACACTAACCACCAGTTCTGTTACATCAGCTACATCAGCTGTTACATCAGATGCCAGCGCTGAGTGATGGGGGAGACGGGGGCTATCCTGCCCACCCAGAGAGACTCCCGGCACGGACATCAGCATCACCAGGGTTCGAACTTACAAAACTCATTTTTAAATTTCACAATTAACACTATGACACATAAATTATAATTCTATTTAATTTAGAGCGAGCTGTTCACCACGTTCTTTACTGTTCTTCTTTCAGTGTTCCAAATTGTTGGTGATTTAATATAACTCAAAATGTTTTTCCTGTTTTTTCTTATTCACCCCTCACCTGAGGTCTGAACCGAAACGTGGATTTGGAGAATCGTTACACCCCTAGTTAAAGCAGATGACACAACTATATTTGAAATATATGGATATGAGAAAATAAAATGACATGGAAGAATGACAAAAATAAAAATCAAACTGCGTGTGGGTACCGGAGACCCCGAAAACAATAAAGACGCTGAAAATATACCATTAATGGTGTAAATCTAAGAGAAAGGTGAATGACAGTCCTGCTCAGCACAAACACACATATGTAAAAGAACCCAACCACAACACAAAGACTCCACACCAGAACACTCTGTGGTATTAACAATGACTGGGGAAGCCAACACTGCATGTTACATGAATCCAAATGTATGACAGTGAGTGGGAAGGGCCCAAGAGAGGTGGAGGTATCCCATTGGTCAGTTCTACTTACCAGGTTATTCCTGTCCTGCTGCATTGATTGACAGCAGAAAACCACAATAAGGGGCAGAGGGCATGGATGGGGCAGAAATAACAGAGAGATTATTGGTCCTGAGGTCAGCCAATCACAATTCAAACAATGATGGTGAAATTTCAGTAAATATATAAATCAATTTCAGCATTTTCACTTTGATTGTAAGTAAGTGGCTTTTTGGTAAGTGCGTGACACTGAAGGCTGATTAAAAAGCTTGAAAGAGAATAAAATCAAGTTGTTTTTGTTTATTTATTTGCACTCAATGATCTCATATATCCACTAGGGGCTGCACGACCTTTTTGAAGTGGACAGTTATGTGATGAAAGTCAGGTCAACGTCGACTAATCGCTGATGACATCATGAATAAACCTACAGGAGAAGGGAATCCTTTGCAATTAGTGACTTTAAAAATTGCGCCATTTAAAGTAAGTGACAAAGTCAAACTCCACCGGTCAGTAGAGCGTCTCCCGCAGAAGATCAGAATCATTTCTCCCGCCCCCGCCCACAACCGTAACAATTTGTCCTGCTCCCGCCTGCACTGTCCCACGCACATCCAATATCGGACACAGTCTAATCACAAATACATTATTCTCTGCTGAAATAACAGGTCAGTCATGGTCATCAGGCTCACTGTGAGTAACTTCATCAAACGTCATTCATTCCCAGTAAAAACAGAGCAAGAATTAAACCACAGAGCGGTTATTTTTGGTGTTTTGCTGGGCTGCTGTGGCCGTCGGACTGAAGGCTCCGCTGTCTCTCTAACGCCTGATCACATACTCACATATGCTGCCTCGGCGAGGCGGGAGTGATACAGCAGCGCAAGCACTACAGCTGGAACGCAACGGCCAATCCGTCACTGAGATCAATAAAAACAGAATTTATAAAAGTACACGGTATATTTGTTTGTTCTTGACATTATTTTGACTTCTGACTAGGCAAAAGTTTCAAGCCTGATAGACCAACCGGGAAATCTGTCTGCAGCACAGAATGTTTAACTAGTATTTCGTCATGAATTACAGAAAAATCGCCTTTTTAAGCTTTTATACAGTCATCAAAAGCACAAAAATAAGAGTAACTGACGTAAAACGTAACAGGAAACCGGAGATAACAACATTCAAAGTCTGATCTTTGAAGCGCTGTAGAGCGACGGAGAAATGATGGATACGAAACTCCACAGGTCAGTAAAGTGTGACGTTTACAAGGAGCCCTAGATCGCATTGCTAGCTGCCGGAAAATCGGACATGCGGACCCTGGAATCACAGAAATTTCTATTCGAATTAGGTGCACGTAGGGCAGGGCGATAAAACGATAACGATAATTATCGCGATATAACTTTTCTTCGATAGAGCGATAAGAAAATCTTTGATAAATTTTTCAATATAATACACCATTCTCACACTTCCACGTTCTAGTGACAGCCGGGGCGTTTTCTACCGCAAGGAAAGCGACACTACTGCTTTCGCCACGAGAGGGCGCACCTCCAAGTTTTTCGACATGTTTGGGGGGAGACGGGTAAAAGAAGTCGCCAAATATACTTTATCAACGTCTAAAACTATATTATATATTATATTCCCCGTTTGAGTGGAGAGACCAGCGATCTGTTCTCCTGTGACCAAGTGTGAGTGATGAGGTCAGTGGTGTAACTATACTGTCCTACAGTGAACTCACCTCTTTCTGTACATCCTAACCAGCTTTAGCAGCGTTAAATCATGTCTGCTCTTCACAACGACAGCCCTGTTACAGCGCTCAGTCATATTTTAGTGTTAGTGCATTCACAAGCAACGAAAATGAAAGAAAGAAGAGAGTTCATGAAAGTTACAGCCCTGATTTAAACTAAACTGAGGAAGCTGAGAGGCATTGGAGAGCGGGAGAGCGCCAGCTTCCCAGGCTAGCTGTTTTTAGCAGCTGGTTAACTTAAAGCAGCTCCGTCACTCACGCAGCACGGCGAACTGATGATACTGTAGATCAAACAAGACTAAAAAGCGCTGATTTCAGTTTAAACGTACCTAAAAGGAGGACTCTGTCTGTCTGGTGTGAGAGATTCACACTGCAGTTAATGCTTTTACACAGTGAGTGTCAGATACACTGCGGTTCACCCCTCAAACTACTATGATAGAATAGAGAAACCCAGTCGTCTCTAGCTGCTGTCTGAATACTGTGATCTGCTCTGACATGGAGGTGGTAGGAGTGGCGGCAGTGAGGCGGTGTGATCCATCACTGACCTACCGAACCAGCTAATGTTTGCTGTTCGTACTAAGTTGACATTGTTGAGAAACTAAACAGTTTAGCACTTGTAACGGGGTAGCCGAGCGCTCGCCACCAGACAGATAAAATAATCTGTTTTCTTTCTTAAATTATGATTATTACAAAACTTGCAGCCGTGCTTTTCCAGCTGGTAAAAACAGCTGACCAGACACTTTCACCCACTGTCAGACAGACAGATTTGTTAAATGTTCCACTGTTCAGTGAGTGTTTGTCGTGTTCTGACCATAAAGGATAGTTTAAAACAGGAACTGATCGCTCAGGAGCAAAAATCAGCCCTCAAAATTGCAAGAAATAATAATTTTACATTTATCGTTTACATTTATCATATGTATCGATATCGAACGACATGAAAATTTTTATCGTGATAGGATTTTTGGCCACATCGCCCAGCTCTAGGTGCACGCTAGGTGGCCTTGCCGAGATGCTCACCCATGGTGGAGGTCCGGAGAGCCGGAGAAATTTAGAGCTCGAAAATAAAAGTAACCAATATTAAACTGCAGAGGGTTACAGGGCGTTAAGCCCCCCACTCCAACCACACAGGACTTTTTATTGTCGCCTTCGGGAAACTGGAGATAACGATGTTGAATATCAGATCTTTGAAGCTCTGCAGATCGGCAGAGAAATAATATAACAAAGTGTCCTTTCCAACGAGCCCTGGATCGCAGTGCTAGCCTTCAGGGAACCGCAGATTCCGGACCCCGGAACCTCAAAACGTTCTACCAGACTTGCCTTGGTGCTTGCCCGCAACGGAGGTCAGGGGAGCTGGAGAAATTCAGAGCACAAAAATAAGAGTAAGAGTATGACGTGTCCTTTGCTAGCCTTCAGTAAACCAGAGACACAGACCCCGAAATCTCCAGGCTCCTCACCTGCTGTCCTCTCTGAGGCATCTATGCTGTTAGTGTCATAATCACGTGATCAGCGACTCGTCAACATCAAGCTTAAAACGCCATCGTCGAGCAGTAAAGCTGACAAGCCGACTAGTCTGTGCAACCCCTAGTATCCACACAGTGCCTCGATATTAGCTCAGAAGTCTTTACGGTGAGGCAAAGGTAACCATGTTTTCAGTTATTTCACACTACTGATTTTTTTCTTGATAACTGTAAACCAGTTAAATCATTTGCTAACTGAACTGCAAATGATGATCTGCCACTGGAAAAGAAAAAAGGACACTGGAGGTTTAAGTGTGTAAGAATGTACAAAGAAAAAAAGGAGGCATCGTGATGGTCTGAGGAAACGTGGGTTTTCAGTGACGACCCCGTTCATTCAGCTGCTTACTCAGTGACGACTGGGCGTAGAAAAGAGCGGGAAGTGTGTTCTGCTCATGCACTGGTTATTAGTGACACGGCCAAAGGCAGAAAATCTTACTGATAATGAAAAATAACTTGCGAATGCAGTGTCCAGTGAGGGCAACACTGTAGCAGAGGGACAATAACATACCAAACAGCTGCCCTTCTACAATCCAACAAGACAAGCTAAATGAAGGCAACAGATCAAACACTAGAACAAAAGCGAAAACCACAAAGAGCAGATGAAATCATCTCGATGCAGCAAACACCCAACCACTAGACAAGCCGAAGCCGCAGTAGCACAGCCAAAGGAGCCCAGTAGCGCGCTGCTGCAGTACCAACAAACACCAGCAGTGGGCAGAGCAGCACTACAGCTGGGCCTGGTTTCAAACACCGGACTCAGGAGAGACAATTTGAAGTGGTGGTGAGGATGTGATGATACATATACAGACCTGGCTTACACAGCTATGGTAGGTCATGTGACTATAAATAAAAATTGTAACTAAACTCTTAAAAAATTGGTTCTTCAGGGTTCTTTAGTAAAGAAAATGGTTCTATATAGAACCATGAATAGTCACAGAACCCTTTGCATGATTAAAGCGTTTCTTTGCATCGCTGAAGACTCTTAAAAAACATGGTTCCTTAGGATCAAAAAGGGTTCTTCTGTTGTTATAATGCAAAGCATGTAACAATAGAAGAACGCTTTTTGGTGCTATATAGAACCCTTTTCAAAAAGGCTCTATATGGAATCATCTACAGCACATTCTCCATCATTCTGAAGAACTCTTTCATGATGCGAATAACCATTTATGCATGCAAAGGGTTCTTTGAGTGCTCATGATTCTCCCTTCAAGAGTTTTTCAGCACCAAAATTACAGGGCATTATGCCCCCTCTCTAATCACACACGACTTTTATTTTAGTCTTCGGGAAACCGGAGAAAAGGACACCCAATATCTGATGTGTGAAGCTCTGCAGAACAGCAGAGAAATGTTAAAACGAAGCCAAACTCTACTGGCCAGTAGATCATGACGTGTTCTCTCTAACGAGGCCTGGATCTTATTGCTGGCCTTCAGGAAACCAGAGATATGGACTGGCTAATCTGGCTTCTTAGCTATTTTTCCTGGATCTTCTAAAGATGCCAACCAACATTTGAAAATGTGTGTTTGTTGGGGTGGTGCTACGTCCTCTGGTCTTCCTCGTAGAGGAGAAAAAGCATGAGATGATGTTGGGACTGAAACCAGGCCACAGCGACGGAAGAAGCTGAGCATTCACAAACAGCCAAACACAGCTCACCTCCTTCTGCGCGATGCCCATCTTGTCTCTCCAGTGCATGAGCACCAGGTCGGCCTTCTCTTTGGCAAACTTCTCCACCTCCTTTGCGGCCTTCCCTGCTATCCGCTGCCATTCCGGCACCTTCGTCCGCCCGAACTGGTCCTGCATGGACAGAGAGAGAACAGAAAAAATTGAAGTACTACACTGTGTATTAGAACAAGGAACTAATGACCGTGAAGAACTAATAAGGGTCTAAAAGTAAACGAATGGAAAGTATCAAGGTTACTGAGGCGATCTTTAGGTTGTCGCGGATGTGCATCCTGTCCACGTCTTTCTCCGGTACAGGGTCAGAACTGTCCAGATACGCCAGGAGACCAGTCGGCTGGAGGAGGGATAAAGACAAAGAGCAAGAGTGAAAGCAGGAAAGGAGGAGAACAGATAGAAACAAATAAAGATAAGAAAAACAAGACACAGACAGAAAAAAGTCAACAATTTGAGCTACATGTGCATCGTTTGGCGATTCTGATGGTCAAACTAGGGCCACCGATATTAGCGACCTGCAGTTTTTTCGGTATTGGCTTAAAACTTTGCTGATAGCGTCCCGATAATGTGCCACTGGGCAGCTCAATAAAAGGTTTAATTTTATGACAACAGAGGCTGAATTTGGTGAATCTGAAAACAAAATGCCTTCATAATATTAATAAAAAACAAAACGCCACTATACCTAACCTTTTGCATGAAAATAATGTGTCATAACATGAAACAGCTACTCTTTTTGTGAAGAGAACTGATAAAAATAAAAGGTGATAATTAGAAAACACAAGCACAAGGCATTCTGGCTGGCTTCGCCCCAGGGCAATAATATTTATATTATTTAAAGCTGCGAGGTTCTGCTGTTTCTTTTGAGATTAAGAAGTGTGACGATTGAGAAGTGATGAAAATGATTATACCAATTTTATGGGGGCAAAAAATTCTAATACAGATATTATCGGCCGATATAATTTTCTGTTTATATCAGTCGAGCCCTTGTTCAAACACACCCGATTCGACTCGGCACTTCAGGCGCTTTTCCACTGCATGGTACCGGCTCGACTCAACTCGACTCATCTATTGTGGTTTTCCATTTGGCAAGTTAGTACCTGGTACCCGGTACTTTTTTGGTACCACCTCCATTGAAGTTCTGGTTGAACAGAATCGCTAAACACATATGCTAAAGCTGGCTACCAAGTCTTGCTTTGCTTTTGAGCTGCCAGGATCGTCTCGTCGCCTCAACTCTGATGTAGTTTTTCCCAAACTCTCCTGTTTTTATCAGCAGTCTGTTGTCTCGCTGCCGTCAGCCTCTTCTGAAATTTGTCTCCTTCACATCTCAGCAGTTTCATCTGCTGTCGCTATGACGTCCAGCTACACTGAGAGGGTCTATAGCTGCAGTGGAAAATGAAGTAGCTGGTACCGAAAGCGAGTCAAGTCAGGTCAAGCTGGTACCTTTTCCCACCCTGATTTAGCCACAGCTCTTATTCAGACCCCCAAGTCAATTCATTAATACAGCTGAGGATTCTCACCAGGATTCTCTTCAGCAGGTTCATGGCGACGGGGTTCTCCGCGGTCCACAAACCCACCAGGTGCCGACTCAGCTGTCTACAACACAAGAGTGACAGCACACCTGATTCAGCTCATCAGGTCATTATCAAGCTTTACATCAGCTGACTCAGGTGTGTTACGCCAAGCATACACTGTGCAATTTTAGCCCGTTTTTAAGCCCGATTTGGTCGGCGCTGACTGAATTTCATGACTGGGCCGAATTTCAGCTTCATCGGCTGTCGCTTGCCGTGCAGTGTGAGGCGCCGCTATTCTCAGTTTGAACAGATCTCACAAACCGATTTCTCAAAGTCGCACTTACAATCACAACCACTAACCCTACACAGATGACCACTATGAACATTAACGAGGCGAGAAAGTCGACATTTGTGGTACCGACGTCCACATAAGCCGTTTGACTGAACTGAATCGTGAGGTATAAACTCAAATATGGTACTTTTTCAGTGTCTTTGTAAAACAGTCTGCAGACCGCCTGGTCTTCAGTTTCAGCGCACAGTGTGGCACAAGTTATCAAAGCTGTTGTAGCGGTTTGTCAGTGGGTGAATCTCAAACACCCCCTCCTTCCTACACCTCAAGAGTGTGAAGGAGCACTACCGCAGGTCCTTCCTTCCTGCTGCTGTTAGACTGAACAACCAGAACAGCTCCCAGTAGAAACCACCACCACCCCCCAATAGACCTCACACCTACAGAAGGTAAACTGTGAACTAATCACAATACATGCATGCAATATAATCAATTTATGATGTTTATATTGTTAATTCATCGTCATAGTCATGTGCAAGATGATCAATACAATTCAGGTAAAATATCCTCACATAGTAATTTTTATTTTGCCTTTTTATTTATAGTGTTTATATTGTTAATCTTTGTGAATAGAGTTTATGTGAAGGATAGAGTTTATATTTTTGTCTATACTGTAATAACTGGACTGTGTTAAGTAATTAATAAGGTTAACACCTTTGTTAATTCTCTTCTTGTTACTTCTTTTCTTGAGCGCCTTGCTCTCCCTTTGCTGCTGTAGCGATGAATTTCCCAGCTGCGAGGCTAATAAAGGACTATCTTATCTTGTGTAATTTCTGGCTTATACACCAAAACAGTGCACTATTTGTCCAGTACGGGTTTGTGCACACATGGCTGAATTTATAAGACATATGATGCACTGTTTGGTTGCAGGAGCCACTGTTTTAATTCCTACATGGTGCACTATGTGGGAGCAGGGAGCCATCTGAGGTTCAGCCAGTGTTTCTGCTCGGGACTCACGTGTTGTTTTGAATGAAACAGATTTATTGATGACTGTCTGTAGACAGAGATGACTGTAGGGGCTGCGTCTCACATGCAGCATGAGCACCCATGTCACGTCATGTCAGTCAGAAGCAGCGTTTTCATACACAGTAAGAATATAAATCGCAGCTTTTGTCCGTACACGATGGGCGAACAGTGTGAGTCACCAAAGAACACGATTTCTAAAATCACAGTGTACGCCTGGCTTTAATATGTGGCTCTGAACGCAGGTATGAGAATATATATGAGCTGTTTTTCTACCTGTTGGTGAGCATCCTCTGGTCAGCGCTGACTGTGAACATTGAAGTGTGGAGATGTCGAGGTAAGGCACCTTCACTCAACGCCAGATCCTGCATCTTGGTGGCTATTTCCTTATCACCCTCCTGAACACAAGCACAAATACATGCACACACCAATCGAAAGCACGAGAAACTGAAGCGCTCCACAGATGGATGCAATCTCACCTCAATAATGGCCTTCATAACCAGCCCGGCCCCCTTCACTATAGCCATGGAGGGATGCTGCAGAACCAGAGACATAAGAATAAAAACGTCAGAACAAAGGCTTTGTTCACACAGCAGGTAAAAGTGGCCCAAATCCGATCTTTTTCTCCGTATGTGACACAGATGTGTGTCTGTGTGAACAAGAAAAAACACTGAATCTGAATCTTTCAATTCTGATTTGAGATGCTTTCATATGTGGTACTGAAACCCGATCCGTATCCGATCTGCGGCAGTGCGACCCAGTCTGAACAGCCAGATCGGAAATCATGCGACTTTTACGTTAATCCAACTCAACATTCGTCATAATTTTGCGCTGCTGAGACTCATAAATATTTAGGCTGATGTTTCTGTACTAAAACATTAGAAGGCACTTATCGCAACCGCCCCGCGTTCGAAGAGGTTTCAGACAAAACGGCTGAACACGGACATAGGGGAACGAGGCTGCAGCGTCCAAAAAAAAGTTTAAAGAATCTGAGGACACGAACAAAAGAAGTGACCGTGGCTGAATAACGCGCCCTTTTTACGGCGAGCTGAACACATTCTGGGTGATGAGCTCAGCTGTCAGTCAGTGAAGCTTCATGACGGCTCCTGTGATGCTGGTGAAGATGAAGCTGAACCTCCAGGAGTGACTGGCGTTTGCTGGACATCATGATTGTTTACCTCTGGATGAGCCGTGAAGCAGCGTGAAGCACTGATCTTTTGCGCATGTGGGTCAGTTTAGGAGCTGATCTGTTCAGACTGATGTCGCACACAGATCACATTTAAAAGATAATCTGAACAGACAAACAAAAAAGATCGGATTTGGTGAGAAAATCAGATTTGGGCCACTTTTACCAGCTGTGTAAACGCAGCTCTTAGACTCCAATCCAAAAATCCAAAATTAGAAACCTACTGAATACTGCTTTTTTCCTTGTTTGTTCACTGACCTGAAAGAGTTTGAAGAGGGTTCTTCCGTTGGAGGCCACCATCTCCAGCAGCATGTCGAACTGCTGACCTTCAGTTGTTTCACTGTAGGGCGCGCAGAGGGCAAAGGTCAAGAAGTCCAGAAGTGCACTGATGACTAAAGCACCTGTGCCGTGCTCCTGGGAAGCAAAGGAGAACGTGAAAAGAGAAGGAGCGAAGGAGGACAAGAATATATGCAGACAGAGGGAGAAGAACACAGAAATGAGAGAGATGAACGCAGCTGCGCCACATATTACATATTAACAGGAATATTACTGTATTGATCACAGATCAATTTTCACTACCAAAAGGTACCAAAATCAATAATTCTATATGATGACTATGCTCTTAGCAAAAAGGGTGTTATGTAATACTACACTCTTAAAAGTGATGGTTCTTCAAGGGTTCTTTAGTAAAGAAAATGGATCTATATAGAACCATGAACACCCAGTGCATCATGAAATGGTTCTTCCAATTGATGGAGAATGTGCTGTAGATGGTTCTATATAGAGCCTTTTTAAAAATGGTTCTATATAGCACCTAAAAGGGTTCTTCTACTGTAACAAGCTTGACATCGTAACAATAGAAGAACGCTTTTGGGTGCTGTATAGAACCCTTTTCAAAAAGATTCTATATAGCACCATCTACAACACATTCTGAAGAACCCATCAATGATTCAAAGAGCCCTTTAATCATGAAAAGGGCTCTTTGAGTGTTCTTGGTTTTTATAGAACCTACCAAAGAACCCTGGAAGAACCATGTTTTGTTTAAGAGTGTAGTAACTTTAGCCACACATTAATTTTTTTCTGTTATAAATTGAACCCTTCTGGGTGCTATACAGAACCCTTTTCAAAAAGGTTCTATATAGAACCATACACATTATCCATCAATCTGAACAACGATTCATGATGCAAAGAACCCTTTAATCATGCAAAGGGTTCTTTGGGTGTTCAAGGTTCAATATAGAACCACTTTCTTTACTAAAGACCCCTTGAAGAACCATCATTGTAACAAGGATACTTTTTCTCTGAACCCATTTAGGTGTTGAGCAATTTTAAAAAGGGAACTTTTAAGATCCACAGGTTCTTCATTACAGAGAGGAACCATTTAGGCAGGCAAAGAACCTTTAAACTGATTCTCTGAATTGTCATTGTTCTCTATAAATCCATTGCCTTTGAAAAGCCCCCAAACTGTATCAAAGTCAAGTACTGATAATTTGAGTTTGGTACAGATTTCTTAACTCTTGTACTTTAAAACCTTCTTTTAAATTACAAACTGAATGTGAGTGTTACTTAAAGCAGAGAAGAGCGTGAGGTGCTGCAGGTGTGTATATTTACTGACTGCAATGGATTACGGACTAAAACACGCTGCAAAAAATGGTTTCTTGGCAAGAGAAATTCTCAAAATCAAGTCTGCATATCGCTGCTGTCGGAAGAAAACCTTGTCGTTTTTCAGTTTTTGGCATAATTTGAAACTGTCTGTTGCTCTTTACACTGCTTTTAAATTTCATGATGAACGGACCAAAAGAAACAGCCCAAAATGGCTTGGATATAAAGTCTGGTTCCATTGACTTACATTAAAAATAAAGGATATTTTTTCCTTCTCCTGTAAAGTTGTCATTTTGGAGATGCAAGGTTTTCTTCCAACAACAGCGACATCTAATATTTCTTATGTTGACTCTGCTGGAAGCTTAGAAAAAAGATGATTTTTCTTCTTAGACATTTTTTACTTGGTTTTAAGTAATTTTCTAAAGTAAAATGATCTCACTACACTGGCAGATGATTAATATAAAACAAGCAAAATTATTTGCAACTACAGTGAGGTAATTTATTTGATAAAATTAAACAAGTAAAACATGTCTAGCAAAAAGAAAAACAATCAAATTCAAAATGTCAAAATTAAAATGTTAGATTTATCAACAAGACTTAAAATAATTTCACTTGACAAGAAACATTTTTTTGCAGCACAAGAAGTGCTGACGTTAATAACGTATACAGAACGTCGAAAAGACAACCTAGACTGAATTTCTTATTACTGTGTAATAAGGCTGAGCAATATTACAACATTAATTATCTTTTTAGAGCATATTGTAGGTACTGTCAGTACTTAAAACACTTCTTACTCGCATGTTTGATTACAAAGAGAGCATAAATAATCCTGTTTAATTGGATTCAGTGCAGCACAGTGTGAAATGTTGAATACAAAGCACTGGATTCATAGTTTTTGAGAGTATTTTTACATACAGCACTACTTTGCCTGTTCCAGCTTATGTCAGAAAAATAAATGTGATATTGTGTATCATGAAAACTTCTAGAAATATTGTGATTACATTTTTGCCATATCGCCCACCTCCACTCTGAAATGATTTGAGTGGCACCATAAAAGTATTGAATTTCGATACTGAGCTCTAAGACTATCTAAGAATGTTTTAATATTTATGGTATCATCACTTTAATCTAACACTATTAGCTGCGTACCACATTACTGATGAACTTTTCTAGAAGGTTCTCCAGGAACTTCTTGGAGGAGAGCAGCGATGCCTTGTTCAGCTGCTCCTGCCTCAGGTCGTAGTCATCGTGCATCGGCTGAAACAGAAACACAGAGGCAGATGGAAACATGGTGATCGTCTGCATTAACACAAACCTTCTATAAGCTAATTTTAATAACACTCAAGCCCTTTGTTTTTATTTTCCTTTTCATCTTTTTATATTTTATTCTATGTACTTTGTACTTTAATGTAATCATCCACTTTGTTTCTTTAAGCTGTTGCACTTTGTATCTTTTCAGCTTTTTATTAATTTTGTTTTTTCATTATTAAGCACCTTGTATTTATTTTTGTTTTTGAATTCCTTTTACTTTCATATATGTAATGCAAATCAAATTGCCTTAAACTATACACTACATAAATGAACTTGCTTTGCCTATAAAGTAAAATTAACTAAACATCACGACAGATGTTGTGATACATGATGTGTATCGTGAAGAATTGTGATGATGTTTTTTGCCGTATCATCCACTCTCAAACATCACTGTCATAACAAAAAGAGTTGATCCAGGGATTCAGCACTGGATTCGGAATAAAACCCAATTTAACAGACTTCTCTCATAAATCACTGCTACATCATTCCTCCTAAACTGAACGCATGTCCTGACCTGGGACAACTGAGAAAAAAGCTGTGAACACTGACTACAGGAGCGCTCTGGCTCCAGAACAGAGGCGGAACACACCAGCATTACAGGACAGTTTAGCCAGAGGTGCTAAAGTGGCTAACAAAGCATGGACGCTAGCAGGGTCTGCCTGCAGTAACCTGCAAGCTGTTCACTGTTAACAAGCTTCTGCTCACTGTTTCCAACAGTCGCCATCAATCGATCACACAATTATTGATTACTTGAACGCTGCTACGAGACCTCAGTGTTTCTGTAGTCAAGTCAGAGTTCTGCACCGTTTACAGCTCACATTCAGAAACACAGAGGCAGATGGAAACAGGGTGATCGTCTGCATTAACACAACCTCCCTTTGTGTGTTGCGCAACTGCATTTTCACAAAGATTACATGTTATTGCGCCACAAGACGACAATGAGAACTGCAGACACTCGGTTACACACTTACACACATCAGGGCACAGAGCATGTCTATAGCAGCATGTGTTATTCCGTTATTGTTCCTCTTCAGCGCTTTTACAGTCTTCACACCCAGCTTCTCTCTGAACCTGGAAAACAGAAATAAACCTTTGGATACGGGGCTTTTTGGGAAACAAACAGATTGGAAAAAAATAAATAAACACATGACAGCCCAACACAAATCACTGTACATGTTTGGGCTGATATTAGTATGGAGTTATACACAACAATCCGCTGACAGAGTCAATATCTGGACAGGATCGAATCCAGTACAGACACAACAGACCCTTCATACATCTCAGTGACCCCACAGAGAAAGAGTCAAGATATATGAGAAAAAGAGACAGAAAGCAGACAGAGATAGACGGATGAAAGACAAATAAACAAAGAAAGAGAGAAAAGGAAGGAAAGGAAAATAAAAGAATTTGTATTATATGTTGAATTAGGGCTAGGCGATGTCTTTATGATATATTTACAACGGTTTTTTATTTGGGATTGTAGACCAGGGGGCGCAACTCAAATGTTAAGAGGAGCCATTTTGTCCTTTCAACAAAAATCAATCCACCGTAGGAGCCACAACCGATGTGCTGATGTGCTAGTATAGACTAAAAACATAATATAAAGGAAAACGCAGACTTACTTTGCTCTGCTTTAAGCTTTAGCTCAGCTGTAGCTGCTTTTCTCGCATCTCCGGCAGGAAACTTTTCCTCAAAAGTAGAACAGTTTCTTGTAAAATGTCTCTCAGTGTTCGTTTTTACAAAGCTGGAGTCGCTTCTCAATCGCCAGCTTCTTGTTCAAATTTTTCCATTCCACCTTAAATGGTGCCTGAGAGCCAGAATGAAACTGGTGCACCATTTAAGGTGGATCGGCAAAAATTCAAACACGAAGCTGGCAAATGAGAAGCGACTTCAGCTTCGTAACTTTTTTTTTTTGTCAGTTTCTCGCTGCAGATTAAACGTATCAAAACCAGCTGGAGTGATTATAAATGCAAATGAGCCTGTTCATTGATCTCTTAATTACAAAAGTCTCTCTTAAGGTCTTAAGTCTTTCTTTTCTTTGCCCCTTCAATAGCTAATAGCTACTAGGCGAGATACTTGTCTGCTTTGCTATGTGACCAGCAGCCTGTGCGCCGATCTTCAAGGTTAAATTTTGGTGAATTCGCAGCACTTAAGACCAGTTATTGTTTAAAATGTGTTACAACTGGGTGTTTAAAAGCTCAGCAGGCTCATGAGGGCAGTCGCATGTTGCCTGGCGCCTGCTGTAGACATTGCGGTGATCTTAATGTGTCCCATTAAGCGCATTTTAAGGTTTCCTGAACTGAGACCGAGCATGTTCAGGCTTATTAGCAAAACGGAAACCTTAAACGATCACGTGGTATGTCACAGAGGTGGACAGCGCAGTGGATAACACCACCATCCCACACGCAGGAGAGCGCACTAGCACACGAGTGTCGGAATCGGACCTTACAGCGGTGGAAGGAGGTCTCCCAGTCTGATGAGTCCCATTCTCTTAGACATTATTTGAGCAGCTGGGAACATGTGCACAGTTTACCTGAAGAAGAGATGGACCAAGACGGACTGTGGGAAGCCAGTAGAGGGATTGTGATACTCTGGTCGACATTCACGTTCACATGGATGTCATTTTGACACGCGCCACCTACCTACCCGCTGTTGCGGATCAGGTACATCCCTTCATGTGGGTGGTGTTCCCGGATGGCAGTGGCCTCTTTCAACAGCACTGCACGCATTGTTCAGGAACAGTTTGAGGAACATGACCTTGAGTTCAAGGTGTCAACTGGCCTCCAAGTTCCCCATTCCGATCAAGCATTCCGATCTCATTCCCATCAAGAAAGAATGGGACGTGCTGGAACAACAAGGCTCCACTTCACAACCTACAGAATCTGCTGCTAACATCTTGGTAACAGACACCACAGGACACTTTTAGAGGTCTTGTAAAGTCCATGCCTGTTTTGGTGGCAATATTTTGGCTCATTAGTAAATATGATAATATATCATTTGTCTTTGAATGGAAAATAAACCTTGATTATTTCTAAATACATTTTTACTAAGTATTACTGCAAATACCGCTTTTAATAAAAGCTGTTTAGTCCAGATTACGGCTGTTCTGATTGAAAATTGTTTCAAGCCATTTCAGAAAGACTGAATGAACATCGAGATGTCTATTGTTTATCAACAAAAGGTGCTTAACCGTATCGCCCAGCCCTACATAAATTTACCTTTTTCTTTTCACTCACTGACTAAAAAAGGACATATGAGGGGGAGGGATGGAAAGCATGATGACAATAAAAGACAGGCAGGCAGCTCTGAGGTACAAGAGGAGGGATACGCTGAGATATATGCACTCATAGTTACGTTTTTTGTTCGGGTCCTGCCACTTGAACAGACCTTAGAGGGACAGAGCAGCTTTATTACCAACACAGACAGAGCAGAGCAGAGCAGCAGCACAGAGACAGCAATGGCAGAGAGATGGACAGAGAGGAAAGAAAACAGTAAAAGAGAGAGGAAAAAAAGAAAGACAACATAAGAACAAAGACAAAAACAGAAGAAAAATGTGGAGACTGTCCTTTCCTCGAAGAGAGCTTCACAACTGAAGGTTAAAAATCCTGAGCGTCTCAAGGAAACTTCAGACAGGCCTATGAATTCAGGGCTCCCAAACAAACTTACACTCGCAGGACCAGTAATAAGGGTTAGTGACGTGTTATTATTATAATTATATATATTTACAGCACTTTATTTTCATTGTTTTTCACTTTTAGCACGACTGAAATGCATTGAGGGTAAACATGAAGCAGCATTTAGCTGTTATGCTGAGATTTTTTGATGAGCTCCAAATGTAGATTTTTACAGCCAGGTTAAAAACATATTTCTTCTCGTGTATCTATAAATGAGCTTTAAGATCTGCACTATATTCTTACTACACTTTACCTTCTATGAGCTTTTGCTTTTATACATGTTAAACACACTGGATTGCCTTTATGTATTAAAAACACTATAAAAATAAACTTCCTCGCCTATAAAATTTACTAAACTAAACATCACGACAGATGTTGTGATACTCGATGTGTATCGTGAAGAATTGTGATGATGTTTTTTGCGGTATCATCTACTCCAGGGATCCAGGGATTCAGCACTGGATTCGGACTTTTCTCATAAATCATTGCTACATCATTCCTCCTAATCTGAACGCATGTCCTGACCTGGGACAACTGAGAAAAAAGCTGTGAACACTGTCTACAGGAGCGCTCTGGCTCCAGAACAGAGGCGGAACACACCAGCATTACAGGACAGTTTAGCCAGAGGTGCTAAAGTGGCTAACAAAGCAAGGACACTAAAAGGGTCTGCCTGCAGTAACCTGCAAGCTGTTCACTGTTAACAAGCTTCTGCTCACTGTTTCCAACAGCCGCCATCAAATGATCACACAATTACTGATTACTAGAACGCTGCTACGAGACCTCAGTGTTTCTGTAGTCAAGTCAGAGCTCTGCACCGCTTACAGCTCACATTCAGCCTCATTCTCCAGTATCTTCCTAAGTTCGTTCTTAAGTGTGTTCTTGATGAAGGTCCTAAGAAAAAGTCTCCGTCAGATTCATGACGTGTTCTTAAAGCGCAGAACTGTTCTCACCTTTGTGCTCTTGAGTGTGTAGATTCTGTTCTTACCTAAGAACAAATCCCAGATTAGAGAACACTGGTGAGTCAGAGTTTTAAGAAGAAATATCTTTTAAGAACGGTTGGTGAACAAAGGCCAATGTTTGCTCTTTTATCTATCGCAGCTTTGAGCTCCATTATATATATGGATGGGTGTATCTACACACACTCAAGAGCATATATTTTATACATGTGTGTGTTGTCCTCTCTCTCTCTCTCTCTCTCTCTCTCTATATATATATATATATATATATATATATATATATATATATATATATTATATATATATATATATATATATATATATATATATATATATATATATATATATATATAGCTCCAAAATTCTCAAAAATTCGTATCTCCAAAATGGTAACTTTATAGGAGAAGGAAAAACATACTTTACTTTTAATGTAAGTCAATGGAACCAGACTTATTTCCAAGTCATTTTGGGCCATTTCTTTTGGTCCATTCATCATGAAATTTATACACAATGTAAAAGGCAGAAGTCATTTTCAAATTATGTCAAAAACTGAAAAATGAACAACAAAAACTGAGATATGAGGTTTTCTTCCGACAGCAGCGATATGTGTTGTGTGTGTGTGTGTGTGTGTGTGTGTGTGTGTGTGCTGTTTTAATACTTTTTTCCTGTGGTAAAATTTCACGATAAACAGACATACAGAAGTGGTCGAAAATTACATAAAAGAAAATCTTGTAATGATGCCCATTCACTTATGTTGTTTTGTTGTCCTGTCTCTATTTACTGTCTAGTGTATTTATTGTTCTTTATATTTACTGTCTGGTTTATTGATTGTGTGTTCTGCACTCGTCTCACACCGTCATGTATCTGCACTCTATGCAGTTCTGTGTAATGCGCTGCTGTTGTGTGTTTGGCTCCTGAAGATGCACATTTCGTTCCAACGTATACAAGTTATATTGAGGAATGACAATAAAGGCCACCTGACTTAATCTGGCTTAAATGTGTTGACGTTTTTGGTCAAATCATCCCTTTTACACAGGGGCGTCAGACTCCAGACCTGGAAATTCCTGACAGCTAATTCAGATTCAGTTTTCTCTTTGATTCAACACACATGATTCAATGTATATTAACCAGCCCTTCACCAGTCAGATTAGATTTGTTAGTGATAACCAAGGAGCTACGGCCCTTCAGGACCTGAGTCTGACTCTCCATGAAGAAGAGATCTTAAGACAGTCTGACGTACTTGGGGAGCTGAGTGAAGGCCTGGAACCCGGCTTTGGAGGCGACCAGGCGCCGAATGGCCTGGAACTGGGCCTCAAGCTCAGCGTTGGGCCCTGCCAGCTCTGCATCCTGGGACAGTAAGGCCAAGATGGCGTTGTTGATCAGTTTCTCTTTGTTCTCTGAAAAAAGACCCTGCAAAACAAATAAAGAGAGAGAAATACATACATATGGTTACAGTCAACATAGAGAAAGGGCAGCAATAAAAACATAGCACATCTTAAAGGGAAATTCCTCTAATTATTTTTTAATTTCTGAATAATTCTGTCTGCAGACAGTAGTTTCAGAGATAGATAGAAAGATAGATAGATACTTTACTGATTCCGAAGGAAATTTAGCAGACTGGTTTGATGTTAATTTTTTTTATTGTAGAGACTCAGATGTCTTTACAGTGGTGGTGATAGGAACCAGGGGTCACCATGACTACAACACAGATATAGACATTTTATTTACTATCCAGAACCACCAGTAAAACTATGCAAAGGAAGTCATAAATCTAAAAAAATTTTTTTTTGCTGCATGCACCCTTCCGCCATGAATGGATCAAAATAAATTGATTATAATACACTGTAAGCCCAAACGATATCACATAACTATCATAAAACAGTGTCTCAGTCATCAGGCAGTGAATTCATAACCATTTCATGTAGGAACTTTCTGTGAGGGAGCTTTTAGAGGTGGACGTCTGGTTCCTATCACCACCACTGTGAACAGTTCTGACTCGGTAAGTTTCTCTAGAACAGAGCGTTTCACACCAAACCACTCTGAATGACTGACTGCATCTCAACCCTTTAATTATGTAGAATTTTTTAAAAATCAGTGGAGTTCTCCTTTACTATAGTAATAAATTAAAAAAAAATCAAGAGTAATACTAAAAGGAAAACACAACTGAATTAAAAAAAATTAAAATAAATATTAAATATTTAAAAAAATATATTAACAACCACCTAAACATTCAGTCCGTAGCTACATACAGTACAGTCTGAAAGTAACTGGGCAGCAGAACAAAAATTAAGGAATTTAAAAAGTCCTCGCAAGAACCAAAAGTAATTTTGGTTGAATTGGCTGCTGAGATGGTTCTTGGTGAGCTGTGGCTCCACAGTCCATGAGAACTTGTAATTTAATTTGTCCCAACATGTCAGTACTGAAATTAATTTCTATTATTCCTCCATGACAAATAGTTAAAATGAAGTGATGGCAGATTGAGAACTCTTACGTCTTGAGTGACAGCGTGCAGAACGCCACTGTAGGAGATGTTAGCATTGAACCTGAACACTGCGTCGGCAAAGTTTCCATCTGAGAAGAGGGGAAAAAAACGTGTATTAATATTCCAATAAACTTGTACTTTTTGGCTAATTGTAGATCACAAATACTGAACTCACATATTATATCACATATGAACCATGTATTAAGTCTGTATTAAGTTTTGGGCAACAGAAATCTTCTTAAGTCCTTTGTTAAATGCTCAGAAAGTACATTCTATAAACATTGAGAAACATGGTCAAGTAAACAAGACTATTATTAAGATTATTATCAATATGGTATAAAAACAGTGTACAGCAGTACTGAGTACCAGTGAGGCTGGAGTGTTTACAGGCTGCTGTACGTACTAGGCGGAGCAGCGAGGAACCTGAGGTGTAGGCTCTCCACCTCTTCATCTACAGGCATGCTAAGAAGCCCCCAGCGCTGCCCTCTTTGGGTGGGGGCCATCTTCACACACACATCCCTGTTACCAGACGCCCTCACGCCATCCAGCAGACTCGCCAACAAAGAGTCCCTACAGAAAAAGAGGGGGGGTTAAGGAGAGAGACTACAGGCACAAATCCCGTCCACTGATAATGTCTTTATAGGTTTATGTATCCTAAGCAGTCATAACTAAATCTACAAGACCATTTTCCAACTTCTCTCTATCTCACAACATTAAACAGGCTGTTTTCAGTTACTGTGCCTTTAAGACTGATATATGTAAATGACCTCTGTTCTGACTGGCTGCCTCATTCAAACACTCCTTATAACTAGGGCTGACACAATAATGAAATGTTAACTGATGCTAAATCGTCAAATAAATAATTACGATTAACGATTTAATTTTGCTGCTATTTTATTTTGCACACATTTATGTGATTTGATTCAACAGTACAAACTAAGCAAATAATAATAACTAACAAGTAAGGTGGCTATTTTGGCCACTTTAGGCTTGTGTTTTAACAGTTGCAAATGAAATAATTGCTATTAACAATTTGATTTTGCAACTATTAAAATACAAGCCTTAAGCGGCGAAATTAGCCACCTTACTTGCTAATCATGTTTACTTAGTAGCCAACACTGTCTGGACAGTCAAATCAAACAAACATCTATAGTTTCACAGAATTATGTGTGGATTTCTTCACCGGAGTGAAAATATAAACCAAAAAAAACACGATTCATTCCACCAGCAGCCGTGTAAAAACATTAGAATTAGCTAACAGATACACAAACATTACTCATGCTGCCCTCTAAACATGCTGCAGCACCAAGTTAGAGCTTTTTTGTTTTCATAAAGTCACACGAAGCCTCAGTGAACGCATTTACTGCCTTTTATTTACACTCAGTTGCCTCAAATAAGGTCCAGCGTCCCATTATTACATTATTATTACAGCTTGTTTGCTGCAGCATAATATACCCGTGAAGTCCAACAACTGTGGAAAATGGTTGAAGTCGGCTTAAATGACTGGAACAATCGGTGGGTTTATGTAAATATGCAAATTTTCAACACATCCCAAAAAACAATGAGCATAATTTCCAGACACAGACTGTACTGATGGGGCGTGAACAGTACATTCTGAACCTTTGAACCACGTTTTCATACTCCCAACCAAAATAGTGAGGAAAATTTGTTTTTCCTTGATATGGTGCCTGTTTTTCAATCCCACTATTCCCGTCAGATTTGGTCAGATTCTTAGATCATTTCTCAAACAGCTGTCAGGCTCAGGTCAGGTTATAAGCTCATGCTCAAGTTTCTCTCAGAATGTTTCCCTTCTTTTGGGTTTTGCCTGCATTTAGCCCTGCTTTGGTTTTAGCCCCTTACTTTTCCCCCCATTTTTTACTTTTCTTTCTTTTTTACTTGCTAGAATTACTGGCTCACTACAACAACATAGCAATGTGCACAAGGTCAGATGAAAACAACAGGCTATGTAAAGTTTATCAAGGCTCAAAACCTTCAGAATGTAGTTTGAATGCACTGACAGATACAAAGAAATCATTGCATTTTATTCAATTTATCCATGAGCTAATAACGGCTGTCGTTGCTGCTGGGCGACGTAAGACATCCCAGCCTAATTTAGCAGGTGCCATCATTAGGAATGTGAGGATTTATTAAGTCTTTGGTTAGATACGGTCATTTCTGGACAGTATTCTCTCAGGCTGAGGTCATAATTGGACTGTAAACCCGCTCTTGTGGGTCGGCTCAAAATCGGGCAGGAGGTCCTCAGGATACACGAGATTCAGACCAAAATTTCAGGCCTGATTAAAACTCCAGGAAAGGCATGTTTGAGCGAACAGTGACAAATACTACACACTTAAAATGATGTTTCTTCAAGCGTTCTTTAGTAAAGAAAATGGTATGATCTAGAACCATGAACACTCAAAGAACCTTCTGCATTATTAAAGGGCTCTCTGCATCGTGAAAGCCTTCTTTGGATTAATGGAGAATGTGCTGTAGATGAAAACGGTTCTTTGTACCACCAAAAAGGTTCTTCTATTGGTCAGATAACAAGCTTGTCACAATACAAGAACTCTTTTTGGTGCCATATAGAACCCTTTTCGAAAATGTTCTCTATAGAACCATATACAACACTTTTTTCATCAATCCTGATGCAAAGAAACCTTTAATCATGCAAAGGGTAAGTGTTCATGGTTCTATACAGGACCATTTTCTTTACTAAAGAACCCTTGAAGAACCAACTTTTTTGAGTGTAGGACAAACTCAGGACAATCTATCACACTGCTGCTGTATGTCGTGTATCGTATGAGTAAAAAAGGAATTTAAATTGGTCTAAAGTGGAACAAAACCGGGCTTAAAAAACAGGAGTGTTATTATTTGTGACAAGCAAATTTCCTTCAAGGAAAAATCAATACAGGAACAGCTAAGAAAAAGTGTGTGCACATTACCTCTCTGTGGAGCAGTACTTTCGTATCTGTCCCCTGATGAACTCGACAGTGAATACCTGAGGGTTCTCCGCATCACAGATCAGAGCAAACACCTGCAGGAGCACCAACATTATATCAGCTTTCTCATTAACTACAGCTTCAACATTCTGTCTCATTCTGAATTCAGCTCGTTAGCAGTTTCCCTACACAACATGCACTCTCAGAAATAGGGGTACTACACTGTCACTGGGTCAGTGTTCCTATAGTCACTGGGGTGGGACTCTCAAGGGTCCATCTCAGTACCTTCAGTCAGGGAACATAACTGAACCATAATCCACTGAAATGATATGTTCTAAGCTGTACTGACTCCACACACCCCGTCTCGTCTCCAGGCTTTTATTTTACTGTTCTGTTTAAAACATTCGGTTATGAAAAGGTACAAATACGAACTTTTCACCTGGAAAACACTTATTTAAGGTTCACAATCAGACCTTAAAACCACTGTTGGAGCTTTGAGGGAACATTTACACTGTTTGTACCTTGATAAATATAAAGTGTACCTGCACAGAGCCTTTATTTCTAATAGTGTACTGCAAGGTAATTTGTGGGATACATAAAATCCCGATAACTCTGCAGCCTGGAACTAAACAAATTTTACTCGTTTGATAATTTAAATTTAGATACAAAGCTTGAAAAATCGAGTGATAAAAAAAAACATTACCAGTTACTTTTATTATTGTTACTGTTAATGCTACTTCTACACCTACACCTTTAAAAAAGATGTTCTTCAAGGATTTTTAGTAAAGACAACGGTTCTATTTAGAACTGTAGAGCACCATTTGCATGCTTACATCGTTCCTTGCATGGCAAAATGGTTCTTCGGCTTGACTGAGAACGTGAACCTTTCTGAAAATCTGAAAATGTAAATGTATATGGAACCAAAAAGGGTTCTTCTGTTGCTTCAGTGTCAAGCTTATAATACTAGAAGAGCCCTTTTTGGTGCTATATAGAACTATTTTCAAAAGGGCTGTATGTACAACATATCCTCCATCAATCTGCAGAACCATTTCACCATGCAAAGAAACATTTAAGCATAAAATGGCTCTAAACAGAACTCATGGTTCTAAATAGAACCACTGTCTTTACTAAGAGTGTACTACTCCTGCTGATTAATACTAACACTAGTCCTACAACAATGAGAAGTAGTGCTACGTTATGTTGTTTTTTATGCCAAGCATCTTAAATAAACATTGCAGAGTATTGTCGAAAAGTAGACGCTGCTTTATAATGACCTCTCCAAAGGGTTTGATGGTGACGATGTTGTACGAGGCCGGGTCTCTCTCCACCAAACACGTCTCCGTGAGGGCCAGGATCCTCTTCACAGGCTCCTGAGACAGACAAAGAAAGAAAAAAAAATTCTTTAGTCTCCATGACGACTTCAGTAGGACTGAATTTAGTTCAGTATCTATTCCAGAATAACAGTTCCTAACTTCATAATCTCATCATTAACTCCAGATAAGAAAACAGCATCACACAAACATCCTAACTAGACTGAACCTCCTAAATCCTGTCCTAACTTTAGGATGAACCCCAACGGGTCCTCACTTCTGTTTAAGGTCCGTTTCTATGGTTTTTAGGCAGCTGAGTCAGCAGCATAGTTCACTACCAGCATAATGAGCTCCATTTATTTCTACTGTAAAACGCTGCTTTCACTGTGAGATGATTTTCTTTTCTAACTCTGCGTTTTAAAGATCTCACGTTTTAGCTGTGTGTGTATGGTCGGTTGCTAGGAAACAGACATGACAGCTGACTGTCCACTTTGATCAAGTAGGTTTAGATTTCCTAACTAGAGATAAGATGCTGTAAGATAAGATTCCTAAATCAAGATCAGATTTGTTTCTGTAATAAAGAACGTGTGAAAAATCTTATCTTGACCTGTCAGATCTGAACTTAAGACAAAAATGCAGCCAAAACGTTTCTGTAAGAGGCCTCTGGATCCAAAAGCAGACAAACACAGCAGTAAAACTCCTTTCTGAGACGATAAATCCTTCTGACTACTCTGACTGTAGCTTGTGAATCAGAGACACCCGTGAACTAAAGTAACACCATCTCTGAAGGAGAGAGAAATAAAAAGTCTTGACAGCAGAACGGAACGCTGAGCATTCTCTACAGCGCAAATCAGTGTGTGTGTGTGTGTGTGTGTGTGTGTGTGTGTGTGTGTGTGTGTGTGTCTCACCGCGTGCCGTGGCGAGATCTTTTGCACGACGAACTCGGCGAGTGAGGTGATGCTCTCGTCCGAGCCGTACTTGCCCAGCCTCTCACTGACGAAGCCCTCGAAGGTCAGAGGATCCTTCCGTAACCGCAGCATAATCCCAATGAAGTTCCCAGCATGTTCAATCGCACTGCGGATGATTTCATCACGATGTTCCGACGCAAAGAGGTGCTACAGAGGGGCAACATATAGACAGACGGACATACAGACATCAGAAACATAGAGAGAGAGAGAGAGAGAGAGAGATAAAGAGATAGAGATAGAGAAGAGAGAGAGAGAGAGAGAGATAAAGAGATAGAAACAGAGAGAGAGAGATAAAGAGACAGAGACAGAGAGAGATAAAGAGATAGAGATAGAGACAGACAGAGAGAGAGAGAGAGAGAGAGAGCGAGAGAGAGATAAAGAGACAGAGACAGAGAGAGATAAGGAGAGAGAGATAAAGAGATAGAGACAGAGAGAGAGAGATAAAGAGATAGAGAGAGAGCGAGAGAGAGATAAAGAGACAGAGAGAGATAAGGAGAGAGAGATAAAGAGATAGAGACAGAGAGAGATAAAGAGACAGAGACAGAGAGAGAGAGAGATAAAGAGATAGAGACAGAGAGAGAGAGATAGAGAGATAGAGAGAGAGATAAAGAGAGAGAGAGAGAGATAGAGATAAAGACAGAGAGATAAGGAGAGAGAGAGAGAGAGAGATAAAGAGAGAGATAAAGAGATAGAGACAGAGAGAGAGATAAAGAGAAAGAGAGATAGAGACAGAGAGAAAGACACAGAGAGAAAGACACGGAGAGACAGAGAGAGAGAGAGAGAGAGAGAGAGAGAGATAAAGAGAGAGATAAAGAGATAGAGACAGAGAGAGAGAGATAAAGAGAAAGAGAGATAGAGACAGAGAGAAAGACACAGAGAGAAAGACACGGAGAGAGAGAGAGAGATAAAGAGAGAGAGAGAAATAGAGAGATAGAGACAGAGAGAGAGAGAGAGAGATAAAGAGAGAGATAAAGAGATAGAGACAGAGAGAGAGATAAAGAGAAAGAGAGACAGAGACAGAGAGAAAGACACGGAGAGAGAGAGAGATAAAGAGAGATAAAGAGAGAGAGAGAGATAAAGAGATAGAGACAGAGAGAGAGAGATAAAGAGATAGAGATAGAGAGAGAGAGAGAAAAAGAGATAGAGAGAGAGAGAGATAAAGAGATAGAGAGAGAGAGAGATAGAGAGAGAGAGAGATAAAGAGATAGAGAGAGAGAGAGATAAAGAGAAAGAGATAGAGAGAGAGAGAGAGAGAGAGAGAGATCAAAATTAGTGGAAAAAAAATGCAACAACATCCTAAAAGCAACTCACCGTCGCCAGACTTGGATGAGCAAACAAGTCAAATCAAGAGAGAAAAATCTAACTAAACAAAGAAAATGAAGCTCAGCAAAAAATAAAAATATTAATAAAATCTAATTGTACAAATTTGACATTATCTACCCATTTAATTTCAAGTGTTTAATTCATAGTCGGTTCATTTACAACAGGAACAATTCATGTGCAACTAAAGTTCATACTACACTCTTTAAACAATGGTTCTTCAAGGGTTCTTTAGTAAAGAAATAGGTTCGATAAAGAACCATTAACACTCAAAGAACCCTTTGACTGATTACAGGGTTCTTCACATCATTAAAGGGTTCTTCAGGATGTGTTGTAGATCGTTCTATATAAAACCTTTTTGAAAAGGGTTCTATATTGCACCAAAAAGGGATCTTGTCAAGCTTGTGACAACAGAAGAACCCTAAATAGAACGCTTTTCAAAAACGTTCTATATAGAACCATCTACAGCACATTCTCCATCAATCTGAAGAATGTGATGATGCGAACAACCCTTTAATCATGCAAAGAGTTCTGTGAGTGTTCATGGTTTTTTATAGAACCTATTTCTTTACTAAAGAACCCTTAAAGAACTTTGTTTTTAAGAGTGTAGGCCAAAAGATAATTTGCACATATTTATATAGAATTTTTTTTGGTTAAATTGGTTAAGAAAACGGTTCTATACGAACCATGAACACGTAAAGAACCCTCTGCATGATAAAAGGATTATTTGCATTATGAATGTGTTCTTCAGATTGATGGAAATTGTGCAGTACATGGTTCTATGTAGAAAAAGGGTTCATATAGCACCAAAAAGGGTTCTTCTATTCCTACATGCTTTGCATTGTAACAACAGAAGAACCCATTTTGGTGACATACAGAGCCATTTTCAAAAAGGCTGCATATGCAACACATTCTGCATCAATCTGAAGAATCATTTCATCATGCAAAGAACCATTTAAGCATGAAACAGTTCTATATAACCCACTGCAATAAGGAGAACCACTGTCTTTACTAAAGAACCCTTGAAGAAACATCTTTAAGTGCGTGGAAGATGTTAGTCTGGTAGTTGCGTCCTAATAAATGTCTCTCTAACTCACTCCAGTAAACACTGGACACAGTATTCTCCCAGTACTGTACTACCAAATTAAGGGAGGCCTACTGCCCACCAATTAGCGTCAAGCAGACTGGTGGAGTACAGCATTTCATTCCTCGTTAGCCACATTAGCCTTGAAATTCCATCAGAAGATTTAAGGTGTGATTTTCCACACGTCGCAGTGATGAACGCACACACTCACCAGTCTACTGAAGCCCCCATAGAGGATGCAGAAGCCCCCCTGGTAGTCGGACACCTCAGCGAAGCCCTCAATGGAGCGGTAGTCATAGGAACAGATGACCCGGTTGGTGTGAGGGTCGATCTGGTCGATGCCCCCCGGTGTCACCTCCAAACCCACCGTCTTCCGCGTGTCACTCCAGTGATGCTTGTAGCAATTGTAACGCTGCATACAACAACATTTATACATCACTTATAACACATCTGCACCGTTCATACTAACACACTGTTCAAAACAAAGAAATTAAGATTCATGTTTTCCACGTACTGCTAACCACACACTGGAAGACTTTTGAAAGACTAAAGTCTGACAACCTCTCACATCTAAAGACGGTAGAGCTGGGCGATATGGCCAAAAACGTTATCACGATAAACAAAACTCATATCGTTCGATATCGATACGTATCGCGATAATGTCAAATCATGATTTCTTTCACGTTTGAAGGCTGATTTTGCTCCTGGGGGGTTAACTGTGGTTTTAAACTATCACTTATGGTCCAATCATGACAAACACTCGGCAAACAGTGGAACATTTCACTAATCTGTCTTGGGACAGTGGGAGAAAGTTTCTGAGCTGCTTTTATCAGCTGGAAAAGCACAGCTGCAATTTTTGTAATAGTCATGATTTAAGAAAGAAAACTTTTATTTTTTATTTTAGCTGTCTGGTGTCGAGCGCTCGGCTACCCCGCTACAAACGCTAAACAAGTGGCCAACAACAGAGCTAAACTCTTTAGTTTCTCAACAATGTCAGCTCGGTTCGGTAGGTCACTGCGGTCACTCCTACCACATCCATGTCAGAGCAGATCACAGTATTCAGACAGCAGTCACTCAGACTCGGTCACAGGAGAGCAGATCGCTGGTCGCTCCACTCAAACAGGGACTGTATAATCCGCGTTTCAGCCGTTGCTAAAGTATATTTGGTGACCCTTTTTTTACTCGTGGCCCCCTCCCTCTCTAATCAAGTCGAAAAATTCGGAAGTGCGCCCTCTCCTGGCGACAGCAGAGTAGTGTCGCTTTCCTTGCAGTAGAAAACGCCACCGGGGCTTTCGCTAAAACGTGGAAGTGTGAGAGTGGTGTATTATATCGAACATTTATCAAACCTGTCTTATCGCTCTATCGAGGAAAAGTTATATCGCCATACTTATCGTTATCGTTTTATCGCCCAGCCCTAAAAGACAGTGTCACGTTTTTTAGTCAGAGACTATGATTTTGCAAAGACTGGGAATCTTGCAGTGTCACTATTTACAAGACTGTAACTACATTTTTGAGATTATTCCCCATCATGCACCTGGTGGAAATTTACAAGCAGATATACCCTTTCCTTCCACTCTGTAGGGGTACAGATGGGAAGATACGCTGGCTGGGTGTGTAAAGATCTGGGGCTCAGATTAGTTCACTGTAGAACTGTATACTCTGGCAGATCATCACCCAGAATTGTATTAATTAACCTGTAAAATGTGCAGCTACTATTTTAATTTGCTATAAAGATTTACTCATCAACACAACATGCAGTGATTCAGCATTGTCGATTGGGTGTCATGAACTAAACCATAAGAAACAAACAAACAAATTAAATAAACCACTGTAACAGAAATCAGATAGAACACAATTGATGATTCTGAAATATTAAAGTGAACCTGAAATATTAAAACAGTCAGTTTACATTTTAAGTTACTATGATTATTGTATTGAATTGCCATTTTTTATGTTTTTTTTACTTTCTCTCTCTCTCGCCCGCAAGCACTCGCGCGCGGCCCTGGCACGTCACTATTTGCATGAGCCAAGACTTAAAGCTTACGATAATATTAAACACGGTTGATTTTGTCGCGGCGTCAAGACGAGAAAAAGACTGACTTAAGACCGCCATCCTGACCACCTCACACTAAACGATCGAGATGACGCGAGTGCGACGCGACTCTAACGAGACTTTCATGATTTTATTGCGACATTGGATATTTGTCTGCGACAGTGAAATCACTTGAAAAGTCGTTTGGTGTAAGGCCGGTATTACACGCCCAGCCAGCGTATCTTCCCATCTGTACCCCTACAGAGTGGAAGGAAAAGGGTTTATCTGCTTGTATATTTCCACCAGGTGCATGATGGGGAATAATCTCAAAAATCTAGTTACAGTCTTGTAAATAGTGACACTGCGAGATTCCCAGTCTTTTCAAAATAATAGTCTGTGACTAAAAAGCGTGACACTGTCTTTAGATGTGAGAGGGAGTCAGACTTTAGTCTTTCAAAAGTCTTTTCAAAGTCTTCTAGTGTATGATTAGCATAAAGATCTGGGGCTCAGATTAGTTCACTATAGAACTGTACACTCTGGCAGATCATCACCCAGAATTGCATTAATTAACCTGTAAAATGTGCAGCTACTATTTTAATTTGATATAAAGATTTACACATCAACACAACATGCAGCGATTCAGCATTGTTGACTGGGTGTCATGAACTAAACCATAAGAAACAAACAAACAAAATAAGAAACCACTGTTACAGAAAACAGAAAAAAAACGTTGATTCTTCAATAATGGCATTCTTAAAGTCCTCTGTCCTCCTTTCCTTACCTGTTTCAGGCTCAGTGAACCTGAAATATTAAAACAGTCAGTTTACATTTTAAGTTATTTTGATTATTGTATTGAATTGCCGTTTTTTACAGAGACTTCAGGCAGTCATGCCTGCATTCTCTCTCTTTCTCTCCTTCTATTGTGCCGTGCGCCTGCGCTTGCCCGCAAGCATTTGCATGAGCCAAGACTTAAAACGTACGATAATATTAAACACGGTTGATTTTGTCGCAGCTTCAAGACGAGAAAAAGACTGACTTAAGACCGCCACGACCGCCTTATAACAAACGATCGAGATGACGTGAGCACGACGCGGCTCTAACGAGACTCTCGTGATTTTATTCCGACATGGATATTTGTCTGCGACAGTGAAATTGCTTGAAAAGTCGTTTGGTGTAAGGCCGGCATACAACAACTTCAGCAGCCAGTTAGTCAGCGAGTGTCATCAAAAGGGACAAACATACATGATCACACTAATGCTGCAGACCAGGGGTGTCCAAACATTTTTGCAAAGAGGGCCAGATCATACTGTGTCAAAATACCTGAGGGCTGAAATATTATTCACAAATGACACAAAATATTACGTTTTCAAAATATCAGTCTATAGAACTGGAGCTCTCATGAGGCTTCTTCTATTGCTGTGTTGTTGTTTCAGAGCAATTTGGATTGATAAGCGCTTATAACAACTTAGTAAACTGTTTAAGAGTAACAGTAAAACATGACTAAAGTATTAAGCAGTATTAAGTATTAAGTTTATTCCTTTTCAAGTTTTTACCTGTTCAAAAATATCATTTGTGAGACAAACTGAGCAAAAATCTAAAAATGTTCGGTTTTGTTAGATCATGTTTTATACCTGTCAAATAAACACAGCGACATCGTTCAGAAATCACTGTATTAAAGAAGAAGAGCAGATTAACAGCATTAATAGGGTTAATATTTCCTGACCTGCTGAATCTGCTCTGGTAAGAAGTCGGTGCTGTGAGACTCGAAATATTCAGTTTCTCTCCTGAATATTTACTGTGATGTTCTGCTGTTTCATGTCTGTTGGTATTAAATTCATGAGTCTTTTGAAATATGAGGCTCGTTTTCTGCGTCTCTCGATGAGAGATGTTTAAATGTCCATCAAACTCCGCGGTTCTCAGTGTCAGTCTGAGCTTTATGGCTGCATTCTGGACTAAACGTGGTCAGTAAATGAAGCTGCTGGTCAGTCAGAGAAGAAAAGCTCTTAAACTTTAGCTAACGTCGCTACCGCAGTGCAGCGTTACACTGTAATTCTGCATCACTGCTGCCACCATCAGGTTAAAGGAAGAACTGCAGTGCACTGGCTGGAAGGCCACTTCAATGGAGTCTGGCTGCAGACATGCACTCTCAGACAGACGCACTCTCAGACCCAGTGACGTCACGTACACATGCACTCTCTGCCACAACGGCAGAAGCGGCCCAACGGTACGGTAACTTTTGGCTGCTGCTCTTTGGCGATATCATCACTTAATCCATTTTTTGTCCATAACTCAGCTAGAGGATTCCATTTAATGTACCTCCCTGTTGAAAAAAGTCATAGAACCCATTAAAAGTGTCTGTTGGTTCTTGGTGGTTTTCAGTAGTTTCTAATGGTATTCTGTGTTTTCCTGATGGGTTGATTCCAGATACATTTGATCGTTTCCTAATGGTCTTTAATGGTAACCATCAAGCCAGTTCCCTGATGATTTCGGTTGCCTAACGGCTCTAATCGTCTTCAGTGTTAGCCTGTTTGTTTTTCAGCAAATGAAGTCGACATTATGTTTTATCGTTGCGGTTTTATTTTGAAAGTTTCCATATTTAATTACCTTCTTATCAGTATGGCAACGTTATTATATGTTCAGTGTAACACGTACTGCTGGGCAACAAGCGTTACACTGAACATATAATAACGTTGCCATACTGATAAGAAAGTAATTAAATATGGAAACTTTCAAAATAAAACCGCAACGATAAAACTATGTTGACTTTATTCAAAAACGCTGCCGTGGCAGAGCGGCACTGACGTCATTAATAGGCTGGCAGTGCATGTCAGGCTGAGAGCGCATGTCTGCAGCCAGACCCTTCTCGGCCACTTGGACGCTCCTGCTCCAGACGAACACAAAATGAAAGTACACAGCTGAAAACGGACCGGCTCAGTGATGCCTGTGTAAGTAAATCTCAGTGACAAACACACAGACAGCAGACAGAACGACAATGACTGATATGGATGTAGCTGCAAACCTATATGAAACAATCACAAAACAACCTGAGAAACTGCAGCTTCATTACTATTCCCATAAATTTACATGTCATTAAATGCTTTATCTCTAAAAACACACAGGGCATCTTGTATTTCAGAGGCTCCTATCGAGCTCCGAACAGCAGACACTGTCTTCAGATAAGCTGTCAGGTGCTGGGAGTGGAGGTACAATGTTTGTAATGAAGGACAGGTCCACCCATCCTTTATTCAGTGGTTGTCTTTATGGAGATCTGAACATGAACAGAGAAAAGCAAAACAAAAGCACGGCAATACTCACCCTTCCAGTTATCTTCCCCTCGGAAAAGTCTGTTCTGAATCGCTGTGGAACAGAATGAGGCATGTATGAGACGAGTATATAGTCTAGAACAGTACACAGTATTCAAAGTTAGGAAGCTGGGATTTCCAGCTTAATCAATTAAACTCAAACACTCAATTAAACAATCTTCAACCCTGACCTTCTTAACGAATCAGCAGTGATCAGTGAGTCGTTTGTAGGATGATGCAAAGACAGAAGAAACAGTCTGATTCATTTGCTTCTGTTAAAGGTTTCCGTTCTCGTTTTATAACAACGTACACGCTTAAAAAAGACGGTTCTTCAAGGGTTCTTTAGTAAAGGGTTCTATGTAGAACCATAAACACTCAAACATTATTAAAGGGTTGCATCGTGAAATGGTTCTTCAGACTGATGGAGAATGAGCTGTAGATGGCTCTGTATAGAACCTTTTGAAAAGGGTTCTATGTAGCACTTCTATTGTTACAATGTCAAGCTTGTTACAACAGAAGAACCTGTTTTTGGTGCTATAGAGAACCATATACAACACATTCTCCATCAATCTGAAGAACCATTTCACCGTGCAGAGTCATGCTGGATCTTCATTGTGTTGTATATGGTTCTATATAGCACCAAAAAGGGTTCTGCTATCGTCACAAGCTCAACATCGCAACAATAGCAGAACCTTTTCAGTGCTATATAGAACCATTTTCAAAAAGGTTCTATACAGAACCACATGCAATTCTCGATCAGTCTGAAGAACCATTTCACCATGCAGAGAACGCTTTAATCACGGAAAGGGTTCTTGGAATGTTCATGGTTCTATATAGAACCCTTTTCTTTACAAAAGAACCCTTGAACAACCATCATTTTTAATTGAATAATTAAATTGTACTTTAATAGAGTTTCTAAAGGCTATTCAGGGTTTATTATTGTTCAGGTTTTTATTGTTTGGCCTTAACTGCTCTATTAATTGCCGAAATAATCAGTAGACTAATTGATTACTGACATAATCAATAGTGACAGCCCAGTTATGAATGATTAAGCAGCCACTGAAGAGGCCACAGACAGAGTCAAGCCCCTGATAATTAAAGTGGTCTGTGTTTTTTCTTGGTCTTTCTCGCCGCTCTCGCTCACCAGTGCCTCCGTCAGCAGCTCTGTGCGATGCTCGGTGGAAAACTTGAGCGTTTCGGACTTCTTCCCGCTGCCCTTCCGGAAGGTGAGGTTGAACTCCGTGCCCTGGCCTTTTCCCACCGGAGCGATGCCACAGATATCCCCATAAGGCCACTGTAGGGGGCAGCACAAAACATCAGGTTACACAGCAGTCATAGTTAATACAAGCCAAATACAGCAGGAACAACAGCAGCGCCGCACAGCGTAAACATATCGGCGCTGTCCAAAGGAATAGAACTCATACTCTACTTCATTTGCGCAAACCAGCTGCCCTTTACACTGAACGTTTCATGATTAATGTACCAACGAAAATGTTCATGAACAGCATGAAAAGTGCTCTATAAATAAAGATACTATTATTTAAGATATTATTATTATATTATTATTATTATTATTATTACTACTGATGCATTGTGCAGTTCCATACAACGCAGATTCAGTAATATCAATGCAATAGCTGACACAAAGCAACGTCTAGCGCACATTCGTACCTGGTTTGTAACTTCTAACGTGGTAGGGTTGTATGTGGTGATGCCGTGGGTTCCGACAGAGAAAACTCGCTTGTACCTGGAAACACAAACACATTAAATTAGATTCCAGAAGTTTCCAAAATACACACATTTTGTACTTAAGATCATGCAAAAAATGCTCTTAATCGATATTTCAGCTCAGCGACACGACAGAAATAACCTTTAGCCCATCATACACACCTAAACAAGAAGGTTCTTCAAGGGTTAATTAATAAAGGCAATGGTTCTGTTTAGAACCATCAGTTCTATATAGAGCGATTTCATGCTTAAATGGTTCTATGCATAGTGAAAGTAGACTGACACAGAATGGAACCTTGAACTGAAAATGGTTCTATACAGCACCAAAAAGAACTCTGCTATTGCTACATTGCAACAATTCAAGCATGAAAGCTTTCAAGCTCTATATAGAACTGATGGTTCTAAATAGAACCATTCCCTTTACTAAAGAACCCTTAAAGAAGCATCTTTTATTACGTGTGTGGACACCAAAGAAAACAAACAAATGGATCCTCAAACAAATGAAGTTTCCCTTCTCACTCGAAGCACAGAGAACCAAACTGAATCTGATTTTGGACACATCCCGAGAAGAACCGATTCACTGGAAAAGAACTTTATGCTTTGAAGAGCTTATTATGATACAGTTTTAAAAAAAAAGATGGTTCTTCAAGGGTTCTTTAGTAAAGAAAATGGTTCTATATAGAATCATGAACACTCAAAGAACTCTTTGCATGATTAAATGGTTCTTTGCATCATAAAATGGTTCTTCAGACTGACGCAGAATGTGTTGTACATGGTTCTACACAGCACCAAAAAGGGTTCTGCTATTGTTACAAGCTCAACATCATAATAGCTGATTTTTTTTGGTGTTATAAAGAACCATTTTTAAAAAGGTTCTATATAAAATCATTCTCCATCAATCCGAAGAACACTTTCATGATTCAAAGAACACTTTAATCATGCAAACGGTTCTTTGAGTGTTCATGGTTCTATATAGAACTATTTTCTTTACTAAAGAACCATTGAAACAATCAGAGGATTCAGCCTTTCAGAAGCCTGGAGACTCAAACAGGTGACAGGATATTCTTGACAAACACCGTCTATGTGGTCACCGGGAGTCTGAAACGACTTGAGGGCAGTGCGGTCAGTCCTGTTAACTCCAGCAGATGGACATGATCAATAACCGATAACGACATTGTTCTTGATCCATCAAGTTCCAAAAATACCTTCCGTAATTATAGCAGCAATTAAGCCGAGGTGTGAGTGTGTTTGTTCACACATGCATGCGAGAGATGGAGGAAATCCTGTGTGAAGAACGTCAACCAATAATGTCAGAACAGATGAGCGCAACTGTCTGGCTGCAGAGGTCACAGTGCAGCGAATCAGACAGTGTGTGTTTCTGAAGAAGACAATGACCCCCCCCACCCCCCCCACCCCCCTCTCTAACCCTGAGAGGTCTACCACGTCTCGCTCCGCTGCCTGGCCGAGCCGCCGGCATGTCACTACGGCTCAGACAGAGAGGCAGAGGGAGAGGAGGGAGCGCAGCAACGGAGACAGCTAACCAACACGGACCAGCCCAAACCGGACCACCACACTGGAAACGAGGGCTGAACGATTCGGGGAAAATATCTAATCGAGGTTTCTCTGACTAATACTGCAACTGTATTCAAAGGGGTTGCTAAGGTGATGCTAGGTGGTTGCTATGGTATCACAAGTGGTTCTTAAGGTGTTGCAAGGTGGTTGCTATGGTGTTGCTAGGCTTATGGTATGGTAGTCCAGGTGACTGCTAAAGTGTTGCTAGGTTTCTCCGTGCAATCCGAGGAGGCTGCTAGGGTGCTGCTAGGCGGTTGCTATGGTATCCCCAGTGGTTGCTAGGGGGCTGCTAGGCGGTTGGTATGGTATCCCAGATGGTTGCTAAGGTGTTGCTAGGCGGTTTGTATGGTATCCCAGGTGGTTGCTAAGATGTTGCTAAGCAATTGCTATAGTATCCCATGCGGCTGCTAAATTGTTGCTAGGCAGTTGCTATGCAATTTAAAGTGCAATTATTTCTATGAATTGAGGTCCAGACCTTATTTTTTGCCAAGAAGACCAGAATATCCACTTTTCTGGCTTGAAGCTCGACCCCTGAACGTAGTGCGCCGGACAGCCAGTAACTTTGTGGTTGTGATGTCACAACACATGGAGGTTTGGTTAACTCTGATTGGTCCCAACTCTACAGGGAGTAAACAGCTCTGTGTTATTTCGTTAAACTTCCCCTCTTAAAACTTGAGACGCTGTTGATAATGTAGACTATAAATGTAAAAAATTGCAGCTCTTACGATTTGAAAATTGCACTTTCTTAAACTGCGATTTCAATATAAAACCGACTAAATCTTTCAGACTTACTTGAAACCCACCAGCCAAACCAAACATAGACAGAACTACATAAATGGAGACTGTCTATGAATAAAATGTATTTAAACTCATCACCAATAAAATTCCAAAAACCACTGAAAAAAAAATATCAGCTCATATTTTACAATAATACCATCACTGTCAGGACAAAACATTCCACCTCTTTTGTTTCTTTTTTATTGAAAAAATTTAATCATGTAACTTGTTTTTCTTTACTTGCTTTTTTTTAATTCAGTAATTTTGACTTTTTGATTTTTTTTTCTTTTTTTGATGACGATGAACAGAATAAAATATATGGTCCAAATGCATGGAAGATTTTTTTTTTGCAACTATGACAATGCAACACTACTTTTAGTTAACAACTTAAACAGTATACAGTCTTAATATAAGTATAAAATAAGCCACATGTAATTATAATTATAATCAGAACTCTTATATATATATATATATATATATATATACACACACACACGCATAAATATATATATATATATATATATATATATATAGCAGACAGTAGCAATTTAGATAGTAGTAGTAAGATATGCATAAAAGCCAAGCAGTGAAGTACAACAGTATCAAGAAATCATAAGCATCAGGGTCGTTTGCTGGGTATCTGGTCCAGACGCCTATAGATACAGCTGGACGACTAATTAAAAACAGTTATTGTGCTGCACTCCATTTTGCAATGATGTCTATTGTCTTGTGTTATAAATCCAGCGCAACCCTCTCCTGGATTTTTTACTTGCTTTTCAGCTGAGTCGGATTTGAAGTTCAAGGACATCCACTGTTTAAAAAGACATGTTTTTAGAGTTCAGTTGAGGCGTGATGTTTCCTAAGTCAATGAGTGATTTTTGCCATACCGTACCTGTAGATATCAAACAGTTTGGCTGATGGAGGCTTTTCCTTGTAATGCACACCCATGAACAAGCATGCAAATGAAAGCACAGCTCTCTTTCAAGGCAGAACTACACTGTCTGAAGCAGCATCCCAGCCATGAAGAACTCTGGGGCAGGCAAACCCAGACTTGCACACACGCTTACAGTACACATTCACTTTCAACAGGAGGATAAAAAAGACAACCGATCAGTCAAAACTGCTTTATCAGAACTCAATGCAGACGGTACCCATGAACAAACTTCAATATAGCACTGAATAATCAGGAAAATGAACATTAAACCAGAGCACTTAAACTTTAATCTCGCTGATGTGCCCCTTTTTCTCTTTCACTGGTTTCTCAGTTACTGTGTTTTGTGGAAACCACTGCCAGTTATCAAACTAAGCAAATGGGTGCTTCTTACACTCTTAACAAGGGTTCTTCAGCAAAGAAGTTTCCAACTCTGGATACGAATGTTTTGAGGCAAACTGCAGACTGGCAGGCAAAACAAAAACATATCTGGCAAAGTCGAGTGACTGGTGTTGGACTAACAACCAATCAAACGTGTTTTGTGGTGTGAGTAGCTGTTAGCCGTCGCTGAGCCACTGTCCTGCGTAGTTTTCCAATGATATTTCATAGTCTTGCTTTAGCAGCACATCAGATGGAAAAATAAACCATAACCAGCACGATACAGCTGTGGGAACTATTTAGCTCCACATTGGAGGTCGACAGCATCTGTGAAGCGATTAGAGGGTGTTATATTTTTAGACGGGAATGCATCCTGGAAGCGTTTCCATCTCTGGACACCAAAGTTTTTAGGCAAACTACAGACTGGCAGCCCCTTCCCCCGATTAACATTACAGAGATATGAGCGAAGTGTGTTTATTTGGTTTATTTTGTTTAGCAGATAAACATGGAACAAACATTTGACTGAGATATCATTTTAAAACATTATCATCATTTAAGACTACCACAGTGTACCTTTATATCATTAACTTTAACCATGAACTTTATTCATTTATTTATTATTAAATACTATTTATCTTTTATTTTATTCTTTATTTAATTATTTCTTTAATTATTTCAACACACCCAAAGGTTTTTTTTAAGGCTTGATAGCCTTTTTTGGACTAATTTGGAATTCCCTTCCAGAGACACTAAAATACAGGACTGTGTTTTAATTAATCAGCAATCTCTGTAATAGTTGCGATAACCTGTACTTGTTTCTTTGCCATCATTTGTGGTCTCATCGACTGTACGTATTGTATATATTTTGCATTTAAAAAGCCAATACGAACATATGAATAACTAGAATAACTGAATAGCATATGAATAACTGGTTGCTGAGGTGTTGCCAGGCGGTTGCTACAGTATTTTATATATCGGTGCTAGGGTGTTGATATGAAGTTGCTGTGGAATTCCAGGTGGTTGCCGATTTGTTGCTAGGTGGTTGTTATGGTATTTAAGGTGGTTACTAAGGTGATGCTAGGTAGCTGCTACAGTATCACAAGTGGTTCTTAAGGTGTTGCAAGGTGGTTGCTATGGTGCTGCTAGGCGTATGGTATGGTAGCCCAGGTGTTGCTAGTTGGTTTTCATGCATTTCGAGGTGGTTGCTAGGGTGTTGCTAGGTGGTTGCTACAGTATCCCTGGTGGTAGCTAGGGGGCTGCTAGGCGGTTGGTATGGTATCCCAGGCGGTTGCTAAGCTGTTGATATGGCATCCTAGCCGGTTGCTAAGGTGCTGCTAGACAGTTGCTATGGTATCCCATAA